GATGAAGGCGTGGTTCCTGTAGAAAAATAGTAAGAGACTGGGAACTGAAATTTAGAACCACAATGAAAAACAATATAAATAAAAAGAAAAATTAACCAACCTTGACCTTCTTGTTTCTGAGCAGAACAACGAAAAAAATAAGTGCGTGATCCGCCAATTCTTTGGTGGTCTCCTCTCCTGGCCCATAATCGCTAAATCCTTGAAATTTTTTCCACTTTGAGGACCACATCAAAAACTCATCAATGGATAATTCATCCCACAAGAGAACTGCGTAACAGTCCCTTTCATCCTCTAAATCTGATGTAAAATCTCCAACACCCTCCAATATAGGCTCAATTATTCCTGGTTCGATGCTTAGCCCTTGCGTGAAACGAAGAAGAGTTTTTTTTGATGGAAGAATGAACATGTCACTGACAGCCGCTCTTGCTCTTCGTCCCCCTTTCTGAAGACCCATGGTGAGTATAAGGTCTTGTCGATCATATCTTCGACCTTGTGGCTTCACCTATTGAGATTAAGTTATTATTTCATTAAAACATCATTATTATATGAAATCTTACTTTCTGAAGCTTGATTTGTCGATCAATAAAATCGACGCATTTTGTAGGCAGGTGTTTTCGTAAATAGAGTATGGCAGCTTCCTTCGAAGCAGGGTTGGTGGCTTTTCTTTTAAGCCTCATCTTTTTCAACCTCTTGACCTCTTTGTTCTTCTTCTTTGCAAATGCAATCAAACTCTTTCTGTCAAGCTTTTCAAATAGTGTTTTCTTGGCTGGAAAAAGAAAAGATAATATTTAATAAAGCGTATGGTCCTCCGTAATTTTTTTTTTTTTTAATATCTTTTTATGTTACATGGATTTGCTGGTAGTTGTTTTTGACGTGGAGGTTGCTGTTCTTGTGCATGACGTGGTGGTGATGGTGATTCTTGTTGAGGTGATGCTACTTGTGGTTGTTGAGGCGGTGATAGAGGCGGTTGTGTTGGAGTTTGCTCGTTCTCAGATGCTGCTACCTGTTGTTCATGTGGTGGCTGTGGTTGCTGCAGGGTAGCGGTTACTTGCGGCAAAGTCCGAGGTGGGTACGCATGTCCGGATCGTGGTGGAGGTGGTAGTATTTGTCGTACTTGTGGCTGTTGAGGTGGTGTTGGACGAGGTTGTTCTTGTGGTGGTGTCGTAGGTGTATCGTTCTCGAATGGCGGTGCTACCTGTTGTTCATGCGGTGGCTGTGGTTGCTGCAGGGTAGCGGTTACTTGCGGCAAAGTCCGAGGTGGGCACGCATGTCCGGATCGTGGTGGAGGTGGTAGTATTTGTCGTACTTGTGGCTGTTGAGGTGGTGTTGGACGAGGTTGTTCTTGTGGTGGTGTCGTAGGTGTATCGTTCTCGGATGGCGGTGCTACCTGTTGTTCATGCGGTGGCTGTGGTTGCTGCAGAGTAGTGGTTACTTGCGGCAAAGTCTGAGGTGGGTACGTAGGTGGTGGAGGTGGTAGTTCTTGTTGAGATGGTGTTTGTTGATGCTGCGGTAATGATTGTCTATGTTGTTCGTCTGTTGGTTTCCGACCAAAAGGCTTCGACCGATTTAAAGGCAGATGAGGCAAAACATATTGTTTCACCACTTCTGCCTTGAGATTCTTCTTGGACGAAGGGCACCCTTGAAGCAGATTGTATGCTGTAGATCCACCAAAGCTGGAACTATTCAGTCTCTGAATTTTTTTTCTTGGTTTGTATGGAGACCCTGGAGAAGTTGCAGGCTCCAGCTCAGAGTTATCATTCAAAAATCGATAATTGTCTGCTTGCGAAGAAATTTGCAGCTTTCTTGTTCTTGGGCCTCTGGCTGGCAGATAGGGTGATGAAGGCGTTTCTTGCTGAAATTGTGGTGAAGCCTGACAGTTTTCTCCTATCAGACCACAGCTGGAATCCGAGTTCAATGGGCGAAGTGGTGTACGAGGAGAACTTCTAACTGGTAGCCTTGGTGATGAAGATGGTGTCCATGACTGCAGCATCTGAGGCGAAAGGTTTTGATTCTCGACGGTTCGAGGGTTGTTCATTGGTGTTCTATTACCTACATTGAAAATAAAATTAATTATTGTACGAAGCTTCAAAATAATCATAACAAATCATGTAAGATCATATTTCTTAATGCTTTATTAGCTTTCTGTGCATAATTATTTTTCTTACATGATGATTGAAAGTGTTCAAAAGAAGTATCAGAATCAGAAGTGGTTCTCTCATAAAATAATATGTAACCTGTGTCACTTTTCTGGCTGTCACCATCCAGTACAGTGAAGGAGGACACCTGCAGGGAAATGTACTGATAAAATTGTAAGATATGTGAATTTCGCTTACTTTCGAATCGTTGTAAATATTGATCGTACCATCTTGCATTAGACTTTGACAAATATAGTGTCCTTTGCTCAAATCACCTTCATGATGGATGATGGCTTTGCAAAAAAATGACACCTCCTCAGTTCCATTTTTTTTTATAATTTGGCCATCTTTTAACGCAAAGATACTCTGCTTCAACGTCAAACCATAGTCCAAGACAATTTCACCAGAGTCTTTCAAAAGCTGGTTGGCCTGGTTGCTGAACCTAAATTTTTATTATTGAAGTTGAATAGAGAATAATTTAGTATGAATATAATATCACTTATTCAATCCATACCAGATCCCGTATTAATTAATTCTTTGAAATGAACACACCACCTGATGAGGCACATCAACACAAAACCACAGACATCACTTTTTCAACACCACCAATAACATTCCTTCACCCATGTACCTACAAAATGAAATCACAAAGTAAAATGTTCTTTTTTTAACTCTAAAACTTCCCTGATAACAAATAAAAATAACGCTTGCAAAAAAAACAAGACGAGTTGAAAAAATAAAAGTTATGTTCTTCTCAGTTTTGTTAGTCACATAATGGGTCTGCACATTTTCATTTGGATTGCTGGAAACAGAAACAAAATTAATTACAGAGTAAATAATAATAAATTGAAAAAATAATAAAAAACATAAATTAAATAAATCCCCGTTACACAACGCTCATCAAAATTTGAATCAAAATCACCTTTTCAGTTGAATTACCAAAACTTTTGGAAGCTCCTGAAAATAAATTATTTCCTTTTGTGGAGTTCCTCTGTGGCAATGTGAGCAATACGGCTCATGAACGCAGCTATCGTCACTGTTCATGTAAATACGCAGAGCTTCCTTCAAATCAGATGCCATGGGTAGGCAAAGGTCGTACATGGGCTGACTTAAATACCGGGTTTTGCCGCACACTAAACATTGACCTGCATATTGTTTTGGAGGATATTGATGCAATGTAATTCTAAATATATATTTTAATCTTACGCTCAAAAACTTCTTTGCCCTCGAAAACTTCACTCACTCCCTTCTTATCCAACGACTCAATCTTTTCGAGTAACATTCTGTGCAATTCCATGGAGTCCTGCTGTAAACCTTCGTCAAAATCTTTTGTGCCTATAAGAATAATAGTCTAATCCAATAAGGTTCAAATGTTACTTTTTTAACTTACTCCAAATTTGTGTAAGCAAGTCCAAGGGTGTGAAAGGCTCAGCACAAGTTTTTGTTACCTCACGACCAACTTCTTTCAGCAAGCAAATAATGCAACTTTTAGACTTCAAGAGTTGGCAACTTTCTTCTTTGTGATTATTAAGCAGCATCCAAATCCAGCTGCATGCAAACCAAGCCTAAAACAAATAACCATGGAAATAATAGCAGCCAATTGTAGCCTCTGTGAAATACATTGACAAAGTACTTCTTATTTTTTTTATATACCTGGCAAAGTGAATTTATATAGCATGAGTTCCCCATATTCACCAATCCTCGCAATGGACCGTCAACAGCATCAAATGTTTTTCGTATTGAACAATCCAAAGACTCCCCAATTGGATTGACATCTTCCACATCTGGATCTAGATTTCTCGTCGGTAAAGCTGGCATCTGATAGTATTACACATTATTTTCATAAAACTTCAATGCATAGCAATCTCTTATACTCAAGTTTCTTACCCATGGCTTAGGTACTGCATCTTTGATCAGTTTACCATTTCCGTAAAAAAATTTTATGTCAAAGTGTTTGACACAACATCGAATATCTGTTCGCTCATCATCAGCAGGCAAGCCCATGTTTATCAACCATTGTCTTCTACGCCTATAAAAATTGCTCTTATTAGTATGTAATTTTGAATTGAAGGAAAATTGCAAACTCACTAAATTAATAAAATCTGAATAAAATCATAAATACGGACACACATTATATGGATACAATAATAGTTATAAAAAATATATCGAATTCTTAGTATTAATAATATTCAAAAATTAATTTTTGTAATAATGTTACTCACTCAGCATTATTTATACTTGAAGCCTTTGGAGCACATTTAAGATCAATTCCATTTAATGAAGTGCTATCACAATCAATGTAATGGCACTTCCTAACTTGAACGTTTAGATGAGATCTTCCCGTCTTATTAACTGTTTCAACTTCCACCGATGGCATTTTTCTTTTCCCTTCATCATCATTCTTGGATACAGCCAAAATCATCCCTGGTACAATTTGAAATCAATTGGGTGAGACTTTTCGGTATTCTGCAAATGAATCAATAAATAATAAAAAGTATGTAATTCAATTCTGTCGAGAGTGCCGAGCCGAGTAGCTGCGACTAAAAACAATTATGCAATATTTATGTACATTTCTACATTTAAAAAAAGCCAATTAGAGCTGAAAAACAATAAATCATTAATGATTTATATTTTAATTCCACTCCAAAGTAATTCTATTTTAACTTACGAACAGTCTGAGAATTTAGCTTGTTAGAACTTGATAAATAACAAATCAATCAAAACAATCCCATGAGGTATTATTTTATGTACTTTCAATCGTTTTCCGCCTTCTAGCGCCATCTATTGGAAAACGAAATAATGATAACAACCAATGAAACGGTCACGTGACCAGCCAGTTCACAAGTATGAACAGTGGTACAAACCTGCGCATAGGAGTGAACAGGCCGTGCCCGGAGCAGCACCACCATTGTTCCATCTGCCTGTTTTCTTCTTTCTGCCCAAAAAAAGCATCCATCGCAGCCCGTGGGACTCGCCGGGCCGACTTTGGTTGATCGCAGCAAGAAGTCCTGTCTTGCAAGATGCTGGCCCTGCGAGCCGCACGCATTTTGGCGAGGAATTCGCTCGTCTCGGCCAGGGGTCAGCCTGTCCGGTTGATCTCGACCTCGAAGAAAAACAGCGAAACAACCACGATTTCGGACGTCCTGGAGAAGAGCGAGGCCAAAGCCGGTGTAGAAGTCAAGAAGAAGGTTATTTCGACGACCGATTTGTTTTGCTTCCAATTATATTAAAAAACTATTTCAAATTGCAGAATTGGGTGACTTACGGATTTGATTATCATGACGAGTGGGAGGACAGGTACTTTGCGCATTCGTTCCTTTTCTGCTCCGTCTCCATCGCCTTAGTTTTTGGAACCTTCTTCCTGGCCTACTACCCTGACTGGGGGTAAGAATAAGATATATTTCAGTTGTTTTAAAATTAAAGTGCAATATTTTTCTTCAGTTAAGTCGTTAGTCTCCTTTTTTTCAAAATATAATATCTTCATGTCTGAAAATTTTCAGATACTTTGACTGGGCGCAGAGAGAAGCTTACCTGGAGCTCAGAAGGCGAGAGGCTGAAGGATTGCCCGCAATTGATTGCAATTACGTCGACCCTTCAAAAATTGTCCTGCCTTCTGACGAGGATCTTGCACAGATTGACATCGTCATCTAAATTTTCTCTCGGGTCGGTAGAAATGTCATTTTTGTTATTTAAAAATGAGAAAGAAAATTCAAGCAAGTTTCGCTATAGTGATTGCCTTCTTAGGAAGGCTAGGCTAAGAAATTGTATAATTTTTTTTTGGAAGGAGTAAATGACATTTAAATATTTATAATAAATAAAAAAGTCAATCCTGTATCGAAACTTGGATGGTTTGGTTCTTGATAAGGTGACCATTGTAATGTAAATAAAATGTTGGAAGAAATATAATTAAGTTGCAATCATTTGAACTCCTGTGCAATTATAATATGTACTAATTAATCATAATAAGATTTAATTTTATAATTAGTATTATTAGTATTATTATACTGATGGAGGCCGTGATCAATCAAAATTTATTCCACAAATTAATGTTAAAAACTTGAATTCTCATTAGGAATTTTTCTTTTGTTTCATAAAAATATTTGGAGTTGATAGATCTAGAAAAGAAATATTGTTTCGGATTTATTGAATTAAAACATTTGCTTTTTTATTTCTATTCTAAAAAAGTTTTCATTTACATTACAAATTATTGATCGACAGCCTATAGTAGCATTATTTATGATAACAATTAAAATGAACAAAAATATTTTTATTTCACTTCATGTACACTGAACTCGACAAGGAAAATTACTCAATCATTTTTTCGTTCTCTATGCAATAGGTTTTTATTCGATTCGTTCATTTCTCTCTCTAAGGACTATGCAGTGAATAATTGTGATCACATCAAGATTTTTCCAACTTAGCTAGTTTTATACATACATGCATAGTAATCTAACATGGGATACTTGGATTTCTTCGTTTTTTCCTCTCGTAATTTAAATATCATACATTGATAATGTTCAAGAGTCGCTTGAGTGTAAAACCGGTGAAAATTCACTCGTAAAATTAATAAAATCATTCATATATTTATACTCTCGTGAAGAACGACTGCACCGCGTATACAATTCAGACAAATTAATCAATGGACATTGAAAAGAGAGGAATCAATAGCATGCGAGTTACAAATAAGCTAGCAAGTATGTCGTTCGATATTAAACCCTAGAGCTAGTAGAGATGTGAGTGTGTGTATTTATTTTATGGTGGTGCACTTTGATTTGCAAACTTTTTTTTCCGCATTCATTTGCTTTAATCAACACATCTTGAGTATTGTACAGGCCGCTCACTAAGTTTAGAAAAAAATGCTACAGCCTTTGCGGGACAAACATTATATTTTCAACAATTTGACATTCATGCGATCATGAAAATTAAAAGCAATTTGGTAAAATAAGTTTTTGACTTTTTGACTGCAAAAAGAAATACTCGTCCTGATCAGCTAATTTCAGCCTCGGACCGAGATCTCTTTGCACGGAAATTTACAAATATACACAAACAATTAAAGAAAAACTGAAGACAACCTCGATTCCCATGTAAGATTCACAATAAGAGCTCCGAAAAACCAACCCACACACTCAGAGGAGCAACTCCGTACATTTTCTCGTTTGATTAGAGATTTAATTAAAAAAGAGTGGCAGAGGATTTTGAAACTAAAAATTTCTCACAGCTGATTCAGCTTGTGTATTGGGGGACGATTCATAAAATAATCATATTCGTATAGAAAAATGGAATTTTACAGCCATTACTAAATATCTTAAGCTCTCGCTGATAAAACTTGAGAAATCAAGACTTGCGTGTGATAGTGTATTTTCTTTCTTTCTTTTGGTTCCTACTAAGAGTGTCAGGTTGCTGGATGATCTGCACAAAGATCTTCAATCTTCATCAATTCTGGACCGTCAACAACATTATATTTATACTAATAATTCTCATGTACACACTTCGCGGCGAAGTCTCAACGTTATTTTGGGGTCGATGCTGACGGGTAGACGGGGTTGACTACTGATGCAGCAGCTGCAGCCGCCTGCTGGGTCGCCAACACAGCCGCTGCAAAAAGATAAGGCAAAATTCGGTTAGTCAAATTTATAATAACAAATCGATTGTAGCACAATAGCAATTAAATATTTTAAGTAAGAATTATATACTTAATTTAATCGAAATAAAAATTAAATAATTTACAGAGAGACACAAACGCAAAATAGTCTAACATTTAGAAGATCAAAACTTGAACTACACATGATGAGGGCGATTCACTTTATTAATCCTATTGAACAAACTTATATAATTTTTTAAGTTTAATTTTAAGGAATCAAAATTTATTTTTTAATCTTTATTTAAATTTTCAGATAAGTGGGGCTATCAAGATTTTGACTGTGTTTAAATAAAGAAATAAAAGTTGTGTGGAATGACTAAAGGTTTTTTCAAAGTTCAGTCAAAGGAACTTGAATCGCACTCAATCTGCATAATTTAAGAAGGTAAAAAGTGTGAAACTAACTTTTCTCAACTTTTGAAGCTCGCTCTCAGTACGTGACCAGTTAATAAGATGAATCTTCGAAATCATTCAGCACGGGCTTACCTCCGTACGGGGTCGGGTACTGTCCCGGCAGAATGGGGTAGCCGAGGCCGACGTGCGTGTGGTGGTGCGTGTGCACGTGTCGCTGTGGCGGTGGCGACCGCATGGGGGGCGGCGCCAGGGGGTCCTTGTCCCCCGGCGCCGGGGTCTTGCTCGACGCCGGTGAAGGGCCCCCTGGCGCCGTCGCGCCCCCCGACGAGGGTCTCGGCGGCCCGCTGCGTCCAGGGGCCGAGGGAGGAGTGGCCCCCGGGACGGACGAGGGAGGCCCGCCGGAGCTGGGGGGCGTCGCCGTCGAGGGCGTCTTGGCCCCCGGGGTCGGCGACTTGAGGGCGCGTTCCTGCAGCTCGTGGATTTTGTGCGAGGAGTAAGCGTACTGGGAGGCGTGGTGCTGCAGCATGTCCAGGGCCTTGGTCGGCGCGCCGGCCGGCGGCCCCCGCGACAGGTCCTCCGGCCCAGGGTACCGCATCGGGGGGTGCAGGTACGGGGTGGCGCCGTAAGGGCCCGGCACCAGCATGGGGCTCATCCCCCTGTAGACGGGGTGGTTGGGGTCGAAGGGCAGGGTGCTGTAGTGCGCCGACTGCATGTAGTTGGGGTTGAAGTAGGCGTACGAGTTGGTCGGCGGGGGCGGCCCCTGCGTCTCCATCGTCGGCTTCACCCCCTCCTGCTTGTTCTTCTCCGCCGAGGACTCCTTTTTCTCAGGCTTGTCCTCTTTGGGCGCCGGTTTCGGCGAGTTTTTGCTCTTGCTGGACGGCTCCTTGTTGACGGTGGCGTCCAGCGGCTGCACGTCCTTCCGCTTGTCCGGCTGCAGCATGTAGCGGCGGTAATCCTCCTGCTGACGTTGGTACACGTGGTACGGGTACTCGTAGAACTTTTTGTCGCCCATCTGACTCTTCAGCTCGATGCTCTCTTTCAATATCTGGTGGTTTTCACTTTGCTTGTCTTTCACCTCACTTTTGATAGATTTGTTCAAAACCTGTCCTTGCTTGGTCACTTCCTTGTCCACCTTTTCTTCCTTGATTTTAATTTCCTTGTCGTCCACGTACTTGTCGACGACCACTGCTGCCAGAGGGTACGCCGAAGCCTCCAGGTTGTAAGGGTAGTAGCCATAGGGGTAGTAGTGGGGCGGCGCCTGCTGCGGCTGCGATCCGGGGGCACCTGGCTTTCCTTGCGCAAACTCCTCCTTCTTCTCCTTGTCCTTGGAAGGGTCCTTGTCGTCCTTGCCCTTGTTGTCAGGCACCGGCACCGCGTTCACCGGAAGGTAAGGCGTCTGGCCGTAGTACGGAAACATTCCGTACGGCCCGAGAGGCGCTTGGCCGTCCACCTTCTTGTCACCAGGTTTGGAGGGCGACTTGACCTCGGCGTCGACGGGAGCGCCGTCGTCGGAAATGTCCGAGTAGGCGGGACTCTGGACCTCTTCTCTCCCCTCGTTGGTGGGCTGAGTGAGGGGGAGAGGTGAGGAAGGCGCCACTTCCGAGGGGAAAACCAGACCGTTGTGTTGGTCTGGCAGCGGACTGCTGGTCGGCGACTTTCTTGGCGTCTTCTTCTTGGGGGTCAAGTTGGCAGGGAGGGGTGACTTTGGTGCCTGCTGCTTTTCCGGCTTTTCTTTGGCAGTGGGCGCAGGAGGCAGTGGCTGCACAGCCTTGATGGTCGGTGTTGACGGCGGCCGCTGCTGCACAGGCGGCGTGGGGATTTTCACCTTATACTTTTCACTGAGTTTCGGTTCACCCAGACTCGCTGGTTGCAACAACTTCGGGGGCGTGGGTACATTCAGCACTGGGTGCGGCCCAGGGGGCCGCGCCGCCACGGCAGGAGAGACCACGGGCTTGGCCACAAGAGGAAACTGAGGGGCAGTCGGAGGCGGAGCAGTTTGCTCCTCGGGAAACACAAGCACTTCCTTTTCAGGCTCAACCGGAGCACCTGGCGACACTGGCTGCGGCTCGGGGGTCGACTCCTTCTTGACCTCCACCTTGACCATCGGCGACGATTTTTCTGGCGAGGGACTCGCAGGCACCGAAGGCACTTCTGCGTTGCTCTCGTCGTTCTCCGAAAGGCTGATGGCGTCTTTCGAGTCAAGTTCCTCCTCGACGGCACCGTGCGCGTGCGACTGGTGGTACTTGAGGCCGTTGATGTGCTTGTACTTCTTCGAGCAATTCGGTTCGGGGCACTCGAGCAGCACAGGCGAGGCTGGAGGACTGGCCGTGGGGCCTCTGGAGCCCGAACGGCTGCGCTTTCCAGCGGCGGCGCCGTTGGGCTCCTCCGTCTCACTGGGTCGACCCTTGCGCTTGTTGTTGGTGTCGGGTCTGGGGAAGACGGGCACAGAGGGTGGCGCTGGAGAGCCAGCTGCTCCGCGACGACCTTTGGCACCGTTGCGCAGTTTGCTGTGCACCGAGGAGCGAGTCTCGGTGAAGTTGCTGAGATCATTTGCGGGCGTCGAGAAGGAGCCACGACCTCGCTTCCCTCTGCCCTTGGGCGCGCGAGCGTCGAGATCATCAGTTGGAGAGTCGCAAAATCTGAAATTTGAGGATGCATTAGAAATTTGTGAAGCAAGAAACCTAAATTTTTCAAGTATCATCCGACAAATTACAAAACGAATGAATTCTTTACGACGACTAATTTTTCTATTACATGTATTTACTTTCTAATTAATTATTCTATGCCTAAGAGGGATTTGAATCTCATTCTTATTCATACATATAAATTTATTCTAAAAAATACCTAATAAATTGAGCTGTTAAAATTGTCATAAAAGAAGCCGTGCTTTATTCATTGTTGGTTTTTTTTTTCTAGAAATTTGTCTAATTTGTACCTCAAAAGAATTTAACGACCAGCTCATCACTATCATTACGCATTTGAGGCGTTTGAAAAATCATTAAGAGACGGCCAACGCCCCGAGAAGGAATTTTCCAATCACGGAGGCAGAGTGCGGTTACGAGAGCCGGGAGACACTCGCTAACCGCTTAATTTATAGTGTACGTAGTGGTAGGTATACCTTGGTGGCGCCCAGTCGTGTTTAGTGCAGTCTAGTAGAGTTCCCACGTACGTTTTGCCACGCCATGTGACATTTACCACAAGCACACCTGCAAGACAATTTCATTTTAGTAGAATAATAGCGTAGCAGCACGACATATAATGTCAGTCTACTTCTTTCGTATGCACACCGGCGCATAAATTAATTTTAATGTATCCAACATTGTTGTTTTTGAACTTTATAATAATCTCGATACGTGTATGAAATAAGGGCAGATAATTGCAACATGACTCTACGGACAAGGATTTAAAAAATAAGATTTTTTATTATTATTTTGCCTATATATTTAATAACCCTGCAACAATTGTGGCGCCATCTTAGCGTTCTGGTGGCTGAACGTGAGGAGGTTATTACATTAAAAAGGTACTGACCTCCTTCTGTCTCGTTCCAGACGATACCCTCGAGGGTGACACTGGTGCCTGGTTCACAAGGGCCTAAGCAGTCTGGCTCTGTAATGGTGCCGACACTTGTTCCCACACACACATCGCTCACATCCACCTGCGAACAAGGAGATGAAAACGCACTTTGAGTTAATGAAATGAGTTGCGGTCGGAACACGCCGTGTATATCAAAGTTCCAAGCTGGAATTTGACTTGCAAAATAGTAGTGAGAATCGTATTGTTCACCACCGAGACGCAAATAACGGCGAACGCGGTAATAATTAAACAGCGACGCTATTTCGAGGCGCTGTGCTGGTTTATCGATTTTACGCTTCAACGTTTCCGACTGTCAATAAGGCGAGTGGATAGATTTTCAGTAATTCACGCTCGAGTGAGTATTTGATTGAGAGAACGTCTCAATCGGAAGAGACCTTTTACCAGCCTTCAAATTATTTACGCTGGAAGCTTATTTCAAGTATTGGAGAAATTTCTTCAATTTTTTGTAATTTCATGAAGAAGCAATTTTTTAAATGAATTTTTTTTTTGAATGGTTAAACTTGTCAAACATTATAAACATTAAAAGAAAAAAACATGTCACAGCAAATCAACAAGAGTTCTAGGGAGTTCCAATAAAAAATAAAAATTGATTTTATTACCGAATTAATTTTTTTATCTTTAAATTGAATTTCAATAAATATGAGCGTCTCAAATGATAAAAAAAACCTAAAATACTTAAGAAATCAAGGAAGTAAGAAATATCCACATAAATTCACATTTTGCTGTGCTCTATTCCATTATTTCATTTATATATTTTTTTAAATAATAATTTGTGATCAGTGTTAAGAACAAAAACCTAGTCAACCAAAGCTCACTGCGGCGATTGGGGTCTTTTTGATCTAGGAAGTTTTAGCAAATTTCTTGTGCCGTTTTTTTCCCAACAATTCCTTTTTTGGCTCGCAAATAATTTATTATTTTTTTCAACAATTTTATGAAAACAATGTATTAGCAACAGTAACAATAAATGGTTAAATGATTTGAGAAAAATTTAATAATTTAAAAAGCTTGTTTCCAAAAATGTATTTCCATGTTTTTCATTGTGATAAATTTATCTCCCCAAACGACAATAATTAAATTTTGAATTAATAATATATATTTGGGCTTAATAGGAGGAATAATAATGAAAAGGGGATTAAACACAGAGCCGAATTTCGAGCAGCGCGTGTAATAAAAGTCATTAGAGAATTACGCTCTGTATAATTTGGGCGTGCGGCTGGACGCATGAATATATTTAACGGAGAGAGCAAGTTTTAGCACGATCGGATGGATATATATTGTGTATAGTTTCCGAGCGTGTGTGCTCATGAAAAATTCGCCAACCGCCGACGCAGTGCGGCCGGTTGGCAGGGGTGAAGCGTGCAAGCTGTTTGCAGGCTGAAGGGGATCAGCGCGGAGGGTGGAAGAGTGGCAGGAGGGGCGCGGCGGCGGCGACGGTGGGATGCAGGCATTAATTATTGCTCGCTGCCTGCCTGCCCGCCGAGCGAATTCGTGCTTATTAACACGTATATCAGCCGATTACGTATAATGCGGGGAACGCGAAAGATGCAATCAGTCACCGGCTGGCTTGCTTGCTTGTTGACAAATAGTGTGTGCCGGTTTTAATTAATTAATCACGGCGTCGCGCGTGTTGAATTGATCAATTGAATAATTCCATCTAAGCGCCGGCTAAAAATTCGCTCTGATGAAGTCGGTTTGCGCGAATCAACCCGTGGGAATCCGCGTGAGCCATTATCCGATCCATTAGTCGCTACCCCAGAGCGCACTTTTGTTTCGATATTACTCATGCGCTGACCGCTGCAGCGTTGAGTACACGAGCGAGCAAATTATTCAAAATGGGTTCTAATTGCTGACGATTTAGCCAAACAAAGACTTGCACCGCTCTGCATATATTTCATTATCAAGAGCTTTTTGTTTTCCACCAAATTGATTTGGTTCATAAAAGTATACCAAATATAAAAATACGGAATTTTACAAAAATTTTGAAATTTTATAAGCTTTTTAAATCACGCTGAAGAGATTAACTGGAAAAAAAACGCTGATCTAACAGTAGGCCAAATTAAGTGATAGATAGTATGATATAAAATGAAAAAGATTTTTAATGTGAGAGAAAAATTGACTGAATTATTGAAAAAAGAAAAAAAGAAAAAAAACAGCAGCAGCAGGGCAAAATAAAATGACTAATTCTTTTTTCAGAATTGGAGCCCAGGAAACAATAAAATTTTGAATTTTTGCCTCTACTAAAACAGCGCGAAATTGCCATGAAAATTTTTATGTGATCGCAGAATTGGATTTTCCAAAATTTCAAGTTTCCAGTTTTTTTTCCGTCCGGTTGATTTAAATCAAAATCAAAATTTTTATTAATCTTCCTATGCTTAATCCTGCCAACGCAAACAAACTGAATTTAAATATTAAAAATACTTCATGATTCGAATTAAATATACCAATTTTTAAAATTTTCCATGAAATATACTTAGATTTGAATTTCATCAAATTGAGTTCATTCATTTCAATCAGACGATTTTGATTTTCTTTTCAACTAGAAAAATAGAGATTAGATTCGAGTTTTAATTAATGAGTGCTAATTAATCCGATCCTGCGTTAAATAGGATCTGAAATTTATAACCCTCGTCAAATGAAACTGAAAAAAAAATTGAATTTGTAAACATTACTTTATAGATCAAACTACAATTATAACTCAAATGAGTATGAAAAAAGAATAAAAATGCGATTTTTGTTTAAATGCAGACTTTTGCAAATAATTCTCTGCTTTTGATGAAAAGCCTCTCATCGGATTTTCGCCCTCTTTAATCCTTTCAACACTTTTGGCTCTCGTCGTTTTCCCTCTCTTTAATCGCGCCGGGCGGCGTCTGCAGCCTCGAGATGTGCTGACTGCGGCACCGGCGGCGGCGGCACAAAGCGCAAACTTTTTTTTCCAAGACCCTCGTCATTAGGGCGTCGAGCGGGCGACAAGCCGAGGCAAAACAGCAGTGAATGATACCGAGCACGTAATTTCGCAGCGGATCGCCGGCGGTCGGTTTGTGCAATGCAATACACACACACACACCAATATCGTGGGTGCCGCCGCCGCTGTGTTTTCACAGAGAGTTAGCTGCCTGTTACCACCGTAGTATTGATTTCTGCAGGCTCGCCGCGGCACACCGAGTCAGCGAGCCGACCAACCAACCCCCAGACAAGGGCTTACTTAATGCGATGGACAGATATCGCGCGCTGCTCTCTTCCGATTGACCCCAGAGGTGTCTTTAATAAAAAAATATAAAACCTTGTTTGAAGAAGTAATGCGTCTCTTTTCAAATCCATTTATTTTCCCGGCTTTTTCTGTTTTATAGCTTTTTGCAGTATTCATGACTGTGTATCAAATTGAACATAAATAAATAAATAAATTGGCACTCGAGGAGAAGTTCATGGAAGTACTCGTTGAAAAAAAAACGTTTGAAAAAAACTGCAACCCTAATTTACGAGCAAGGGAAAAAAATCTGCAAAATTGAAAAAAAAAAAATATTTTTTATAAAAAATTGTAAATTTCAATTCAAATAGTTTTTCGATTTTTTTTTTTAATTTCACAGATTTTTTAAATTTTTTCTTGCTTATGAAATAGGGTTGCAGACCGTTACCGAAACTGGTCAAGCCGTTTTGATTTAGAGTAAAAAAAAAATACAATTTTTTATTTTTACAAAGCTTGTTTTTTTTTCATGCTTCCCCCCGTCAATCCTTTCCTTGATAACAAATTGATCAAATTTTCGTGGGAAAATTGGTGCGGCGCCTTTTTTTAATTGCTTCCGACTATTACGAGTCGCGCAATCAATACGTGCTTGTCCGGGGCAATTTATATGCCATCAGAGATATCGATCTTAACTCCCCTATAAATTAAAAATTATGTCGACGTCGCAGCTTCTGGCGAACCACAAAATGGCTGGCGGGCCTAATGTCCTCCACCGCTCTGGCTCCCAAAAATATCCACGTGTGAGAAGCGAAATTAATGTTAAGAAAAGTAGTGAATTCAATTATTTGCTCTCTTTGGAATTAAGTGCGGTCGAAATTGAGACGCACCGGAAAGTTTTTTTTCAAGGGAAAAAATATATCTTTGACCATGACCTTGGGAGTGTCTTGTGTCTGCGACTGGAGAACTTTCGATATGAGGCTTTTTCTTTCCCTGAATCGAAAAGAAGCGCAGAACAAGTCTGGAATGAATTATTAAGTTTTATTTTTGCATGAGCAGGATTCAGTACGAATTTTCTCATAATGTCTATTTGATATTTGTAGGAAAAAATAAATAATTTAATAAAATACATAGTTTGACATTTCCTCACACATAAAAAACTCCAAAATTCTAATTAAACATTTAACAATTTTTTAAAATTCATCATGACATAAAATTAAGTGTTGATATAAAGAAGATAATTAATTTCAGGTTTTGCAAAGGAATCTGAGCAAGAAAACCAAATGATTCTAAAACGAATTAGAGCTTTTAAATTTCAACCTTTAATCTGAATTTTTCCAAAACAGATTAGAATTCCTGTTTCAAAATTTACAATTAAAACTTCAAAAACCATGACAAACAAATAAACACATGACTTTTCTACTTTCCTACCAAGTTTCGATTATAAAGGATGGCCCTTTTTTGTATATTTTTTTGATCACGTGTTTTTATATAATTATATAGGCTTCATTATAATTTCTTCCAATTAGAGAGCTACTAATTGAAAATAACGACGAGCGCGAATCGACAGCAAAGTAAATAAATAAAGACCCTTGTGCGAGCGTTTATAATATGATTCGATTAGAGTGGTAGTTATTCGCGTGGGCGTGGTGATTGATGCCGCGATAAAATTGCCTCGCTGAGCCTCTCTCAATAAAATAACGTGTTGTTTTCCATCATTAAATTATTTCCAACTCTCGAGTGCTGTTGGCGCGCCGGCGAGAGAGCAATTAGGTTGTAATTTGTAGCAATAAGACGAGCGTGAGCAAAAATGCGCGACGAGACTGCCCAGGGGGACAAGTTGGGTTTTTTAAATATAATATAATATATTCCGTCGGCCGGCGTCGTTTGCTCAACCTTGCATTTTTCGCTGCACCCGCATGAAACAATTCCCTACATTTATATTTTATTTTTGTACAAAATGCGATGGAAACCGTGACACCAGCGTGACTTGCATGTCAAGCATATAAGTGAAAGTTGTGTACGTTTATATGAGCTTTTTCAATTTGTGGTCGGAATTTATTTGAACGTTGTTTGTACAAGACACATGATTTACAGTCCCCCCATTAAAGAGACGTTAAATTGTTTTGAAGAGAAAGAAAAAATAGCGAGAGGATTGTTTCGCACTTTGCTAATGGATATTGAGTGCCGAGGCGGTTTGATAGTTTTCACAAAATGGCTTCTGCACGAATCACGCGATTGACACAGCCAAGTTGCATGGAAGCCGCACAAGGTTTGCCCGGGGAGTCGAAGCGATAAATTATTTGCCCGAGAGTAGGTTTTGCATGACTTCATTTAAAGCGCGTTTCTGTCGCTTTATTCAAGCTTGAAAAGTTTCAGTGCCGCCATCGCCAAATCACGGTTTGTAGGGTTAAGGATGCTCGCTGACCAAGGTCAAAAGTCAAGGTCAAGAGTGGCGGTCCAGATGGAATAAATTGCAAAAATTAGAAATCGGATGCATGCTTAGAAAAGGGTTCAATTTAAAAGAGCGCTAGAAATATAAATAAAGGAAATATTTTTGCTTTTAATTTCATTGCATTTGAATTAACTGAGAAATTTACAAAACTCGCATTTTGGGACACCTGCGTAGCCTCTAATTTCAAACCTCCTACATGTTTCAAAAATTATTTGCCCTAAAATATTTGTCCTAAATTATTTTTCACTTCTCATAAAATGCCTTTGTCATAGATCATTTCCTCCGAAAAGTAATTTATAATTCTAGTCGATTTTCTGGAAGGTACAAAATATAAAACTGAAGCAAACTTTCAAAAAGCAAACGCAGATGCCCGTGGCTGTGTCTTTGCCGGTGACAACGTTTCGAGGTGTCTGTCTAGTGTATAATTTTTAGATAGGCCCCCTCTAATTTGGTCCTAGCAAATTTTTGACTTTTTTATTATTGTTTTAGTCAATTCTTACAATTTTTTTTTTAAATATATTTTTTATTATCAAGCACGTATAAATATAATTTATTATTAATTTTTCTTGTGTTAATTCAAAGGATAAATTAAAATAAAATATCCAAGCTTTATCAATTTTTTAACATTTCAACTTAAAACACGCAGTTCTGTATATAATTTCTGTGAGCAAACCATTATAATTATTATTATTTTAATATTTTTTTATTACGTGCATTTTAGAGAATAAAAATTATAATAAAGCTTTTTGAGATGGGCAAAAGTTTTTTTTTTTTGCAGGAATTTAAAATTCAAATCGAAACCGCGCCTTTGACACATAATTTAATTGATAAAAGCTGAAGGCTGCAGCAGAATGCTGATTTATCTGGTAAGAAGATCTGCTTACGACGCAAGTCGATGTCAGAGATTGTTTGCGAACGTACGTAATGCTTTAATAATATATCAAGTTGAGTGATGAAGTAACAAAGAGGGATCGCGAGACAAAGCCGATTAACGCACGCGGTGCAGTTTTAAAATGAGCCAACTCGCGCGACTATTCAGACTACTCAAGACGTTATTATTCGTTTCCACCTGACGCCGATTCACTAATGGCGTAATCGTCGCTTGTTTAACAGCTCGTTACAAGGCGAATAAACACGTCGGCCGATCGCGGGTGACAAACAAGAAAACAAACTCGCGCGGCCTGCACTATTTGCAGATGCTCTTTAATTAAAACGTAAATATGCGCAACGATATCGTCGAAAGCGGCCACTGACGTAACCATTAATTATTTATTATTCCGGCTTCCTAAACAAATTGATTTGAGTACTCGATGCTCATATCGTGACAAAACAAACAAAGTTAAGATTCAAACAACCTCTTCATATAATATTGTTAAAATAAGTTGACTTCCAACAAATTTCACATTGATTTCAGCTCTGAGAAACTTTTCAGTCGTCAATTGCGGAATAAAAAATATATTAAATAAATAAAATATAAACCCAATATCATCTGGCGAAGCGCAAAAACCGAGTGAATTGCTATTATAAAAATATGCGAAAAAAACTTTCAAAACAATTTCGAGCAAACTGATAAATAAATTTTGAAATCTTAACTTTAATCTTTTAGGATGCAAGTTGAAAGTACTTGATTGATTTTTCAATGAAGAATGTATAAATAAAAGATCAAACTAAAAAGGCTTTTTATATCCCGTCAGAAAGAATAGAAACCGGATTATTTTTGTTACCTTTGCATCACTCACTCCGTTAGTGGTACAACTAACAGCGGGGGTCGTTTTCAGCTTCTTGCTGGGGGGCGGGGACGACGAAGCATCCTCAGTCTTGGCAGGGCTGGCGCACTGGGCCGCCGAGACCAGCAGGTCGGCGGCTGAGGCCAGCTTGGCGGGGGTTGAGGGGTTGGACCCGGCGGGGGTCGCGGGGGCGACGGCGGCCGCCGGAAACACGAGGGCGGGGGGAATGGGGGCAGTCACTGCGGCCGCCTCCGCATTGTTCACCTGCACTGCACACGTCTGCTGGGGGGCCGCGGGGGCGGCGACGGCCAGGGAGGCGGCCTCGGCCGGCGCCCCGTTGACCGCCTCGGACGACGGCTTGGCCGGCGTCTGGTGCTTGGTCTTGTCGCGCCGGTGGCCGCTGACGCTGCCGCGCTTGGCCGCGGGGCTGCCCTGGCCCGAGGAGGGGAAGTGCTTGGCCTTGGCCTCGGCCGCGTCGCCGTTGGTGCTGGCCGCCGGCGGCGCGGCCGCCGGGGCGGCCTCCGGCACCGGGGCCTTGACGATTTCGTGCTTGGCCTCCTTGGTGCCGGGCTTGGTGCGCTTGATTTTCATTTTGAGTCCCTTGTCGACGGTGGCCGAGTGCTCGACGGCGGCCGTGGCCGCCGCCGGACAGACGGCCTTGGTGCTGCTGCTGCCGCCCTTGGCGGGGGCGTTGGCGTTCGAGGAGGAGGAAGATCCGCCTGAGCCGCCGGTGGAGGCCATGTTGTTGTTGTGGCTGGCCTTGCCTTCGTTAGTTTTCTCGATGTCGGCGTCCAAGTCGATTATTAGGTTGCCGATGCCGATGTCCCACTCATTATCGTCGTCGAAATTGTTATTCGAGGCCGGCGCTGTTGCTGCTGTCGCGGGATCGGCCCCGCCGCGCGCACTGCCCTGCTTCGCTGCTGCACTCGAGGACAAAAGCTTCTTGCAGGGGTCTGCCACCTTTCCGCGGTGGCTGCTGTCCTGCAGCGGACTCTCTCTCATTGGTTCCGCCATGCACTTGAAAACAGCGCTGCGCCGACCTGGGCAGCACTGGCAATCGCGGGGCAACCACTCTGCGGCCTGCTGAGACGCTGCTGCTGCTGCTGGACAACGACGACGCTGCAGCTGCAAGGCCACGACTCGAGCAAAGTGCCGGCTGAACTCGCTGCCGGCCCGCGTGGGCCTCCAGATCCCAACATTCTAGGTTCTGAAATCAAAAAAGAAACACACCATCAGTATAAAATGAATAAATTAAAAAAAAAATGATTATTTTGTGATTCCTAAAATTAAAAACAGAGAAGTGCACTTTTCTGCCGCGCCCCGTCGCGAAAAACGGCCTGCAGGTGGTCAATGCTCTTGTAATTCTTATCTAACTCGTTTTAAGTTAATCTAATCTGTCTTTTAAGACACAGTAATTAGGTCACACTTTTCCCCCAACCCATTTAAAACGTATAATCAATCCTTTCGGAAATCCAACTTTCACGTTGACTTGCTAATGCGACACCAGAACTATTTGGCAGGAATCTGTTGTATGACAAGACTGTGTTTGCTCAACCACTTTGACAGCAAATAAATGAGCAAACACATTTTTGGCGTTCTGCGAATTCCGCCCACAAAACTTTGTCACATACGCAGAGGCACCACAGAGCGAGGCTAACGCTCATATATATTTATGGCTGTTTGAAAGGATGTGAAACAGGGAGGGTCTGACCACAGCGGCTCCTCTTTTTTGCACGCATGATTTTACGTCGATTGCCTAGACGGAAAAAGAATATTTTAAAAAAAAAAATATTAAATACATTAATTTTTAAATGAAAGTGAAAGATTTTAATTTTATTTTGTCACACACCACATTGCTTTGTTAAATTTTTTAAATGAAGTTGAAGTTGTACTCTAATGAGTTTTGAAATGAAAGCAAATAATTTTATTAATTTTAAAATGATAGTGCAAATTTAAGTTTTTTGGTAGAATTTCACGATCGAGGGGTTGATTCCTGGTGATTTGAATTTAAAGTCAGCTTTTTGTGGATGGGATTTGTGAGTTGTTTTTGTTTAAGAAAAACACACGTTCCTCTATTCTGACCAAAATTATTATAAAAATTATGTTTGCATTTAAAAATGGCGGATTTCTCCTTATGCTTAATAAAAGAGTTAATTTGATGTTGAATAATTGGAGAATAACGAGTTGCAATTAGCTGGGGAGGCGCTTTCGAGACTCTCCCTTGAGCGACTTTTTTGTCGCCGCGGTCTCCGATCCATGCGCGCCTTGTAATTTGTAATGAGCGCGTCTAGCAGAGGCGTTGTTTACAAAGAGGCGACCGTTGTAAGTGCGAGTTGTGTAAACTTCTGCTCAATCAATACCGCACCTCTCTGCGCTTGCCAAGCCAAGTGTCCGCTCGAGGAAGAAAGAAAACGCAACGCTCGTCTTCAACAACACCGAGACTTTAACAAGACGACGCGCGAGTGAATAATCGGGCCGCTGAAAACTATTTGCTCGCTTCCGTTGCGATTCTCGCGATTGATAAACCGCCGCACGAACCCAAAGGAACCTTACTGCAGACATGGGAAAACAACTTCCGCCGGAGTTAAATGGCCCCGTGAATTTCGAAAGGCAACGAAGGAAAGGCAAAAAACCATCAAACCTCTTTCAGATGGAATAATTTAATTATGCATAAAATTTATAATAATTTCTTTTTAAGGTGGATAATAAAATTATGTTTTGAGGCTCACTTTTACGGATGCGGTCTTTTTTTATAAATAAAATGTAAAATCTTTGCTGGTGTCTTTTCAATGTTTCCCTCTCAATAATTTATTTTTTAATGAATTTTCTATAAATTTAAACAACAATGATAATGAAGCTAAAAGATTTTTACAAAGCTTTTCATTGTTAATTGAATGGTAACACTCGAGGTGGATTTCATGAAAAATTGAAACCGGGCGAACTTCGTTGCAAAGAAAAATGAAAAAATAAAGGACAACTGACCCCAAAGGCGACCTGCGGTCTGCTGGTACTTTAAAACCTAGGATTTCTTGTGTCCGACTAAAACTAAGTGGGAGGAATTAATAAAAAAAGTAAAAATAAAATGGGAGAATTTAATTTTAATAAACAAAATTTGCAGAAATTAATTAAGCAAAAGAGTCAGTCAACAGTGATACTGTGATTTTGGCAGAAATTTCCAGGGCAATGAACCCAAAGACTTTTCTGGCAAAATCACAGTATTCTGCCGCACTACTGGTTAGGACAGCTGTTTCGGCCAATCCAGGCCTCATCAGCTAACCTGAGTGCCGGTCCTGAGTACCAGCAGACCGCAGGTCGCCTTTGGGGTCAGTTGTCCTTTATTTTTTCATTTTTCTTTGCAACGAGGTTCGCCCGGTTTCAACTTTTCATTGTAATTTAAATTTTGCATACTTTTAATTTTTTAAAACACAATTTTGGCAGATATTGCCAATAAATTCGCTAGCAAATAAAAAATTTAATTTACTAGAACCGTAAAATATTAATATTTTTATAAGTTCATACAATTTTTATATAAAGTAATAAAAAACCAACTAGTTTTGTAAATTCTTTTGAAAAAATTTTGTGAAGAACTAGAACAAATCTTTTCCGAATTTAAATATGGCCGCAAAAAAAGTTTTCTCTAAAGTTGGGGATTTCAATTATACGCGGTAGTCAATGGAGTGCCGAAATGTTAAAAAAAATCGCGTGGTATTGAACTTCTGAAGCTTGCTGGCCGGAGCAAGGAAACCTCAATTAAGTGCATGACGACCAAGCGCGCCGCATGATCGATATTATTTTAATGACCCCTTTTATCTGCTGGTTTTTGCCGGCGCGCGGTGGCGACCGGAAAGAGGACCAATTAGCCGCGACCGAATTGGATTATGTCGCCTTTGCTTTGCTTCATCCCTTATTAAACGAAAATTTAGCACGTTGATATTCCATTGCCGGCAAGAAGTATACAATAATAACATGTAATTAACGAGCGCGGCGGCTTCTATACTTCTAGACCAACGTGTTCTGATTTTATCGCCACTTTAACGGCATAAATTATGGTGTTCGATGGAAATTACACGAACATTCCGGTGAGGCGCATTAGCCGCAGGCCCGCGGCGGAAACGAATAAACAATTTGACACAAAAATGTACTAGAAATGAGGGTATTTAGCCGCAGAAGTAAATACGGACAGCGCAATAAAACATTACATTGCATTTCTCAATCATCAATTGGAAAATCCAACCAACCAATTTATTCTTAATTAAAAAAAAAAGCTTAAATTTTTTTTCGTGGTAGAATTTAGAGTTTTCTTAATAAGCATCTCACAAAACCTATCAAGGAAAAGCCGAATTTAAATTCAAATCACCAATTTATTTTTAAATGGTAATTTTTCTCGGTAATAAAATAAAATCTATATAAATCGATTAAAAATGTAGTGAAAAATTGGAATATATAACTTTTTACTCAGAGTTTCAAATAAAAACTTGAAAAATTATGAATAATTCAGATAATGTTAAAACACGTAACAAGTTTGCAGACTGGATCAAAATTAACCAAGATGGCTGCAGGTCAAGATTAAAATTATTTTTAAATGAAATAATTCCAGCGAAGTTTTCGTCCGAATAAAAAATTATATAAATTATTCAGAAGTTGCTTGTCTTGCAATAATTCTTCGTTGAATCGCTACTTCAATTATCATTATTTTAAATCTTTTTTGCACAAAACTTTGACTTTCGATTACACAACCACTTTAATGCGATTTTATTGCAGTAGTTGATTAACAAGCTCCCCGAACAACCCTCTTGAGATAAAACCCATTCCGGATATAACTTATTTTATTGGACGACGTGACATCGAGGAGGCTCGCGGCTCGCAACCCCTCGCGCCGCCCCCACAGGGTTGCACGGAACAACAACGGATTATCTTCCGTGTGACCTGAGCATTAGTGCATTATTCCAGGCTGGGGGTTGCAACGTCTGCTAGATGCGTACAAATGTTATACCTAGACCAGTGACTCGCCATAAAACATGATGGAGGCGAACCGCCGAAGGGCGACAACAATCAATGAACACACTTTTTCCATTTGTAGGCACGGACGGAGGGGAGGGCGATCGCGGACGGGGAAAAACATACACAATTCATCGAGCAGCGGTGCATTATTTATCATTCGGAAATACATAAAGGGGTGGGTGGGCCGATCAGGGGGATAATTTCTTCAGAAATGACTGTTTTTTTTTTTTTGTTCACCCGAGTGGGGAGTCAAACTGACACGAAAGACCTTGCGCGAGAGAGATCTCACTCTGGGATCGGCTGCTTTTTTTACATTGGTTCGTTCGACCGGCCAACAATCGAAATATAAAGAAGCGAAAAAGAAAGAAGAGTCGCTGCTTAAAATTCACCATTCTGCGGCGGCACGGCCCTTGCCTGCTTGACAGGCAGACAAGAGGGAACTGGTTCTCAGTGCGCATAGCCGATGCGTCAACGCAAACACACATACACGTATCCCCCGTGAATATGAATTCGGCCAAAAATGCAAATTAGCCAGCAGATCCGACTCGCACGTAGTCATCAATAGGCCTATTGTTCTAGGGTTTAAATGTTCACCTACGTCGTACTTGATTGCGACACACCGCTGAGATTATAATTAAATATAAATGACGTCGGCTGCAAAGGAACTCGGTTAATTTAAATAAATAAAAAACTCACCTACGACTAATCCAGAGATTATTAGCAACGGTTTTCAGCATGGCACAGAGCAGTATCCGATTTGTGAAGCACCTCCGCGATGGTCGTGAATGCGTGTGTGTATAGATCGCTTGTGTGCGCAAAACACCACCACCACCACTCATATAATCCGCGGCACACCTTGGGCCGCCGACTGGGTCGTGTTTGGGCCCTGGAATCGGTCTCAATAATCGGCGAAACGCGAGAAAAGCGGTGCGAGAGAGCTGCCGTCAATACACGGAGAGCGCGTCGGCAGCCCCCAACAGAATCTCCAATTGAAACAGGAGCGCCAACCGAACGGCGCGTGAGTTGACACGGTACCAACGTGACAGACGAGCAAACGAGACGAGAGACGCCCTGAAATTTCTCGTTGGCGGCGCCAACGAGACGCTGACGGTCTCTCGCAACGACCACCACAAGTATCCGCCGTGGCCGTTGACGCGCGACCGCGTGCGGCCCGCGAATTTCCCTTCGCGCCCTTCGGCGTCGCCACCCTTTGCGAATTCGCCAACCCTTTTTTCCTGCAGGCGCGAACGACGATTGAAGGGCGATTTTTGTTTCGGGCGAGGTTCGCTTTTTCCGGCGCAAAGTGGCGAATCGCGTGCGTCGCGGCACGGCGGAGTCTTGCGGTGGGCCGCGGCCAAAGTTGGGCTAACTGGAGGCTGATTTTTCATGGCTGGCAGAGGGTGATAAATTCTCTAGTACTTCTCATCAAGATTGCCATGTGTCGGTGTGTATGGCAAGCAAAGTAGTCATCGAAGAGCGAGCGCGGCAGCGTATTATTATTATCTTTTATGCAGCGCACGGCCAGCAGCAGCAGGCAGACATTATCCGCGACGCTGGCTATTTTCGGAGGCCGCACCACTTCCGACTTTCCACATTATTTGATTTTTTTTTAATTTACTCCTAAAAATGCAAATCTTTCACTAATCAAAGTGAGAAGTTTAACGAAATCAAGTGTGAAATTGACGCCTCTTATCTAGCTGCGCTTGTACAAACTTCTTCGCATCTTCGGCCATGCGATTATATTTAATTAATGAGCGAGGCGCGGTGTTTTTCATAAAGATTAGGTGTGCGCAAACATATAGTGCTCTCGAGATAATAATAATTGATTTTTTAATAACAATAACACGCTTTTAATGGTGGCAGTCGGAATTCTTTATTCCTCTTTTCTCGGCTCGCAACTGGGCGCATAAAAAGCAATAAAGACTGACCTTGCCTTTTTATCTCGCCGGAGGGAGTATTTTTTTCCTCCTCGATTAGGCCCTTATTTTCGTGTAATTTACGTCCAAATGTATTAGCCTTTCCGTGAAAATAACACACCGTGCAAAAGCAATCTGATTTTTTTCTTGTATAGAATTGTCAGAAAGGTTCGTTTTCGTAACCAGTTTTTAACATCAAAAATATAAACAGAGAAAACCTTTTTACCTTTTTTAATTCCTGAATTTAAATTGAGAACAAAATAATTCCCTAGAAAATTTAAATGCTCCAATCAAGCTCTAATAATAAAAATAATTCATCTGTATTTTCAGGGGTGTACTGAAATTTCATTCTATTTTTTTTTTTTTTTGCTTTGCCTTAATTAATACGCGTTTGATTGTTGCTGATTTTTTTTCATTAAATAAAAACTATCTTTGGCTGCTATCTGCGTAGCCAATGAGCTGCAAATTATTTTGAAAATGTAAATGAATCATGTTTTGTTGGAAATTTACAATTTAATAAATAAAGGAGCCGCAAATTTTTAAATATATAAAAATACAGCATTTGAAATTTTTAGATTTATTTTTCCTTCTTTTGCTCAATTTTTGTTGAAAAAATATTTTTTTTACTGAATGTAAGTGAAAACTTCAGTTTTATTTTCTTACATTACAAAAAAAAACGTGCCAAACCGGTGTCGACATTGAAAATAAATTTTCCGCTTCATCGCACTCTTGATGTGCAGCTTTGAAATAACCAATCAGTATAAAATAAAAATCAAGCAGCCCGCGGCGAAACATTTGTTTATTTGTACTCATTCAATTCCCTCCGCTTTCATTTGTGTAATTGAATCGTCGTATATAATATTGAGTTTCACTTTAATAAATCAGCAACAATTATCCTTTGGCGCGCTTCCAAAAACTATGCATGTACTGCCGGACCGATAACTGGATGCGGGGCAATTAATTATGATCAGCGGCGATCGAATGATGGGCGTTTTTCCGGGATCGAACGTTCAACAAAGGTGGGCTCTCGAAACAAAAGCACCGGGGGCCGCCGCCGCTGCACAATGGGCGAGCAGCGCGATATAATAAAAGACTATACAGCAAAGTGGTAGCCCCTCTTTCTCTGCTGCAGCCAACGTACTAAATGGATTGTATAATTCTGTATACAAGCGTGGTAGTCGCCGCGCCATGAAGTGTTGAGTCGCGCATCGCACACTCTCTTTCATAAGCAAAGCGAGGGATCTTTCAAAAGTACATATATATGTGCAAACACGTGCAACGCTTTGCTTATGGTCCCGGCGGCACATTCTGCGCATTCGTGATGCGCCGCTGCTCTCTCGCTCCAACCGCGGAATTCCGCACTTTTTAGTTTCTTTTATCGATTCGCAGTTGAAAGCTTTAAAAGGTAATTCGTTCTGCTTGAAAAACAGTAGGCTGCAGAAATTGATCTTGATAAAAAAAAAAACAAGATTAATAATTAATTATTACTTCTCTTTATTAGTTCTTAATCTTTTTTATTGAGATCAATTACCAGGAAGAATTACTTTTTAAAGCTTTTTCAAATAATTTTTTAATAAAATTTTGAAACCTTTTAAACAAATTGTACAGTTTAAAAGGAAAAAGTGCAAAATTATTAATAAGTAATTCACAACGCAATTTAGTTCGGAAGTCTTTTGATCGCTGCAGGAGAAGCAGCAAAAAGTGTAAAGTAGGCTTTCCGTCGGTCACATGTGTCAAGAAATTGCCTAAATTACAATCTCAGTAAGCCAAATTAAGCGGCTTGGAGCAAAAAACGTTGAATAATTATAAGCTCCGCAAATATAAACAAAAAAAATCAAAGGCGTGTACTATACATGAATGAGTTTCGCGCGTCAAAATATAATAATTATGAAAATAAAAAAGTTCAATTTATTAGGGAAGCTTCTTTTTTTAAATTTTAGAAGAATTTTAATAAAAATGTGTTCGTTTTCAAATCACTGGATTTCACTTCCACTTATCCAATCTTTTGTTAAATCTTAAAAGGTTTTTTTCAACATTTATTTATTCTGCCAGTATTTGAATAGTCTGTGGAGTGTCAACGTGGACAAATTAAAAAACTATGCGCCGCTCATTATCTCGCTTGTTCCTTTTGTGATGATTATTATGTTTTTTGTAACGCGAGTCGCTCTGGTTCGAGCACAATTTCCGGCTCTTGTGTGTGTGTGTGTGTGTGTATTCCAGGTATGGCATTGAAAAGTGGCGGCCGAACAAATGTGCAGTCACACAAATCCAGAAAGACATATTTTCAGCGTGTGTAGCTGCGGCTCCGTCAGATAATTACAATAGGAGGCAGCGGAGAGGATAACATGTTGGGTTTGCGTTTGAAACCAAAGGGTTCTGACTGAGCTATGCAGCACTAAAAGATGTGAGACGGCTTGTGAACTAAATGAAGAGTGAGCATGTTGATAAAAGCAGCGCGCGGCGGTTGCTTGCGGTGGCGCGGCAGCTTGGGCGTCGGGCGCGCCACGGCCGCTGCTTGTCGTGGCCCTCGTGCCGACTGGAAAAGGGCCTGACTTTGTCATACAGAGGCGAACGATGTTTAGTTTGATCCTCTGCCTGCGCGCTACCCCGCCAGCAGCCGCCCGCCCTCCCTTCCTCCCTTTCTGCACATACTTGTGGGCACCCGACATACACACTACCCCGTACCTATACCCATCCTCCAGACGTAAACCGCTTTCATAAAAAACAACTTTCCTGCCCCTTTCTTTCCTCATACAAAACTTCCATTATTCCATGGTCAAGACCACCCAGCTTTTTATAAAAAATTTTAATTAAATTTTTTAATTTTTTTCATAATTAAAAAAAAACGTTTTTATAATTTTCTTATTTTGGATGTTTTTCAACAAGGCGTTAAATTTATTTTCGTTGCAGTGCGTTTGGATTCTCGTAGCGTGACGCATGAGAGGACGTAAGGAGCGAATAAAAGACTAGGGAGCACCAAGCAGATGAAAAAGAAAGAGCCGCTGCGGGCGACGAGCTCGATTGAAGTGCAATCGACTCAAACTCTCTACAGTCCTGCCACCTCTCGAGTCCTTCCCGAGTTTTTTCACTCCGCCTCAAAGTGGCGGCCAAAATCGGAACTAATTTTTAGCGCTGGATAAACGTGCTTATCGAGCTGCGCTGTTTGTTTGCGAAGTTCTCGGTTTTCCTGCTATGATGTTTGTTGCCAGTGAGAGACTCACTCACTGTTCGATTGGGAAATTAATTGGAACTCGTTGTGGGAGGCTGGGAGTGGAATTCTACAAATTAATTACGCGATACATTAGGTGGTTTCTGTAACGCAGTACAATTCTGTAGTACTGCTTCAGGCTTTTTTAGCTACAAGAGCCGATGAAATTGATTGCGGTTGCGTAATGGTCCGGTCGCAAATGAAGGATAAACGCGACAGAAATAAACCAAGCGGAAGTAAATTTATGTATGAAAAAAGCCCAAATAAGACATATTCACTGCACATATTGAAAAGATTATTGTGCGTTTAATAAATGAAAAACTTTTCTCAAAAATAAACTTATCAAAATATAAATTTAATTGGATGCTTTCTGTGAATGTTTGAATAACATAAACACGATCAAATAAGGCAGCGTTTTATGTAAATTATTTCCGGGTCAATGATAATTAAGTTGTTTTATTGATATTTCTGTAAGGGAAAACCTAAGAAGGTTCTTTCTCCAGATATTAACAAAAGCCAAATAACGGGTAAAAGATAGAAATCTAGAATTATGTATTATCAAAGAAAAATTTTAAAACCTTCAATATCAAATTTTGTATGGTCTTATACGGGTTTTTGTTATTATTGTTGATATTTAAATAGAAAATAGTAAAATTTTAATAAAAATAGTCTTTTGTGGTTTTTTCTGGTTGATATCAACATAATTTTTTTTAAATCCACATAATTAAATTTTATGACTATATATGAACGTTATTTGTTGATTGAATGGAATTGGCCTAGATATATTTAGGGATGAGAATTTAAAGTTGATTTTTTTCGGATCAAATTATCGAGTCTTTATGGTCAATTCAAGCTTCACATAATTGGTTTCACCTAATTTTGTACAACATATAGTTAAATTTCATCTTTTGTTTAATACATGAAAATAATTTTTTAGTGAATCGCTATGAAAATTTCATCGAAAATAAAAGTAAAAAAATTGGTGTTTTATACTCAATTTTATTTGCATAAATGGTAAATTGATTTAGCTTTTAAATCATTTTGGAGGAAAAGTCAAAGTCAAAATAATAGATTCTATAAAATTGATATTAAATTTATTGAAAAGAAATTGATTAAACTAAAACGGTGGTAGAGCAGGCAACTGAGTTCCGACCGCTCCGAGGCTATTGGTGACGGTGTTGGCCGCATTTCTGGCCACTTGGGCCGCCTGCTGGGCGTAGGCAGCTTGCGTGGCAGCCCTGGTGGCCTCGGCCGCTTGTGCCTGGAAGGCCGCCTGGGCGTTGTAGGCAGCCTGGGCCGCTGCGACTACCTGTGCGGCGGCCTGGGCGGCCGGCGAAGTGGCCGCTCCCTGGGCCTGGAACGCGGCCAGGGCGGGAAAGAGGCCGCTGGTGGTGGTGCTGGACGAGGCGCCGATGGGCACGGCGCCCGCGCCAGAAAGGGTCACCGTGGCCGAAATGGGGCCTCGGGCCGGCTGCACGATGCTGTTGCTGGTGGTTTGCAGGCCGCTCGCTGCCGCAGCCACCCCCAGTGCCGCGCCACGGGCCGGAGGCGTTGGGGTGGCCAGCATTGTTGGGGTGGGTGTTGGAATAAGCGAGGACGGAACGGGCACGGGGATGGGAATGGCAACAAAAATCGGCGACGCGGCATCCCATTCGTTCTGGTGGTGCAGCCCGCCGCGAGAATGATGCTCTTTCCGGTTCGATGGCTTTGCAGGGTGGATTTTGGGAGCAGAGCGAGGGTGGCCGGGGTGCCAAATGAAGGGCGGCCACTTGCTGGGCGCGGGGATGCTGCTGGCGTCCCACTCGGGGGAGAAGTGCCGAGGGTGCCAGAGATACACCCTTTGGCCGCCGCTCACGTGCAAGAAAGTGATAAGACACAAAGTTGCGAGGGCCAACTGAAATTTGCACAAAACTTTTAAGAGTGTTTTTCTTGGCCAAGATATATTATATACAGCACTAACTTTTAATCTCTCTGTTCACATTAAACGCACTAAATAAAGTGTGGTCTTCCGGAAAATTGATTTTATATAGTTGCTATGGAATTTGCAAAGCTTCTGCGTGCAGAGCAAAAACGAATTGGCATTCAACAACATGGAAAAGGTCAACTTAAAACAACATTGATTGAAAAACATAAAACATTTGGAAATGTTTTCACAAAGCGATTAACATTTACCGAACAATGTTGAATAATTTGCAAGCTTTTGAGGAGCAGTTTATTTTCCCAAAATAATTTGGTTTTAAGAATCTGTCAACAGATTTCTAAATCAGTGAAACGCGTAAAAAATACATTCTTTTTAAACGCTTATTAAACGCCACAAAATTTTACTTTTAACAGCTATATTTTTCATCAGAATTAGTTATTACGAGATGTTATTATTTTATTTACACACAAAATCTATTTTAATTGATAAAATATAAAATTGAAAACCAAGGATTTTATGTATAAATTCGTTTAATTAATAATGCAATTAAATGAAGCTTCATTAATAGTTTAACAAAAGCATTTTGTCTAATTTATTTGATATAGAATTACTAAAATTTAAATTAAAAAAGAATCTTAAAAAAATGCTTATTTTTTTTGTGTTGTGTTGAATATTAAAGAAGCAAGAAAAGTTATCACCGTACCTTCATGTTGCCGAGTTCATGACTGACAGATCGATTCCTCTCGATTCTGCTTTATAAAGATTCACTGCTCCACATCGAAGCGAATAATTTTATTGCTTTACAATGGAAAATATTTGAGTGTGCAATAATAATTTGTACTCTGCACGCTATTTGCTTTCCTACCTCGGCATAAGTTTGCATTCAAAGTGCAATCTCGATTCGTTTTACAGCACGGCTTGCATACACACACGTAACAGCAAATAAATATGCAAATACGTAAAGCTATGTCAATTTGTATCTTCGTTCCAGGGAGCAATATTGCACTATTTCATAATTCAGCGAATTTCTAGAAATATATGTAGAGCCTCGTTTTATAAGAGGCCGTATTGGAATTATTCAGAGATCGAAACGAACGCGTATATAGATATAATTTAATTTCCTCTTCCTGCTCCAAGCAAATTTCGCCATACAACAATGCAAAATTAGTGGATTATCCGCGGCAGAGCGGAACTCTCTGGCACACACTCAAGGCCGCGGCGGGCGACGTCTCACAAATTTAATTGATGATATTCGCATCTCTCATGTACGACGCAGCAGCTGATGGAAACAAATTCCTTTCGAGCGAGCGCAGCTCTTTATCTCCCATGTGCATTGAGTCGTGCAGTTTAAATGCATCGCATAAAGAGCACTCGAGTAAATTTACATCCTGCTCCACACCAGGGAGCGCAGATATTCTCCCAAGGAAAAATGGCCACGAGTGGAAATCAAGACCTCTGAACCAGAAAGTTGGCGCACGTCGACGCTCGCACAGGAAGCGGCTGATTTTTCCACGTTCCTCCTCTGCCAGGCTCTGTCAGCCCTTTCTGCGCGCCCTTTTTTTTAGATAAATGTACTTTTTTATGAAGCCCAGATGGCTCCTGCGGGCTAAGTACGAGCCCTTCATCATTCTTGCTGCGGGCGCGCTCCGCACAGAATCGGATTTGTGGCCATTCAGTTGATTTGAATTGGAAAAAAGCGTTCCGCTCTTTTTTGTACACGGTGAGTGCTCGCGGCAGCCGATTTTCCTTCCTTCCGCCGGGCAAGCGATTTGTTTTTCCTGCCCGTGCGGGACTCATGATCTGTAATTGATAAATAAGCACAGCAGCGTCGTTACGACCCGATCAGAATTTGGAATTTCGGTCGGTGCGGCTCGCAGGAGAGCAGTTAGGGAAAGGTTAAGGGCGCGCCGTTTGCAGCCAGTGGGGATAAGTAAAGAAATATATAAATAAGATCTTGCCGAGGAGCAGCTTGTCAGTATAAAGAGAGAAACGGCGCGCTGCTCGACGAGGCCTTAAACTATTGCTGCCAGGCCGCCAAGATGCATCACCACTTTCAGGTCAGTTTCTTTCGCCCAGAGCCAACCGAGAGACGTGCGCATACATTTCGCAGATTTGTCTAGTGAAATTTTCAAATGAAATCAATACCAAAGTAATTTGGCCGCATTAAATTTTGAAAGGATGCTGCAGTCGAGAGTAATAAAAAGCTTTTATAGACATTTTAACAATTTACGGACTTATTCGCTCTTATGCAAATACACAAAATCATTAAAGAAAAACTACTGAAGAGTCTTAAAAATTTACATTTGTTTTTAGGGGGACGAAGAACGCGTTTGTCGCTCTATCAAATCTGACTTTCAGACTGAATTCAAAGTGCTACCAACACAATACATATTATTTAGGATAGAAATAATTAATTAATAATAATAATGAGCTAATTTTTTTATATAGTTGCACGCATTTTGTGGAAACTAATATATGGCAGATGTTTTTTTTAACCGACTGTGAAATACACGATCAGGATTTGCACTTTAATATCACATTTAAAATAAATATCAAATTCTGTTTGAATGGGTGCGTGTTGAAATTAGTCATGCAAAAATTTTATACTCTGAAAATTATACTGTTGAAACCAGACAACTAAATCATCCAGATTCGAGGGGACTGTCAGTTTAAAAAAATGCAAACTTTCCTCATGGGACCACTCTACGGTAATAAAAACATTGCATTACAAAAATTACAACCCCTCGAATTTGAGATGATTTAAATGTTTTGGCTCCAATAGTTTCATATGTATGAGATACAAAAGTGCTTTTCCTAAAATTAGAAATAAAACACAAATTAATATTGCTAATAAATTAACAATCGCACCTCATAATCAGATTAAAAGAATTCTACTAATTAATTTAATTATAAATTCAAGCAGTTATATATTAATTAAATTTTTATAACTGTATATTTGAATAGCAACCTACTTTTCACAAGGGAAATCGGAATGTTAAATCACAAATAGGCAGAATAGATGCTTTTTAATTACAACTCGTTCAGTCAAAAGGGCAAATACGCAGAATTCAAACTGTATGTTATTAACTGAAGCAAATTAAATTCACATCAAAGCATACTCGTGACCCATTCATCAAATGCGAGTGAAAGGATATTTGGTCTGGAAATTCACTTATGGCTCTTCTAATAAATCGCCAAACATAAACCTCCCTCCAACGCATCCCTAGAATTTAATCACCACAAACTGATGTGATGACAAATAGCGTGTTGCAAAATTTAATCGTCGCGGCTGCGGCGTTTGCGGCTCAGCACCGTAAAAAGCGACGTGCGCTAATCAGCAAACACTATTTTATATTGATGCCTTTATGAAACGTGTGGGCGTGTTGGTGTTTGGCACGGGAGATGGATTATGGCCCGATTTTCGGGGTTGAGAGCGTCATTGATTTACAATATATATTGGCTCTTATTGCAAAACATTGCGCCAGCGCACTCATTTTTTAACGCGCGCGCGAGGGAAAGAGCGACGTGCGTGAATAAATAAATCACCGAGACCCTCTCTTGATAGAAACTCAGCCCGGAATAACTTTATTGGCAGGATCTGCTCTGTTTTCGGCATATAAGAAAAGTTCCGTCGTCGTACACGCTGAAAGCGAAAACCCCCACAACGTGAATAACTCTGGACCGAAAATAATTGGCGCTCTGACAATGAACAACTTGAGAGACGACAATTGTTTTTTATTGCTCGTTTCGCGTGATATATTTCTCCGAGAGACACGCTACTTTTTCACCGCGCGAATGAATTTGAGCACCAAAAAGAAGGGTGCTTGGTATGGTGTAATAAATTGGCTCTCATCTCTAGTTGGATAAGATAAAATTAGAAATCTCGACTACACTGTTAATTTTAATCAAGATATTATAGAAAACTATTTTTAAATTTAAAAATGATGTTCAAAAACCTATTATTCAAATGATGATTTCTTTTAATTGTTTATTAAATTTATGGTGTTAAAATAATTAAAATAAAGATTCTTGATGAAAATAGCATTAATTGCATTCAGCTGAACATATAATTTTATTAAATTTGATCGAAAATAATACAAATTTTAGATAAATGTAATCAGAAAAGACTATTGAAGGTAACAGGGATAAGAAATATGTGAATATTTTAACTACTTTTTAATAAAAAGCCAAATTTTACAACCAAGCTTTAAAAATGTTGAAATTGAATGAAAATTTGAAAGACCTTTTTCGTTTATGTATATTTGAAGGGTTCCGTAAAATGACGCTCTAAGTGCACATTCATGTATGCGCTAAGAACAGAATGTGAGAGCCCTTTTCATAAAATGGCCAATCTCAGAATTTTAAGGCAAAATCAAGTGCACTAACCTATTCGCAAAATATACTCCCTAAAATTTTATTATAACTTACAATTAATCCTCTACTTATACCAGAAATCGTTTCACTTCACTTATTCCACAATATCCTCTAAAAATTATCGCATTAAATTTTTTGCAAAAATGCATTCAAAGAAATAGGTCAACATGATATTCATGCAAAATTCGCTCTAAACAATTTATTTATTCATCTTTTTTATAAATTTAATTTTAGTATCAAGCAAAAATTTATATTCTTTAAAAAAAAATCAACAAAATCGCCTTTTGAGGTGCCCAAAGCTTTTCCGAATCATCGAAATGATCCTCATAATCCATTCTCTCAGTGCCTGAGAGCAATTTCGGCGCCTTTGCCCCATTTATACAAACACAACGCGACGTGAATGAATTTGAGAAGCACGAAGGAAGGGTGCTTCGCTCTCTCTGTACGTGTTTTCATAGCCAAATTTTCGCCTCTCCGGCATGTACACCGACTGTGAAATACGCGCCCGCGCGTGCATATTATCCACGTTCGCGTTACATTTTTCTCCTGCTTTTTTTCGCCGGATTATCCCGAGCTCTTTCGTTTTTATCTCTCTCGCACCCGCAGAGTCAAAGCTCCGACGGACCGAGAGCGCGAGCGAGCACATCAAGCGCGCCAGTCAACCTTGTCGATTTTGCATGTGTTTTGTTTTTTCACCATTCTATCTGGGAGTGGAGGCGAGTTGAAAATGAAAGCAAGCTCGTATTTCAAGGTGAAGTGGTTTTGCTTGTCGCAGCAGGGATTGAGCTGGCGTTCCATTTCGAATATTATTATTGACTGAGAGAGCGCGCCGAGCGTCCAATAAATATTAATCCATTACAAACAAACGTCCGTTCGCGCACCAACAACGGATAGTTTCTGTCCCAACGCATTCGCATCGATCCGATTTATATGCTTCATTTTTGTGTGCAAATGCAACCGTGTGGAACTTTGCTAGATTACGAACTCGGAATGCATGTTGTTTCATTACGTGTTTGCGGTTTGTAAATAAACTTGGCTCGAATAGAACGCGAAATATATTTCATTAAATATATTAAATCTCTTTAGCATAAGGTAGGTAATTTCAAAAAACAAAATTTAAGCGGTTTAAAAAAAGGTTGTATAATCTCAAATAAATTCAAGCTCTTTTGTTTGGGGAAAAATATGATTAAATATTTATAAATCGCAATTTTACTAAAATGTGGAATAATTTTGTATTTCTTGGCTTGGCTTGAATGATATAATTAGGAAAAAAAATAAATATCTTCATTAAAAATCAAAAATTAAAAAAATCGCGAATTCTCACACATTCTCACTTTTTCATGCTTGTTCTAAATTTGGGAAATGAGCAGGAAAATTTTTGACAATCATTTAGCTCAATTCAATTCGTTTAATTCTCTCACAACAGGTCGTGGATCAAATAACAATAAACCTTTCAATTGAAATCCATGAAGGAAACCACCAAGTTTTAATTAGTTTCAGCAAAAACTGCCACTTTTTTTAAACAAAATTTTCAGCCTAGAGATAATAATCTCTATATATGCAAATTTCACGTTTCTAGATAGCACTGTGTTGAAATTGAACTTTCCAACTTTTCACAGACCCTGGCCCTAGTGGTGTGTTGCACTTTGCTGGTGCAAGGGGCGAGCGTGGTTAGGGTGCCTCGAGTCTACAACATCCTGATTAAGTCGGATGGAGCGATAGCGCCGAGCGAGGCCGTGTCCTTAGACAGCCTGAACGAAGAAAAGGCGCCGGAGAACAACAGCCGTGAGAGTGGCGAGAAGAGCAACGAGGAGCCCGCACAGGAGCCCCAAGAGCCGCTGCCCGTTCTGGACGCCAAAGACGGCGGAATCGTCGACGGGGTCAACTACACGGAGGTGCCGCTTTCCAGGGCTTATCCCCTGACTAGGTATGCAACTTGTTTTAAGAGTATCAAATAATTGTACACATAATTTAATTAAAGAGGGATAAAAAAAAGAGCCCAACAAATGGGGCTCAAATTTGCACAAGCAACACAAAAAAATTCAATACAATTATAATTTTAAAGATAAACTATTTTAATTATAATTTTTTCCCCATTGAAGCCATACACAGAATTAAAAGCACTTTTGACTCAAAATTATAATGAGCATGTAATAATTGAACAACTCTCAGATTTGACTTCATCAAAAGGCCCCATTTGAAACAGATAAACTATTGACAGAAGAGCCATAAATTAATACAAAGATTATTGCAACAATGAAATTTAATTCTTGGATGCGAATTTGCCGGCAATAAATTGGAATTTTAATTTCGTATTTATCGTTGAGAAATTTCAGTTTGGATTCAACGAGGTTAAAAAAATCTTCCTTATTTTAAATTTGTGGTATAAACTCTTTTTTTATTTTGTGGTAAGAAGAATTTTATGCGAGTTATTTTGATAACGAGACAAATCAAAATTGTTTTTAAAGAATGCAAAATGTTAATATTTCCACGAATAATATAAATATTTTTTTACTGGCGGCAGGAGGTGATAAAATGTTTTATAAATGAAAAGAACGTATTAATAATAATTAAAAAATAATAATAAATAAATATATAAAATTATATGTTTTAAAGTTGTGTGCATCGATTTGTTTTCACTTGAAAATACAAGCCAACAGCAGAAATTTATTATTTTTTCCAGCGGAGGGGAAATAAAATTGCCACTCTAAACTTTAAGCATTTCATCCAATTTGTATGCTGCTCGGCTTTGGCAAATAATTTAGTGCACTTTTCCCACCTGGGCGGAGAGTGCAGCTCTCGGCTTTAAATAAAACGGCCGTGGTGTAAATTTAGGGCTCTTGGTGAGTCTCGCTCGTCGTGCAATCTGATCAATAAAACGTTTCAACGCCTCCCTTGTAAGCTCTTTAAGTGCTCGCAGACCGTGGCCTATCTGTTTTAGAGAAATAATTAAATAATGATATTCCCATACGAAAACGGCGGCTCGCACAGCCCTCGCTAATCCCACCGGTCGCCCCTGCCGGCCAAAAGTCTAGCACATTACATTTATTGGCACCGGAGGATTACTTCTCGCTTCGTGAGCACCTCATAATCGCTCCTATTGTTAGTTAACCCTCCCATTTCTGGCAGAGACTCACACGCCCGAGCGGACCGCCGGCAAATGCACAACGGACGGCCCGATTACGAATGGCCGCACCACCATGTGTGCACAGAAATACCACCTAATTTATCTTTTATCGTCGGCCGACGCAGACTTGGAGCGAAATTGCAATGTACCGCTGCCTGCAATGCAATTCGCTTTCTTGACCAGTCGTTGGAATAAACCAACCTCGCATGTTTTACGAGCGAGTGCGTCCGAAATTAATTTCCAGGCCCTGACTAATCTACTTTTCTCCTAAAATGGGAATCTCCGTGTTTTTATTACCACTTAATAAATTTGTAAAGTTTAAAATGAAATTATAAATCTTCTCAACTATTTGGTGTGATTTATAGAATATACCAATTTAAGAATGAAAATGAAAAACGAATTTTGATTTGGCAAGAAAATACCAAGAAGAAAGTTAATAATAAGAATCCATTCATTTCGTAAACTTTTTATATAATAAAAAATTCTCTTTTGAGATGACAATACGAATGTTTGGAAACAGTAGCCAAAAGGACTGAAGTTGTTTTTCCGTTAAAAAGATTTTTTAAGCCAGGAATAGACCGGTTCTTCAAAAGACCCAGGCAAAAAATATTTATTTTGTAGACATTGAACTAATTAGTTGACAATGTTTAGTTTTGAACTGAATTACAAGCTGACTTTTCCTGGTTGGGCTTTTTTTAGTCGTTCATAGAAAATCAATATTATGCGATTTAAAATCGGCTGGCTAATCTGTGAATTATTATGACAAAAATAAAATTGACAAAAATCAATATGAATAGTTCAAAGTTTTCAGTATATGCTTAATATAAATTTTTTATAGATTTTCTACATACATACATTGAGCTATAAAACAATCTTCAAATTTTTTTGCATTTTTAGCTCTAATAAAATAAAGAAAATAAACCTTTTCTCCAAAAATGATTATCTGATGTATGTTTACAGGTTCACAGTGCCCATCATTGCCGCCCGCCACCCCTTCCCGTACCTGCACGGCGGATTGATTTTGGGTCCAGTGCCGAAAGCAGCCGCTGCCCAACAGCAAAGAGAATTCCCTGGCGGGCCGGCTGACTTTGAGCAGCAAAGTGAGATAGACGAGACCCAGTCGTATAGGCAGGACCCCCAAAAAGCAATTCAGCAGCTGCCGTTGCCGCAGTACAGGAGTCGGGTGGACCATTTGAATTTGGACCCGGCCGCCTTCAGGGAGAGGATCCTGCAGCCGCAACGGGCCCAAGAGCAACTCGAGGAACAGGAAGAAGAAGAAGAAGAGGACGAACAATAATTAAAAAAGAAGAAAAACCCCTCGGCTCAAGCACACTGTTGAAACATATCACTTTTATGAATAAAATTAAAACGCAACAATTAAAAAGAGCTGCTGGGATTTTTTTCCCTTTTCCTGTTTGACTTTGAGCAAAAAGTTAAAAGGGCTTTTACTGCAGCGCTCGGCGAACATAAAGGCAGTCGTTATGCAACAATTTCCACGTATTCTCTCACAGCAAATAAAAAGCAGCACACGACTCTCTGCTCTGATGTGACGAGTCAAACTTTAGCAAAGGATGTTTTTACTTCCGGATTTCACGGACGACCAGACTGGCTGCCTCGGGCATCGAGTGGCTGCAGAATATCAACTTGCAGCCTCGGCACACAAGACCTTCTTTTCTGTGTCAATATTTCATAGAGGGTTCAGAGGCGCCACTTCTTTTTCTTCTTCTTAATTAATCTCCACCGGCTCGAGCTAAAAGAAGCGCGTCAAGTGTTGTTCTTATTAATTAAAAAAAGGCTGCGTAGGCTGAAAATTATATTTAATCCCTTAAGAGGAATAAGAGGTACTTTATTTCGCATTGCCGATACCAGTTGACAAAATCAAATGACACAATACAGAATTCCAAAAATATAATTGATTTTGTCAAAGAACTAATTGGAGAGTAATTAGCGTTTCACATTAAATAAATTCCTAATCACATCATTTCTTTGGAGGCGGGGGTGTCAGTGGGGGCGGCGGACTCCTCTTCTTCGGGCATGGGGACTTCGGTGGGCTCCTCCTCGGGGGCTGCAGGCTCGGCTTCCTCCTCGGTCTTGGGCGCCTCTTCTACAACCTCAACTTGAGCGGTTTTGGGGCTGTTCTCGGCTTCGGGCGCGACCACGTTGGTGTAGATTGCGGGGGCGGCGTACGTGAAGGGCGACGACGGGTACGAGAAGGAGATGGGGACGGAGTAGTGCTGAACAATGGGGGTGTGAAGTGCGTACGCGTGGCTCTCGATGGTTTTGTACGCAAAGTTGCCTCCAAAGCGTTCTGACTTGATGTACGCACTATCGTGGGCAGGGGTGCGCACCAGGGTGGGCAGCAGCACTCCAGCGTTGGCCACGGCGACGGCGGCAGCAAAAATAATACAGCACTGGAGAAATGTATTTAATATTAATGGGAATAATTAATAAAACTTCAATACATTTGAAAATACAACTGGGAAAATTTGCAAAAATAAACTCTGATTAATTTAAAATTTTTGTTCCCTGAGAATTGATGAAAGCAAGTTATTATTAATTAAAATTTATCAGTTTAAATTATTAAAATAAATTAAAAAATTTAGACAATGAGATAAAAAGTTTGAAGAAAAATATTATTAAATATTCATTTCTTCATTTGGGTCAAAAATTTATTTCTAAATTACTCGATTGGTAAACAAAATTATAAAATTTGACTAAAATATTTAATCATATTTAATTGCTGATGGTAACTTTATAATAAAATCTTGACTTACAATTAAAAATTTTCGTTTTCAATTATTAAATGTATGAATTATGAATGTACCTTCATTGTTGGTGGGTGAGGAGGAATCGCTTGTGTCGGACGCTGGTGAACTTCTAACGTCGGAGGTGCAGCCGCGGCTTATATAATGGACTTGATCCCATGGGCACGATTAACCTGACACCACCCTCTGTTTATGGTGGTCGAGACCAAGGTCGGACGCGATGAGATATTCACCCGCCAATTATGGAGCAATACTCGTCGTATGAATTCAAAACAGTATCGCACACTTTCATTTTCAAGTGACAATGAGAGCGCGAGTGCAGTGTTTAATATCGCCTCAAAGTCATCTTTCTATGTCGCGTGTATTGTTTTCCGCGCGCATTGATAATTAAAAACGCCTCGCGCCGCTCATCGATTTTCTTCTTTCGCCTTGATCAAGACAAAAACTCTCGTGGCATGGGGTGAGAATTTTTAAGAGCTGTCGTCCAATGAGTTTCTTCCCTCCCGATAGACCGAAGAAAAGTTTTTCCTCTGGCGAAATTCTTTTCATTCAATTAAACCATCGAACGAACCCCGCAGCAAAAGAGCGCGCACCAGATGCGATCAGCAACTTCCGAGTTCCGCTTCTGCCACACAGGACTTTTTTGATATCAAAAGGTTTAAAGCGGATGAAAGCATCTAGCAAATTAATTAGTCGCCGTCACAACTTCATATGTAATTAAAAAATTTAAAAAAGAAAAAAATACCAAGGAAATTATTGCAAAATAAATAAAAAAAAAAATCATTTTCTCAATATTAATTAATACAGCTTAATGGAGATAACTGAAGGTTAAATAAATTTGATAAATTTCATCCAAATCAATTGCTTTTTAGGGCATTTTAAAATTTAATATAGAAATTATATTTTCTTTTCACATGTTTTTTTTTTAAATTTTCATCTACCAAGAATATTTAATAATAAGAAAAATAAAAAAATTTAAATAGCATATTGCGCGAAAAAAAATTAAAAATTGAAGAAGAACAGGCAAATAATCATCCACACTTTGAAATTTAAATGTCTTATTTGTAAAACTGCTTAATTTAATATTTTTTCTAAAAACTGAAAAAAACACTTTGTAAAAAATTTAGATAAGATGCAGGCAGCGTTCAGTATGAAGACCACTTTTTACTGCAAAATTTGAAAAAAAAATTTAAATAAAAAATACGTTAGCTCAAACATTTCATTTTGCACTTTTGCTCTTTTTTTAGTCAGCGAGCACGTTTGCTTTGAAATGGGGTTTTTTTAATTTGAATTATTATTTACTTAAAATTTATTAATTAAAACAGCTAATCAATTTCTCCCTTAAACAGACATCATCGAAACTGGTAGGAACGATTTTTGAATTGATTTATTTAAAAGCTATTTTAAATTTAAATCTCATCTAATTTTTTAATAAACAAACAATGTTACTGTTTTTAAAGGTTTAATTCTTTTTTTTTTATCAAAAACCTTTAATTTTCTTTAGAGTACCAACTTGAGTCTTGTGGTTCACATACGCCCTCAACACTCCAGGGCATTTTAAGGTTAAACAGGTTAGCATCCACTTTACTCGAAGTTTGCTGAGCGTGATTAAAATCTCGCAAGTTTCTGTTCTTGCCCGACTTGCGCCAATCTTGGTGCACTATACTTTTATTGCTGCAGCTGTATAAGGGTGCTTCGCGCCATCGGGGGTGAACAATTTCGACACCCCCGCCCGCAACCACCTGCCGTCTGGCGGCGAGATCAAGCAATTTCCCGATATCCACGCACCCCCCGTGTCTATATCTCGAGAAATCAACCGAAAATCTGCTGTTGCATGGAAATCTCTCCCACTACGACCGAGTCCCCCACTTGCTTCGACGTCTGAATCCTCTCTCCACTCTGCTGGCATGTCAACCGAACCGGTCTTTTTATCATCACGAGGTTTTGAAATAGACGCAAACGAGGCTCTTTTGGAATAAAAGTTTCGGTGCTCATTCACGCCCGGCAATTAGCTGCGAAATGCCGCCCGTCGCTTACATAACGAGGAAGGAAACGCTCAGCGCCTGCCACAGACTGCACAGGTAGGGTGTGAAATTGATTGTGTGTTGAGGGTTGCCGAGGTACGACGATCGCCAAAGGCAATACGCACGTCGCGTACGTGCGGCCCGTCCGGCCAAGGGCTATGTGCACGTGATTTGTGCCTGCTTCGGCTAAGCCCATTAATTTATCGCTGCTGTCTTCATAAAATTTGCGTTTTCAGCTTAACGCTCAGCGACGAGGAAAATAAGAGGATTTTCAGCAAATGCAACAACCCTAATGGACACGGACACAATTATACGGGTAATTTCTTTAATTTATTATTTCCCCAAGCTTTTTATGTTTTGTGAAAAATAAAACTAATTAGTTTTATTATTAATCCTAAAAGGGTTAACGCTAGATTTGCTCAAAATTAAAATTATCCCTGGCTATACTTATTGTTAAGAATTTAAAATTTGTGATGGCAAATTAAATTTTTGTAAATTTTTTAAACTGATACAAACTGAAAAGCATTTTAAAAACTTTTCTATTTAGAGAATGAACAAATATTGAACTTAAATGATGAAGGTTAAAAAAATAATTTTGGAAAGAATTAATTTTTGTTACAATTTTGTCAAATTTAAATTAATTTTAACTGGTTTGTGCAAAACTTTTAAACCTCATTTTGACGCTAAAAATTTTTTTGCGACCACTATGCATTTTCACTCGCTTTCAAGAGCGAATTTAAAATAAAAACCTTTTTTAGGTACAATTTATTTGCAAAATAAAAGCCACTGTTATATTTTAAATTAGCATGAAAAATCGGGATTTTTCCCGAAAAAATGTGGTAGCTAAAAAAAAAACAAAACTGAAAATCAAGCACTCACAATCAACAAGCGCAAATTACAAATTTTGAAATTTATTTTGGCATTTGGTTTTTTTAACATTTACACGAATTTAAACATTAAATATGAAAATTTGCCACTTCATTGATATCGATACAACCAAATTATTTCTATATTATATTGGCACTCTGACAGAGAAAATTCATCAATATGAATTTGTGAAACATGATAAAAGAGGCTTCGCAAATGGGGATAAATATACTCTCCAAAAATTAATCATACAAGCGGATACTGTCTCTCGGCTAATTGGAACTAGAGCCAGTTCAAATTTGAACAGGGGTTAGCACGCACGCGTGTAATTACTTTATGTTTGCAGTTGAGGTCACTCTGAAGGGACCTATTGATCCTGACAATGGCATGGTTGCGAACATTTCCGACTTGAAGAAATACATGCAGGTAATTATTTTCAATTTAATAAAATTGCTTCAATTAACTGGAACTGAGAAAAAAAACATGAAATTATTGAAAATTTAAAATGTTTTTCGAGAAATGCATTAAGTTGAAAAGTAATGTATTAGCTCTAAAATTTTATGAATTCATTCTCTCAAAAAAAAGTCTTAAATTCAAATTTAAAAATATGACCCAAAAATATTTAATTAAAATAAAATTTTCCTGCCTTACCAAACAGATTAAATTTCGCATAGAAGAAAAAAAATTAGTTTATATGTAATTTTTTAAGTAAAACGATTTTCAGATATATGATAATACCATTGATTTTCCCAGTAAAAATTAGGGTTGAAGACGAAATTTGTTTAAATTTCAGAAGTTTGATTAAATAATTAGCAAATAATGGAATTTTATTGAACTATAAATAATAAATTTTCAAAGCTCATGACATTTCCTTTCCATTTAATTAGCTAATTAATTGTATCCATCGGGTCGGATCACTGATTGACACACTGATCTACTAACACTTGAGCGAGCATGTCACGGAAAACGCTTGTCCCTAAAGAGCAAAGCTTGCAATTAGCCGTTTCGCCGAATTTGGTGGGTAAATCAACTACAACTTTATGCCCAGGGCCAACCCTACCATTTACGGCAAAACAGACAACAAAGTTGCGCTCTTGAGGGAAGGCGCAACCAGAAAATGCGGTTTCCCGACCGCACCGAATTCTGTAGATTGAAACGCACAGCGAGGCAGAGTGTGTATCTTTTTGCGCTAATGAAATTTACATTGCGGCAAAACGGAACGATTACAGGTGGCCATAATGGACACAATGGATCACAAGAACCTGGACAAGGATGTTGCGTACTTTAAGGATGTGGTCAGCACCACCGAGAATGTGGCCGTCTTCATCTGGAGCGGCATCAAGACCCAGCTGCCCGATCCGAGCATGCTGTACGAAGTCAAGGTGTACGAAACGGACAAAAACATTGTAATTTACCGCGGAGAATAGCTGAGCCGCTTAAATTTCCTATTTCCGCCAAATTGTCTTTTTTCTCATCAAAAATTTTATATACGAAAGGGAACTTTTGCGGTTCGTCGAGCACAAGTCGAGGCGGATAAAAATAAAAAAGGAAGTAAAAAAAAAAAACTGTACGTTTCCACCTGAAATTGCATTTAAAGCTACTGATAATATATAAGAAACCGAGGGCGATTCAAACTTAAACTGTGCTATTTTTTACTTGTGATTAATCAGAAACAAATTTACATTAAAATTTAATTCATAGCGTTTTATACATTTATTATAAAATTACAAATCCTCAGATAACAATTAGTTTCAACAAACTAAATTGAATCTAGCGATTTGTACATTTGATTAAAAAAATCCCACACTATCATTGTAGTGCCACTATAAGAAGTTTAACAGAAGTTAAAAGTAAAGGAAAAGTTTTTCACTATCTAGCTGCCTAGCTCGCTTTTGTAGGACTGCGGTTGCAAAGAAAATCACAGCAAGAATTAAAAATAATTATACTGTACTTTTTTTCCTTCTTCGCTCTGGCTAACAATTTGTAATTACTGACAATGAATCAAATTGTTACATAATATCGATGTTATATTTGCATTGTTTTATACTGTATATGTTGAATCTCTTGAATGCTCTCTTTAACAAAAAGAAAAATCGACCAAATAAAAATAAAATTGCATTTTATGATTATTTGCTCAATTTTTCTGAAAAATTTATCGAATAAATTTTGAGTTTTCTCTACCGGGTGGATTTGGGTTGAGGTCAAATCTCTTTCAAGCCAAACATCGAAACTTAAAGTGAGCTGGATCAGTTTTCCCATCACTAAGGATCCCTTTAAAGGGCTTGTTTCGCAGCAGGTTGCATAATCTAATATTAAAGCTATCCCGGGAAACACTAAATTAACTTTACCTTTCCAAACACGCTTTGAAAGAAGGGATCAACCCCAAAATCACAAGTGTACAAGGATTTCCAGGAAATGAAAATTTTTGTGTTATTCAACGGGTTGCGTTGCACGCACAAAGGCTATTATAACCTTTTTGATCAATGACCCCTGTTCGCTTCCACTGATAAATTAGGTCAGAATAAATTGTTCGAATCGCCCTCGACATTCCTCCAAATATGTTGTATATTTTTTTTACGCCGACGGAATAAAATTTTCCACTCGAAATGACGCCAAACTCGTTTCATCTTTGCCCCACCCTTTGGCATATCACAGACGGAAAATCAAAGAGACAAAGCCAAGCCGGCAGAAAATCTGCAAATGGTGCGCGCACCAATAAGTGCGTGTTCCGAGAGGGTCCCAGTTTTATACGGAGGGAAAGAGAACGTCATCAACATAATTGATAGATTCCTGCGAGCGGCGGAGGCAGTGGAAGAAACGCCAGTCCGCCCTCATCCATTCGGAAAGTGCGGAGGCCTAATGCTCTCACGTAAAGGCGGCGCTCGGAGAACGACAGAAAAGGGTCGTCTTGCGGTGCGAGCGACTGGAATTCGCCAAAGGAATTTAATTTTGTGTGAACAGCACGCTGCTGTGTGCATTATCAACCGCGGCCCGGCCGCCACCCGGCGACGGGAATGTGCGTCGCGCCATGTCCAAAGTTGCAACGACGCGCAACCCTTTTCCTTTTTTATGGCCCTAATATACTTTTAATCAAATGTGCGCAGTCGGAAATGAAGATAAAGACTCAATCTATGATCTGGGGTGATCAATAGCTGGGGATGAGAGAACATAAGACGATTTTTGGCCCCTCAGGCCTATTATTCTTCCGGTTCTGCAAGCAGCTCGGCGCAGACCCCGCGGCCAGAATTGTGTGTGTGTTTGAATGAGACGACTCTCGAAGGAAAATGGTCCATCATCTCGGCACACTGCGGCTGATTGTGTGCGCGTGGAAAGCATTTCCATTGATCGAATTTTAATAAAAGCGGTGTGAATTTATTGCTTTTTGAAGCCACACGCGCTCTCTCTTTCTCACTTTGAATCAGAGCATAAAATATTATTGAACCGCGGCATTCAACTTTTTTCTTTTAATCCAACGCAGAAAGTCAATCGGCAAAGGAAGATTTCGTACAGTCGTTTAATGGTGTAAAAATGTCAGACTGATCAAGTGATTCAAAGAAATGGGATTGCCTTTAACCTTCAGAGTTGATTTATGAATAATTTGATAAGCTTTTTTCATAAGGAATGATTTTTAAAAAGAGTTCATTGAAAATATAGTGAAATCATGGTTGAAATTGTTTTCAAGTTTATTGAATTATATAAATTTTCAAATTTGTTGAAGTAATTAAGGAGGCCATTTTTTTGTAAGAAAATATATTAAATATTAAAAACTAAATAATAATGAACAAAAACCCAAGTCAATCGAAACTCACAGCGGCGGATGGGGTCTTTTTGATCTCGAAGGTTTAAAGGTGGTGCCGCTTTGTCCAACAATTCCTCTCTTTTCAAAAAATTGTTTTCAACAATTGAATGTAAACAATGAAATGAAACAATTTGGACAAATATAAGCAACAATAATAATGAAAATATAAAAAAAATGCTTCTGATATTAAAAATCTGGAATTAAAATAAATCCTCAAAAGCCAATTCGAGACAAGAAATTATTCAGCACCCTTGTAAAATACCTAATTATAGTTCGGTCTATATTTGCATTGATTTAATCTTTTGAAATTTATTCATTACAAAAATGAAAAAGTGAATTTTTGTAACTTATGCTCAGCCGTCTTTAAAAGCATTTTATTGACCTAAATCTTGAATACATTGCACGCAAAGGGCCAAAGTCACCTTGATAAAAATTAGTTATGATTTTTTAATGCTATAATCTCTTGCGATTAGCAGTTTTTGGGCGCAGTGGTTTTTGGAATAAAATATGCGTTATCCAGCGATGCGGATTAAACACTTTTAGCAAAGCGAATGTTTTTATTCGCTTTTTGACAGATATTAATAGACCCTGCGGACTTTATTTTTTGTCTCTTGAAAAAGACCAGATTATCGTGATTTTTAATTTTTTTATGTACCCTGATATTCTCATTTAATGTTTGTACGTTTGCTTTTTTGCGCTTTTCGGTATTTTTTCCTAGTCTCATGACCAAACTGGCTAAGCTGTTTTTGTTTACCAGCTTATATAATACAAAAAAGTCAACGAGTTATGTCATATTATAAATATTAACAAATGCCTATACTAATCCTCCGCAAGATTTGAACTTTGGTCAAGTGAAGATGAAAATGCTGACCTTTACGCAAAAATTTCTCGATTCGTATAACGATTTCAATTTATTTTAATGGGTTGCTGACTTGGTGCAATCAATCGATGGACGTGGTGAGAATTTATAGCTTTTCGAAGCCACACGCGCTATCCTCCGCTCACACTTTGGATTCGGGCCTGGCGTATAAAATATGATCGAGCTCGGATTCAGTCTCGGCGGCGAAAATTATATATCTATATATATTATTTATTTATGCGCGGCGGAATAGATATAAGTCCCCAAAGGACGGTGTCGTTGCCAACGCGTTGGGACCGTAATATTAAGCGCTATTTGGTTTAGATTTATTTAATAAAGTTTTTGGTGCGCTCCTGCTCCACTCGTATCAGCGTGAGCCATCTAATCTCCATCTGGATTGTTAAGTTTGGCGCTGCCTAGGCTTTCAAGAGGAAAAAAGCAGCTCCTCATCCCTCACATAAAGGAGTACACGCGCGCCGCACACACGCACGCACATTCACATATTACGTCGATATCTCGGGGCATTTACCACTGTTGAATAACTTCCAGGGCCAGGCCACGCCCTCTTATCGGAAACCTTTTTGGGTCTCGCTCCCTCGGTTAAACGGCGCATAAGGGGGAAAAAGAAAGAAAGATGCACGGCCGCATTGTTCTTGGGGCAAACGAGGAAAAAATGCAAAAATGTCTGCCGGGGGCTTAATTGAAAACGAATGACAAATCAAAAAATTGAGCGATCCGGCTCTCTCTCCTCGCGCGTTGGCGTTGGCGAGTGTGGGGAGTCGAGGGTTAGTTAAGGGGTTAGAAGAAGAGAGAGAACGAGCGCTCCCCAGCAGCCAGCAGGATGGCTTTGCGCAGGACGGACGCCGCTGCACCCGGCGCAATTGAGCTAGTCGGCCGCCAGCCCGTCTGAAGAGCACATCGATTTGGTCCGCGCCCGCCCGCCGACCGAGGAGGAGGCAGTGGCCCCACAAACAGGCAAAACAAAAAAAACAGGGCCGCTTCTTTTTTCTTCTTCGCAGAGTGACGTTTCGTGTCAAACGTCGGGAAGTGATGCGCCAAGAGCGGCCTAAGTAATCCGTCGATTCGTACCTACGTGGAAAACGACCATGGTGCTCAAGCTGCTTTTTGCCAACCTCCTGCTTTTTGCCCTCGTCCTGTGCTCAGGTACGTACGAAAATAATCGCCCCCACGCCCTCGCTCTCTTCCGCTTGATTATAACGCGTGTGTGACTCGCCTCCAATTTCGATAATGGAACAAGCGAGAGAACTGACACGCGTAAATGAAATTAATATCAATTAGCGCGCCGGAGCTCTCTCGCTCGATTGCTTTTAGGCGGCAGTTGGAATAATAATTTCTTGAGCACACCTTTGTCTGAAACGAAAATTAGTGATTTGTGACAGTTTTGCTCGCTCACGTCAGCAAGAAATTATACCGGCCGTGAATTTAGTGATATTTTCCTGTTTGCGTTTTAATGCTTCTAAACACGGACCATTAAATTTTCCTATTTCCGTACGTTGGGCTCATCGGATGTACTCCCCGGGTAAGTCTATGGGAAGCGACCGGAGCCTAGGAGAGCGAGCTCGAAATTTTGAGGTGGGAGAGAGGGCATTCAATTCATTCTCTGTTAGTTGTGCAACACATATTCACCTCATTCAAAGCTGCGCACTTCTGTGGCGAGGGGACGTGCTGCTTTCCAATCGCATCTGCTCCACACCCTATAAACTTTTTGTGGGCGCCCAAGCGCCTCTCCTTCACTCTCGAAAAAAATAATAATATACAGTCGCTCACTTTATGGAATTGAAATCGCAACTAGGCCGTAAAAATACTGGAAAAAACACTCGAGTTGCTGCAAGATGAACGGCGCTGAGCGTTTTATGGGCGCGAGCGGAAAAATCTGCTCGGGATGATGTACAACATGGAGGAAGCTTATTTGTCGCAGGTATACAAATGCGCCAAATAACCGGTTCGTCATGTCCTCTCTGGTGTATAATATATTGGACCGAATCCAGAATCGCACAGCCTTTTGATAAACTCTGCTGAAAATTTGATTATTTCCATCTCGAAATACCAATAAATATGAACGCGCAATCACAGATATAAAAATGTATACGCTCCGTGGAAATTTGCCAACTTCCTGCTCCGCTTTTTGCCGCTGCGGTTGATTATAATCATTATTATGCATGTAAATTCATTTAGGGAGAATTTCAGCTCCTTTTGGCTAATGTTCACCGCGAGAAACAGATTTTCGGATTTCTACAGCGTCACACGCAACCCGCACGACACAAAAATTTAATAATAAGTTAGGAATTTCTTTAAAAAAGTTTTTTCTCCCCTGTAAAAATTTTGGAATTTACATTAGCTCCTCATAAAATACCAAGAAACTTTTTTCAGTTGTGTTCGTTTGTAAGATTTGATTAGCAAATTCCTTGTATCTTCCTCATTCTCGGAAGGAACTAAAACTAATTTTACTCACCCGCCTAATTAATTGGAAGGGAAATTCAACCTGCCTTCATAGAAACGACGATGAAACTAGTCGAAGAAGTAATTACTTAAATTCCGCTTATCGAGTTGCGTTAATTAAACAAATTCATCTTAAATATGATGGCAATTAATCAAACGTTATTCTCGACTTTGTCTTTATATTGCTCGAGGCGCTAACTTTGCTGTTGAATCACCTTGATTGTTGCTGTGCTGACTCTTTGCAAACTTCCAGAGGAGAACGATTGTTCCTCTTTTTACTTGGTATAAAATCGTGACATTTAAAGTTCCATCAAACTGACGCCTCCGGTGTAACTCAAGACTTTGTCTGGTGCGTTCTAATTAGCGACAAGTTGACGGTAATTGGCTTTGCTTTACACACGCTCTCGGTTTTTGTCGCCGGCGCGTCGCAGGGAATTTGCACAAGCATTAGATATTAATAAAATTTGCACACACTCGCTCGCGTGTATCCAGAATACCGGAGTGTGCTGTGCAGTTACTCCTTTATGTGCTGATCTCCATGCACGATAACTTTTGATATTGATTATTTATTGCTCGAGCTATAGGGGTGCACACGCGTGACATACATGGCAATGCAGCGGCGGGAGAAAGAGAGATTTCTTAATTTGAATTTATACATATTCTCTCTGATCGATCGAGATGCGAGCGTATATAAATATAAATCGCGCGTGATGTGATACTCGGCGCGACCTTTGGCCTTTTTGGTCTCTCTCTTCACGAGGGAGAGGCAAAAAAATTGATTTTCCACTTGTATACACATGTAAATATTTAAATGCATTTCAGGAGCGTGAAGGTCTATTGTAAACAAACACCCGGCCTGCCGAGAGAGATGGAGAGAGAAAGCATCAAAAACTTTGCGCGCGTAACACTCTGTAAACATCCCACGCAAGCCGGGCGAAATCCGTATAATCCACTATCATCTAAATCAAACTTGATTTTGTTGACTAATAGCCCTATTTGCGGCTGGGCCCACATCTGCTTTCCGAACAACGATAGAACTCAATTTTCGGCGGCAAAATGTCGCCCCGAATCCGCTCTTTTTATCACTCAATTTCTGTCAAGTGCATTGCATAGCCCGCGCGCGCGAGCAGCGAGTGGCGGTGTGTAGCGTGAGGCGCTCCTTGAACGCGAGATCAATACCTTCCTTCTCCACTCGCTTTCAAGGCTCATGTACCTCGTTCCTCGGTGGCGAAGCGCCGACGCTCCTATGCATGAAAAACATTGTTTTAATTGCGTTAAAAAAGGGAACGCTGCCGCCGACTCGGTATAAGCGCGGCCGAGGTCTCGCCCTACATAGTAAAATTGCATGACCGTTTCTAATCAAAATTTAATCCACCTTATCGCGCCGTTAGGAATAAAAACGGACCTGCACACAAACTTACACACACACTTGAGAAGATGAATTTCATTTCTCTCTGTTCTTAAAAAGCGGGCGGCTGGGGAGTCGTTCGTTAAGTATTCCGTCTGTTGTCGGCGCCGTTTGTGTGCAGCAGACAACTGAAGTGTGTATAGCTTAATAAAAAGGCCCTCTCTCTCTCTCATCAGAAGTACGTTCAGGCAAACGACTGCGAGGCTTTTTCGTACCTTTGCCTTCTTTTTATGTGATGGTCGGCATTTCTCAAACGTCAGGCCCGCTCTCACTTAGCAGCCGCGCCACGCGCCCTGGCCGGCTCGGCCGAATAACAAGTCTTTTAATTATAAGGCCTGCCCTGAATTGGTTATGCTTTAACACAAAAATCGCTGGCAGCGTTTGCATAGCAAACATTTCTCATTTGCCTAACTCGGCCGGCTTTTAAGCTTTTTGTTCCCTCCGAGAGAAACAAGCAAATATAAGAGATTTAAAAACTTTGCTTTTGGCTTCCAGGCTTCCCCACTTTAATCCTGAAATAACAAACCCGTTCGCACAATATATATATTAATTAGCGCGCAAATTAATTTTCCAGGCTCGACTAGTTTCGACGAAGACACGGACCTGGACGATATTCCGCCCCCGGAGCCGACGGGCCCGTACTTTGAAACGTCGGCCTCGAAAAACGTGACGGCCCTGGTGGGAAAGACGGCGTACCTCAACTGCAGGGTGCGGCATTTAGGGAACAGGACGGTAAGTGACGATGAATAATGCAGCGATAATTCATGAATTGTTTATGAATGACCGGATTGACGTCCGATCGATCTCGGCTCCCGGCGGAGAAAACAAAAAAGCTCAGCATAAACCGGCGGCGTGTGACAAGCGATTTATTAAACCCGCCGAATTCAATTTTGGCTTCAGGTGTCGTGGATCAGGCACCGCGACCTCCACTTGCTCACCGTCAACCGATACACGTACACGAGCGACCAGCGCTTCCAGTCCATCCACTCGCCACACCTCGAGGACTGGATGCTTCAAATCAGGTACCCGCAGCGCCGCGACTCGGGCATGTACGAGTGCCAGGTCAGCACGACGCCGCCGATAGGACACTCGATGCACCTCTCCGTAGTTGGTGAGTGCACAATTTTTTACCCACTCGCATGTGTATAGTTCAAGACTCTTCAGAAAACGGGCTGTGCTGCAACGGAGAGAAAATTTTATAAGAGAATAAATTTTTAACCCAATTATAGAATCGTAAAAATAAAATTTGAAATCGTAAAGACAAGAAGTATTCCTCTTTTGCTTGATACAAATAACTACTTTGATTTGAAAATAAACTTCATTTTTAATTTAACTCTATATTCAAGCCACTTTTGATAATTTCCTCATTCTTTTAAATTTATAAACAAAATGCCTAACGAGATAAAATACTCATTAATCGTTCCAATCTTTTAACATTCTTCATTCTGATATTAAAATCCGGAAATCGCGTCAGAAATGCATTCAAATTTAATATTCATTGTGGATGTTCTACCTTTGAAATAGTAAATATGCAATCTCAGCTACACAGGTGCCCAGCAGGTTGCATACTTTTTAATTTTTCTGTTTATCTTATGAACCTGTAAGATGGATCTTGTTTTTAAATTAAATTAATTTAAAAAAGAAAACTAATTATAAAAAGTATAATATTGAATCTTAAATAAAATAATCAGAGATACATCTATGTAATTCTAGTTTTTATTAAGTTGAAAGTGTCCAAAGTGAGGTGACAGTGTAATTTATAATATTCATTCGGTTATTCCTCAAAGTGTTAATATCAGACTTTACTATTTTTGTGTTTTTTTTTCTTTTTTTTTTTTTTGCTAGAGGAACATATTTTTTTTTAAACACCTCAGCAAAATATACAATAAAGACCTTCAATTCAATTGCTGAACGTTGCAATAACTGCTTTGAGTAAAAAAAAAGACAATAGCTCAGAGTTAATTTTGTAATTTAAAAATTATATTACGGTTTTAAAGTATTTTTTGCGTTATTTGAAAGGGACTAATAAATTTAATAACCTAATTAATCTTGAGTGCCAACTTCTTCACTCAAACATAATTACTGCACTTTAATTATCATTAGAGCCGTTTCTGCTTCAAGGTATGTTTTTGTGAATAAATGAAAAGTGACAAGATTTGAGAACGGAACCAATCCGCAGGGAAAAATTCAAACCATCACGTTGATTAAAATCAGCCGGAGCTCCTCTTTCTCTCTCTCTCTGCACATTACACAGCCCGAATTTCAGAGAGCCTTGGCACTATTTAGCATGGCGATGGGCTACATTCCGTGGTGCACGACGACCGCGCGTCGAAAATTGGACGGAGCGCGCGAGGGGGATTTTTGATGGCGTTGCAGATTCGTTTTGTTGCCTGCACGAATGGAGCCGGGCCACTTTATATATCAATTACTGTTCATCTACTCTCTATACTAGGCCGCCTTTAACGATGCCGTCAATTAATTTGTGCCCGCAGAGCCGATTACAACGATCCTTGGTGGCCCAGATATGTACATCAACAAGGGTTCGACCATCAACTTGACATGCATAATCAAAAACAGCCCCGAACCGCCGGCAGCCATCTACTGGACCCACAATAACGAGGTACGTCTGCGATGATCACATCTGCTTGAATTCTGCAGTGGGCAAGTGTCAATTGTCCTCCGGTGCTTTTAAAACGAAACACGCGCGCATTTTGCTGCGCTGATTAAAATTTCAACTCGGTTAATGACTGAGGCTCGCCTGTGTTGTGCTCAACACGGTCCCCGACCAACAACACACATGCATTTCCAAGTGCGCCCTCCAATTTCAGCGCCTTTCTTTGCCTCGCTCTCCCACCATCATGCAGCTTCAAAGCAGGTTCAGCTTTGTTGGACGTTGAATGCGCTGCTGTTGTCCTCCAGCTCCCGAGAGTTGAATCAATAAAACGTTATTTTACGCCCTTTTTATTTTATTATATGTGCAGCACGTCAGTGAGCACCGCTCTGCTGCTGTGTGTATAAAAATTACACGGCACTTATCGTGGATGGCAACCTTCTTGGTTTGAAAAATCCCTTTAGGCACATACTGAGATAGCACGAAGCCCGCCGTAACGGTCAGCGTGATCCCTATTTATGTTTGGGTCACCACGTAAATTTCGGATAAATTGACCCTCAAAGATATGGAGTCGATTTTAACGTAATGAGGTTTGAAAAATGTTGGACTTTTTTATGAACTATTCTTTGCGGAGTATTGATAATTTTACAATTCTCAAAAGTTAGTTTGATTACTTCAATCTATTCATTCACAAGTCGGCTTCCTCTTTCAAAACATATAAAAAATATTCAGTAATTCTTCAAAGGACTTTCCTTGACAATAAGAACTTGCAACCCGGAAAGATCCTGAAAAGGCTCCCGTGTTCCACGTAAAATAATAAGCGTCTTTCAAATCTCCGCATAATTATATAATCATGATGACGTTTTGAATAAAATGGAACATCAAAAAGGGAGCATTTGAATGCCTAATCATTTGCTAAAATCTGCTCATCCATGTTGGAATTTCAAATTTTCTTTTGATACAATTTTTTTTTTTTATCGTGGAATTATTAATTAGCGCAGTTCAAATGTGCCTCGTTGTGTGTTATTTGGAGCGAGAGTGATGTCTAACAAAACCAAATGTGTTCTGATTCCAGGAGATAAATTACGACTCGCCCCGGGGCGGTGTCAGCGTAATCACCGAGAAAGGTGACATTACCACAAGTTACCTGCTGATTCAGCGCGCCAAAGCCCCCGACTCTGGCAGATACGCGTGTAACCCGACCAACGCCAACCAAAAGATAGTCTCGGTCCATGTTCTCAACGGTTAGCCACCGATTTTACCTTTTCTGTTGCAAACGCTGCAGTTTTTAGCGAGTGCGATGCAAATGAAAACGCTTCTATCTGTTGGTTTTTTTCTATTTTTTTCTTTCTTTTATCACATTATTATTCTCGCTTGAGTAGCATAGTGGAAATAAAAAGAGTAGACTCGACACTTTTTAACCTATTATATTTTTACCGCATTATTTTATCTATAAGTTTTTATAGTTTCCTTTTTTTGTTACTTTCATCTCACACTCCAGGTCATAAATAATTGTCGTTTTGTCCTCTCACGAACAACCATTTCGTTAGTTCACACAGTTTGTCCAAACGTTACAGGGTCCTTCTTATGACAATTTTCAGGGGAGCAGCCAGCGGCGATGCAGCACGGCGGACAGTTACGACTCGAGTATCCATTAAGCGCCTGTCTGCTGAGCGTGATTGTCGTAGTGCTCGGCTCTTGAGTGTCACTTACGTGAATGGACTAAGAAAAAGGCCCCCCCAGATTGACATTTTTGAGTGAGAGCGCAGTTTGCTGAGTTAGTCAAAACGTGTCGTCGTACGCTTTGCCAGTCAACATTCGTATATATAAACCTTTGAAGTGTGCAGCGCGTGCGAGAGACAAAGGAAAACTGCTGTTCGGACACACAAGAATATTATGGACGATTGTTACACACGAGATTTAGAACTATATAAAAGCATAAATTATGAGCAGAAAGACGGAGAATCGCCATTTTCTATTATTGTGATTGACTGTTAACGTCTTGTGGACGGTGCTTTTTGACACAACGCTTTCGACGAGGAACGTTCCCGGCCCGACTCGAATTTTGTATCCAAAAAACTTCCCACAAGGTGTGATCGGCGCCCCAGCACGCGAAAGCACCAACCCCGCGACCTCTCCTGCGCTGCCAGAAGACGAAATAGTTTCGCAGGTGGGTTCTTCTCATTTATCTATAAAGAAAATTAATTTAATTTACTCTGGTTGATACAAAAAAGGAAGAAAAAAATTAATTTAAAAAAAAAATCAAAGAAAAATTTTTGGTCCAGGGGAATTTATTTGTTAAATTTGAATATTTAAAATATTCTTTGATAAATTTTATTTTGTATTGTTGTTTTTAAATTTTGCTCGTGACATACAATCGCAGCATATAATCGTTATTATTTTGAAAATAAATATTAATTTTCGAATACAATTTTTTTCACTTAAAATTCTGAATTCAAAATTGCCAACCAATAATTAAACAATTTTAACTTGTTAAAAAAGAGCTTTTAAAAATCGATGGATTTTAGAATGGAATACTTTACGCAGGCCATGTTTTAGGCATTCCACTTTGTATCGCACGCCGTCCACTTTAAAGGATAATGGGGATCAAAAAGGGTTAAAAACCTCGTAAAATTACACGCAGCAGCCATTTACCTCGGCGGGCGTTCGTTTTCCGCGACGCGATATTTATCAACTCATGTACAGATTAAGTGCATAAGCTAATAGCGCTTAATTAATAATCTGTTTGCTCTCCCTCGCCGCGTTCATTACATTGCGAAATGGAGCTCGTGCTTATTGAAGCGTCCGAACGATCTCCATATTAATTTGTTTGAGGTTTTTTCCCCTCGGTCGGCGCGGCCAAGGCAGCAACAAATGAAGAGAGTACGCAACTCGCAAAACACAGAAATAAAATTTAATATAGCTCCACGTTGTGAAACTTTATGAATTGGCAAGTTCTTATTAAAAATTCTTTGTTATATAACGATATCACTTTTTTTTTGCTGTTGAATTTTTATTATTAATTTTTCCGCAATATCGCAAAGAACGTATTTTGAAAAAGCTACTTCGCAATAAATTCATAGTAGACAGGAATGATTAATTGCAAATTCACACTAAGTCAACATCAGTAAGCATACCTTGAGCCTCTTGGGTATCAAGAAAATTCCAAAGGGAATAAGTAAGTTTGAAATGAGTAAACTGAAGTGCTTTTATGGGATTGTGTATGAAGAATAATTAAGCTTTCAACTTAAAATATGAGTTTGTAAATGAAATAAAAAATTTAAATTTCCAAATTTTCTCTTTTTTTAATTGATTTTAATTTTTAATAATTTGGACTGTTCTGTCTAATGAAACAATAAATTGCTTTTTATGTCAAAATCTAAAATTTTGTTATCTAAAATGCACAAGTTTCATCCAAAACGTTTTTGAATTCAGAAATAAGAATATAAATTCTGCTGGTCTAACGATCGGATTCTCATTTATTACAGACCCAAAGCTTTTATTTAATAGAACCTCGCCCTTTATCCTTCTATTTTAAGGTTTAATTATTATCTCGCTTGTTACAGGTGGAATTCTGGTTGTGAACGGACGACCGTGCATGTATATCAGAGACAAAGGCGCACCCCCAACGAATCCCCTCCCGCCGGCGGCTGGCTTTTAGCGGATCAAACGATTAGAGGAATGCACCTGGCCGAGTTTGGAAAGAGCGAGATCACCTGTTCGCTTTCGCATGAGAAAAGACCGACTCGCCCCGCGCTTTTAAATATATATCCGCCCCCCAAATCGGACAACTTTTAACGCGTTTTTATTGCTTATTCGATTTTATTACAATAGAATCGAGATTCGAGAATTAGACGCTTTTCGGCAGTTTTCATTTCAAACGTTTCAATCAATCGTACAAAAGTCACAATAATAAACAGAAATCAAAGATCAAAAAAGGTATATAATATAAATTAAAGATATATATGATTCAATAAAGTGAAATCTCGCGTCCGTTTTATCTGGTGAAAAGAAGCAAAAACTTTTCTGCGATTGTGCAGCGCAGAGAAGTGCTACTTCTTCCTCCTCTCTTATCTTCAATTTCTATTAAACGTGCTCGAGTTGCTCAGAGAACGGGACTTTCCGCCACTATGGCCTGGGACAAAAGATCTCGTGCTAAAAGAAGTGTCATCTTACGCGGACCACCTTTTGGGATCGATTGTGACATGCCTCGGATGGACCGCACCACCGGCAGATCTGGTTGCGAGAGACGTCTCGTTTTATCGGTGTTTAACGATGATTGTATTTGAAATGACTCAGCAGCACCCAATACACACCACCCCAACAACCCATCCCGGAGATCAAGACGAGAGGAATTTATTATTATGGATCTGACTCTGCAGAAATTCACCACTTGGGCGGAAATGTTTGCAACTCTCTCAATCAAATTCGGATCAACGCCCGAGAGTGCAAAGTTGTTTAATTCCGAGCGCGATTATTTCTCTTGAAATGAATGGCAGCGTGAATTCAGTTTCGCTGCTGTAATGACATTTTCCCCCAAATGTATATATAAATCGCGCGCGCGTATCTCCCTTCGACATCAATCAGCAATAACTTTTGATTGATACGTTATTACACCGGCCAACGCGAATTCAACTCTCACATATTGTTGCAGGACTAAACTAACCCCCAGTGCTCGACGTACCGAGTGCGATCTACCCGGACATAGCCGGAAACTTTACCGCCCGTCTCTGCTCTAAACGTTTAAGTGTTCATTTTGAATCGCAGCAATTTATTCTTTCCTTGGAAACTTTTAATAGAAACGTCTAAATGTTATACACATTCATTGGGAAAGTTGTTTTATATAAAACTGCAGAGAAATTCGTCCCGATTTCGTTTTTCGTATAATTCGAGCTTATCACAAATTCTAAAATGTATATCCGTAGAGATTTCCGTCGATGTGTCCTCTTGGTGTGCAAACTATTTTAGCTCCTTTACGCGCAAGCTTGGAAATGGTGGTTCAATTTGCCTATCAGCAGCTGGCCGTCTAGACTTGTTAATTGCAGTCGATACTTGCTCAAGGACGCTCACAATAAATCACCTGTTCTTGGAAATAAGTATCAAAATTCTGAATGAGCACTTTTAAAACAATAAAATCATTTAATTTTATTAGAATTGTGTGGGAAAATAATTGTTACTTGAGGTAATTTTATTCCAAGAAAGGAAACACTCTTCTTACATTCTTAATTTAAAAAAGAAAATTTCTAGAGGTTTTTATATAATTTGGAAGCAAAAGTTTTTTAAATTAAAAAAAAATTAATATTAATTTAATAACGAAAATTTATGAAAAGCTAATCGTGATGCTAAATAAGTATTTAAGTCAAAGAATAAATCAATTACAATAGATTTTATGTATTGTTTTGAATTTATTTGCTACTTTTTGTTATGAATTTAGGATTTTGTATTCAAATGCAACGCAATTTATTTCACTTCCCCCCCAGAAAATTTAAATTTACAAATGCGGGAATCGTTTAAAAGGCGGTCAGATGCTTAAACAAACACAATTAACAATTCAAAGCTTTCGGCGTTAAAAGGACTTTTGGACCAGTGAGGGTGCCGATTCCACTAACCCGTGCCTGCTATAAATAGATTATGCGCTCAAAGTAAAACAAATTAAAAAAGCGTTTCATCGATTGCGCGAGAAGAAGCTCCCGGAGACCGTTTTTGCACGGCAGCGCACCTTCGCAACTCGCGGAGATGAATAAAATATATATCATGTGCATGTTTCAGAGGCTCCGGCGAGCGAAAAAATTAGAAATCTAGCGCATTTCTCTGTGGTGTAATAAACACTTCCCAGGGGACACGAGAAAAGCGGAATTGTGCTGAGAAAACGCGGAGAGCAAAGCCCGCGCGCCGAGGGACCGCGTGCGAAAGGGGGAAGCGCGCTTTACAACAATTAAACAATTGTATAAACGTCCCATTATGTAGCAGTTTTGCAGGGTGCGCTTCCTTTTTTGCGCTTCCTTCCCGGAGCGAGACGGAGTGAAAAACACCCGCAAGATGAGGGCGTCAAGGGACAAACGCATAAAAAAAAAACACATGTACACCTGTTTAGCAACACGAAAGCTGTACATATTATAAATTATAAGAGAAAAGCGACGAAGAAGAACAAAAGAGACAAAGGAAATTATTTAAGAGAAAAACGAAAAATAAAATAAAAAATAAACGGATGTTCATCATAATAAATATTGCAAAAAAAATCTATGGCAAAACTCTATAAATGCTTTTTTATTTCCCTTCATTCCCTGGGGAAAAAAACATATTCTTTTATTTTCATATGGAGAACGTGGAAAACATTTTAATGAGGGTCATTTTTCATTTATTTTTCTTCCATCCGAGATAAAATCGCAGGGAGAGATTGCGATAATAAATTATATACCGGGAAATATGATTGGACCTTATTTTTCTTTAGACTTGCGGCCGATTTTTTCCGACTCACAGACGCGCAAGTGGTGGAAAAGCGGCTAACGGAAATCTGCTCTTTCTCTCTCGAAGAGCTGAGCGGAATGAGAAAGCCAAACAGGATAAACAGACCAGAACGGCGGAAAATCAACTTTTCGCTAACTCCGTCGAGCATTACGCGCTGCATTATTCTCAAGTTCCCGCGCTCTTGACGAAGCTTGACCTAATTAATTACTCGCGCAGCGTTTTAGCAAAAACTAAAATAAATAAAAATAATGGCAAATCCTAATTATTCGTTGTGATCCACTCATGTGAGCAATACTCGTATGCAGCTGAAATGCTGTTGAGTTCAAGAGGAAAGTTCAGAAATGTGGACATGCAAAACATGAGATCCGCAAAAAAAAACATGAAGATTTGCAAAAATTCATTTATTTAAAATATAATTAATTTGAATGATTTAACTAATTAATATGAAGCTATAAGAAGTAAATTTGACCAAATTTTGTCACAATTAAAAAAAAATCTGGAAAAAAAATCAAAATTACATAGCCACTTTTTTAATAAAAGCATAATCAGATTGTCATAAACTTACCTATTTCAGTTAATTCTATGCAATTTATGTTTATGGCCAACGACTTTAACTACCTGAATTGAAAATTCAAATTTGTATTTTTTTTTTCAGTTTCAGCCAAAATTTTTCTTTTGTTCCAATCGCATCCTGATCAAGAATCTGTCAGTTAAAAAAATTATTTCTTTTAAAGTCTTATTGTAAAATTAATCAATTCTTTCATTATTTTTAATAATACTTATAATTAATAAACTATTAAATCTCTTAGTTTGTTAAATGTGTTCGTGGCAACCGACGCGGCGGAATAAAAAGTAAAGCCGGCAAAGTAAGTCTCGGGATGAAAATAAATTATGCAACGGAATAAGATTAATCTGTACTCACATTAATTAATATGCTCCGGGGATTTGCTCTTCTCCTTAGCAGACGTGAAACCACACCAGCTTAGTTGGAGTTTCAAAATTTCTCCTCAGGAACTGGATTTCACTTGTCGACATTGCTGAAATAAAACAAACACATTTTAGTGCAATTTTCAACACATACAAATTATTTGGTACATTAAAAGTTGGGAATAATGACCATTTTCCGTGTTGGCGCACTGCTGGCATTATTATTAATATTTTAGATTCGTCGATAATGTCTACATGATACCGGGGAGAGCCAAGCAATCTATTCCGGATTGCTTTTAATTACACCGGCCACTCCACAATACATACTGCAATGGGTGCAATAATTCAAAACGGATTTAATCACAAATCATACAAAACATTATTGTGGAATATTAATTTAAGTGCAATTAGCTGTATTGATCTCGTGCAAAAGAAAAATTAGAAAAAGTTACCCTTCAAGAATCTGGATTAAATTGAAGTTAATTTAGATAATGATTTTGACGTGGATTTCAATTCAAGGAAAATCTCACCTGTGAGCCTCACTAACTGAGATTAGAATGAACTCGTTTCCAGGGGGATCTCGTGCTTGTTGTCGAATCGCAGGTAGGCTTTGTTACTCACGTTTATATCACCGCAGAGAGGATAAAAGCTACGCACCGCATTATTATGTCTGTTGTAGGCATTTTACGCAGCCTGCAGGTATGTGTTCAGGGACAGTTCTTTGCACAGATTCAACAAAATAGCAGAACTAAATCCGTCTCTCTGTCTGCTGCTTTGGAGAATCAGCAGAATTCCTCTCGCATTTCAACTGGATTTTGCAGGATCTTGATACAAATTGTTTTTGCACGTACACTGCACGTATGTCTGATAAAATAAGATGCAAATTGAGATGCGATCACATTGAAAAACATCTTGATGCTCGCACGAGAGAAAGAAACCTGTTTACTTTTTGTAGGAAAAAAAATGAAGACTGATATTGATGACCTCCTTGTGTGTGACAAGTGACTAGGGTGGGCGAGAAGGGGGAGTAAGAATTTCTCCTAATTTGCAATGCAACCTGATCCTGTCAAGTGGCGAGTGGCGAAATGGATAACTACAAATTAAGGGCGCTAAAATGAGCTCCATATTAATTACAATTAAACATGCAAAAAAATTATAATCAACACAAAATATGAGAAGTATTTTTTTAAGCTATAATGAGGGTGGATCCAATTTCTTGACTTAATACTTCACACTGTAGGCTAATGTATTATGTAATTGATGTAGCTATAACAAAAATTAAAAATGAATAAAAATTGTAAATCTCAAAGAAAATCAAATTTATTAATTCTTTTTTCGAAAATTGTTGAAGAATTGGCAGGCACGGGCAAACAAGATAAATTCCAAGAAATTCAACAGTCATAATAACTCCATCTATGTATCTTTCCGATTTCCAACGCTTGTTTTTGTATATTTTGATACTTTTTAATGTCAATTTAAGTATGATTTCCGACTTTACTTGTGCATCAGCGAACATTTTTGTGATAAGGATCATAAGGATGGTGAAAATTTTCAAATTTTTCCCAATGAATGTAGAGTAAATAAATGAATAAATTCTGAGCGCTAGGGATCTTAAATTATAGTTTCTTTTTCAATTTATTCTTAGTCAATTACAAAATTATACTGCATGGAGAATAAAAACCAAAATATTATATTAAAATTATAACAAAAGGGAAAAAATCAATTTTAAATTTATTTAGCTCCAAGCTTAAGTTAGACTTCTAAAGATCGCATTCATTGAATAAAATTTTCTCGTTTATACAAATTTATTTTTGGTGCGTTTTAATAAATGTAGAATTATGCAATTATTTATCTAATTTTTGCGCTAAATTAAAATTGACTTCAATAATGGAGAAAGAAAGGTGCTTATGTGCATCAAGGTTGAAGCTGAAATTCCCTTTTTCGCTCGCAAAAAAAAAAAATTAGGATGCAAAAGCACAGCGTGTCTTTATTTGTGTTTAATTAAAATCTGAATTCATTTGACCTGGCGGATTGAACCCTCGCACTCTGCTGACGAAGATGTGATATGCGTGTGGCGTGCGTGAGAGATCCTTTTAAACCGTTTCAATTCGACGGTGTGTGGCAGAGTTTAATTAAATTCGCCCCCAGCACAGCAGCTTTAGGACAGCTAAGAGGATTAATTTGTCGCCCACTTGTCCCGCCGTGCACCAGTTGTTGGTTTTAGTTTCCGAGCGACCAGAGCAGAGAATCCCGTGCCGTGGATTATGATCACGAGTGTGTTGCAGCTGCAATTGCCGAGACCAACATTGTACACATATATATAGGGGCTGTTGGGCGAAACAGCGTAATCACTTGCTTCATCATGAGGTGCGCGGCGTGGTGTGCCCTCGCCGTCGTCTTGCTCCACTCGGTCTCAGCTCTGCCAGGTCTGCCTCGTTTGCACTTTTTTATGTTTCCACTATATTATTCTGCTCGCGTTGCGAAAAAACTCTCTATGTACACTATTCTGTAGCTACCTCTTTTCGCCTTTTCCGCTCTCACTCGGATGTTATTATATACGTAAATGCCTTTGCAGTCGGAGAAAATTGAAAAAAAAAGAAGCTAATAGAGAGCGCCGAGCAAAATTGCGCGGACGGTATTAGTTTCCTGCGATAATATATCTTTATCTCGATTTATGAGGCATAATAATTGTCGGTCTTTCGAGAACATTAACATTACAGAAAATCCTCGCTCTATCAATTTATAGCTGTTGGCTGCAGTCTTTTCTTTTTCCCATTGGGTGGGTGGTTCGGTCCGACGGTCGCGGCTCTCGTTCTCTCTACGAAAGCTAGCTAACTATTACTGCACTGTCACTAGCAGAGATAGCAATAAACTTCTCAAACGTCGGCAAAAGTGCGCGCTGTTTTTTCTGCTGCAGCGTGTGCGAGGGGGTCGCGCACAAAAAATGCCCGATTTGCATTTTTTTCCTCCCCAAAATCATGCGGCTTATCAGAAGAATTTCAAAAAGAACTGCGTTTAACGGCATGTGAAATATGGATGCGCGGTTTAATTTATTGCCATTAGCGTTTTTTATTGGCTCCGCACGCCAAGATTTGGACTTCGTCGGCCTCTGCCCATTATTGAGCGGGTGCAGAAGGCACCGCTCCAAGTTATTACTCTTTTCTTCTGGGCAAATCTTTGAAAATTAATGCTCTAAAGCGCGGGCATATTCCTTTCTCCCGCCGCAGCTCCGGAGTTATTACAAAAACGAGCCGCGTAAAAAGTTTCCTATAAAAAAGTGCTTTACGAGACCTGCTAAGTTTTTAAATTAAATTGCAGGACGCCGGGCAATCGGAGCGTATCCTGGCGCTGGTGGACCCTACGCATCGTCATCGGCACCCTTCATGACCTTAAAGCCATTCCTCCCTGCTGCTAAGCCCGCAAACCCATTCGCCCCGGCGTTCGGCCCGCAGATGTTTATGGATAAAAAGACGGAGCTGCTCAATAACTTATTCTCAAAGCCGGCTCCCAGCAGAAGGGCCCTGGCCCCTCCAGGCGGGCCTCCAGCAGCCCCAACCACCGTCGACCCTGGCGTCTATAATGCCAAGAAGGTCGAATTTTTAAACACCCTGTTCGGCGGACTCGGTCCTGCCGTCGCCGGGCCAGACCCCGGCCCCGCGGGGCCAATCGTGCCCCCCGGCTTCTGGCTGCCTCCAACCACCGCGGCCCCCGTGGACGACACCCTGGCCAGGGCCAAGATGCTCGCCCAACTGGTCACAGCCACCCTGCAGGAACCCATCGTCCCCCCTGAACCGGCCACGCCACCCATGTTATTCGCCCCGCCGCCGGTCCCAACAACCCCCAAGCCAACAATAGTTCCACCCGGCTTCTGGCTGCCAGCAAGTCCCTTAGTGGCCCCTGGTGAATACGCGAGCAAGGTATCAGAGTTTTTGGAGAAACTTTTCGCCTCCAAGATGACGACCCCGGCACCCCTTGCAGTGAGAAGCTTGGCAGCTCGCCACCACGAGCACAACCCTCACACAGATCCAGAGAGGTATGTATATGGACGCGATTATTTTATTCTTCTTCTCTTCTCGGGCGCCTCGCTCTCGCCGCCCATTTTTTATTCATTTTTTCCGCGTTATTAAATTTACTACCTTGTATTTTCACGTTCCAAAAAATTCCTCCCTTGTTATCGGGCGCCGTACAGGAAATACACCTGGCGCAGCAGAAGGGGATTTTTTCTTCAATATACATGTGCCGGCGCACAAGAGGAATTTGGCAACAGAATGATTTTAGCACCACGAGCGAAATATACAATAAGCTTATAACAGACTAAACTTTTTGAAGCGGGCCGTCCCTTATTTTTTTCCAAACTTGGCAGGGAACACGCTGACAATAAAACCATAATTTTGCAGAGAAGAGAGGTCGCTGCCGCCTCCGCCTCTCAACCCCAAAGACATGGTCATAAATTCCATTCTGACCGAGGTGTCTGAACTGAAAGCCGCCCTCATGGACACTGTAACCGATATGGTCGCCAAACAAAAGTCGCTGCCGTACATGCCACCGAAGAAACCGAAAATTCTTCCCCCGTGGGTGCCAACCCCGCCACCAACCCCCGACCCCCTGGAGCCCTATCAGAAGCGGCTGGAGACCCTTGGTCAGGTCTTTGACATGCTGACAGGCCTTGGCCAGGAGGTCACCGCACCGAAAAATGACACCGCGACCACAACCACAAGGGCGGTGCGAAGCGTTCCTGCCAGGAGCGTGCAATTAGCAGTGCACCAGGGCTATCAAAGCATGCCGCCCGGCACGGAGGAGCTTGTTTCTGTGGGCGCAGGAAGGGACCCAAAGTCAAATCACGAAGGTGGGGGCCTCAACTTGAAGGTAGACAAATTTTAAAACGATTAAAATAAATTATAATAATTTTTCAAACTTTGATTGTTTCAGATAAAAGTGCCTCAATAAATCTGTAAAGCAACTGCTGCTGGATGATACTAAAAAAGATGGAAACTAGAAATAAAGGCAGCATTGGAATTGAAATTATCATTGCGTTTCAGTTTCTTAATCAACAAATTACCTGTTTTATTTTCTATGACTTGAAACAACTATCAATTTTTCTGACTTAGGTTTGCTACAACTGAGACCGTGGCATGGGCGTCATCCTGCATTTTGAGCATGGCTTTGATTTTGCAAGCGCCTTGCTTTCAGTGCAGTTGACCGTCCATGCTGCATCATCACAATTGTCACTATCTGCACTATATTACACTGATTGCTTCTCTTCTAATTTCACCATCAGCTTATCAACAGTCTTGAATACTTTCATAAAAAATAAGTAGCCCACGATAACTGCTATCATACTCACTAATAATGAAACAGCTTCAAATATGAGCTTTGGCGCAAACACTTTCCACACCATCAGATGCCTTCGTAAAATGAAGGAGGTGAAAACAGATGCTGATATCTGAAATTCATATAAACTCAATATTGCTATTCATTTTATAAAATAAAAATAATTACCCTTAGGAAGTGAACAAGGATGTATTTGGAGCACAACATGAATAGGCTTTGCTCACACAGGGTGGACTTTTCGTACAGAAACATTTCACTGTTGGCCGCTTTTTCTTTTATGTCCTGTTTGGCGGAAACGCCTTTGTGCATGGCGACCAAGGTGAGAGGGACGACCATCAACAAGGGTAAGGCTATGCCAAGCAGAATTTGTGCGCTGAAGGTGCTGACAATGACCATCAGTCCTGGGATGAAGTTGGAGGAAAAGTGGCCACTGGTTCCCACAAATGCTGCTTGCCACTGGATGCCAGGAAAGGTAGCATTGTGGCCTGTTCCGTAGAAGGCGACGACGGACAATAATGCCCACGCAACAATAGAAAACCATGGCACAAAAATTAGTTGACCTACAAATGAAAAAATAATGTGAATTAATTCAATAAAATTTTTGAAAAAATTAATATAATAAATACATTATGAAGTTTAAAATTCTACCTGGTATAATTATGCTGTTCAATCTTGACATAGAAGTAATGGCAAGAAGAAGAACCAAGGCACATAAGGACATCACTAGAGCTGGGACCATTTTGCTTCCCTGAAGCAACGCCAAGAGTTGATACAGCAGCAGAATGGCTACGAAGGATGATGAGGAAAATGCAGTTGACAGGCCGTAAACCGCACAAACATCTTTTTGTCCATTGTTCTTGCTCAGTGCACTTTTAACCTGAAAATATAATAGATTTTGAAAAAAAATTCAAATTATTTAAAATTTTAGTATAGTTTGAATTTTAAGAAATTCAACTACCTGATTGAAAATGTAAGGCACAAAGTCCGACTTCTTTCCAAGGACCTGCTCTCTTGGATTAACAATGTGGATCAGAAGAGGGTCATAGGAAAGGCAAAGAAGGGAGACAAAAATAAGGACATAGCACGTCTGCGGCAAGATTTGCAAATCCCATTGAATTGTTTTCTTCAGAGTTTGCGCAGGGAGCGATTCAAGTACCCAATAAATTATGGAAAGGATTGTGGTCAAAATGGGCAGATAAGTGACAATGTGGGCTGTAAAAGTTGCAGACACCAAATTGCCACTTCTTTTCAGCCAGTACCAATTAGCCAAGACAGGGATTACATGAAATACAAGTGGGACAAAAGAGACTTGCTGGTAGGGGCTGGTTTTCGAGTTGAGATCAGTCGAGGGAATGGACTGGCACCAAGACTGCTCCTCCCTGCACTGCCAGTACAAAGAGAGTGACCAGACGAGGAAAAGGAAGGCAGTAATAAAAGCAGTAAATGTCAACTTTTGATAGCTTATGAGGCCACAAAAAAGTTGGCTTGGCTTTTGTGATCTCTCTTTCCAGTTCAAAAATAAAGCTGCAATCAAAATAGCAATCAATAATGAAACAGCAAAGCCTTCTTCGACCACAAAATTGTCAGAGCCAAGGCCAAACATGGCAACTAATACAACTGCTACAGTCAACGTGCTCAAGTTTAAAATGCCTTTGGTGGTGAGGTTTTGAAATAAGATTTTAGAATCTTCCTTATTTAAGTATAAGAAATAAAAAATGCAGAGCAAACTCAAACTGCATGATATCTCTAGAAATGCTCTGAAAATTATCCAGCCCACTACAGAAATGACGGATATTAAAATAAAAGCCACCTGGCAGAGCCTCAAGGAAATAAAGTCTTGCATTTTGTGGATTGGAACTGAATTCAGTAAAATCAGCAATAGCGAAGCAGTAAAAAAATTGCAAAGGCAACCTAAGGCCATGGGCAGCAAGTCAAATTGAACCCAAACTTCTTCGCACATTTGCTTTACGGACTTCAAGTAACTTCGAGAGCTCAAAACAAAAGTATGAAAGTCGGCTGCAGTTTTAACTTTAGTGGCATTCAACGCCAAGTCCATGTGTTCCCTGCTCAAACGAGCAATGGCTTCTTCTGAAAACTGGCCCTTTTTAGAGTGGTACATGGAAATGTACTGGTGCACTTGATTTACATTATTCAAGAGGGAAGTGAATACGGGAGGCCAGTCACTTTCGGCATAAGGCAAAGCCTCTGTTACGACTGTACCGAGATTCGAGAAAGGAATTGGGACAGAAAGGATTGAAGTTAGGGTTGGGACAAGATCCACTTGCATCACTAGAGACGCAGGTTCACCACTCGGTGGAAACAGAAGAGTCGATGGAGAGTGTATGAACATTGCAGCAGTCACCTCTGCAACACTGTCGCCTCCATGATTGCCTACAAGAGTAAAATTAAATCAATTCATGGTTTTACTATATTTAAAATAGCATTTTTTTTTATTAATATAAATTTATGGCACAAATTATTAAAAATTTTAATATAAAAGTGATATAAAAAGTTACCAGGATATTTGTAATTTTTCCATTGTACTAAACTAAATTGAAAAATAATAATCACCAGTTGAAGTCATTCCATGATCACCAATCACAATAAGGGTTGTGTCATTATCCAAAATTTTTACCAGACTCCTGCAATTTCAAAATCAGTCACTTTAAAAATTCCCAACATGAAACGATTAACATACTTAATAAACTTATCCATTTCCTTGAGCTTTCTGCTCATTTCTGGATGGTCTGGGCCGTATCTGTGGCCACAGTGATCAACTCCCAAAAAGTGGCCAATAATCAAGTCCCAGTCGTTTCGCTTCAGTTCGGGTTCCATGTGCTTCGTAACTCCCTGGTCGACCGTGTCGAGATCCCAGACATTGAAGGATGGAAAGGGAAATTCCCTGTAGAATCTGCCTGGGTATAAAGAAGTCCAAGTGTCATCTCCCATGAAGATGACATTTTTCCCGGCACTGTAAATGAACATATAAATTAATTTACTCTGGTACAAAAAAAAAATCAGTGATTATACAAAATTTTTGGTTATTATATATAATATTAATATGTTTAACACAATTTACTTTTTCAACTGATCAAGAAAGTTGTCCTCAAAAATTTCAGACGATGCAAAATTTGAGCCAGCATCGATGAAGGTGGGCAGACTTCCAGTCGTGAGGCCCTTCAATCTCTGCATTGTCGTTGTTGGTGGATCAGCAATGAATTTAAAAAGTCTTGAGTTGTTCGGCTTTGCCTGCAGAAGGTCTCTAAAGATGGTAATCTTGTTTTGAAAGGCCAGCGGCTGAGCGTTTTTCGGATCAAAGTCGGCAAACTCGAACATCAAGGCGTCGACAATCAACAGCACAGCCCTCTAAAATTTTAATTCGGTTATAAATTTAGAGCTTTCAAATTAAATTAAATTAAAAACAAACATTATTTTTAGACTCTGTGCAAATCTGCAGGTTCAGTTCGTCGGTGTAATGAGCTGAATTCCTGTGAACACAAGACGCCCTGTCCGTAAACTCGTCTCGGCTGAGCAGAAATCCGCCTAAGAAAATGACGACACTGGCCGACAGGAGGTAAAAAAACCAGCACATGAGGGCCAGTTGCTTGCCGAACGCGTCCATGGCTTTGTCTTTAGCCGCTCGTCACATAATCGCGAATAAATTCACGGAAAAGGGTTGAAAAACATCGCTAAAAATTTTGCGTTTATTTTTCTGAAAGAAGAACAGACAAAGAGGGGCTGGCCGGGGCGGCTGCCGATTATTCCGAATTCCGAGGAAGATCAGCAAGGCGGCCATCTTGGATCGGGGTGGGGGGAAACGATTCTGCAATTTGCACCAATCCTTCGTGTATGTATCTGTATCGTGTTAGAGGGAGATAAATATACATATATAAAATATACACGTTTCAAACAAAGGAATTTTTGTACAACAAGTTGATGCTGAGGAATTTGCAGTCAGCCGTAACGGAATGCAGATTTTGCATTTTAGTGTCAGAAAAGAGGCATTTTCTTTTCCCTTAGCTACATTTTCTGAAGGACGACGAAAATATCTAAATAATATGCATGTTTTATGCATAAAATATGATCTATAAAAGGGACTACATACAAAAAATGCTGATTGCCGCTGGAATAACGTATGTGAGTATTTTTTTTCCTTAAAATTCAATTATGTATGCTAGTGTGCGTGTGTTTATGTAATCTTCTGTGTTGTGAGTTGTAAAGCAGTTCCAGGGTTTAATTTTTCAGGGTTTGAAAAGTTTCGTTTTGTGGAGGTTCAATATTGGTACATACAGAGAGACCCAATTTAGCGCGCCCTTCAAAATGAGCAACACTGAACACGATATTTTCACAAATGAAATCTGATGAAAGAGACAATTTTTATGGTCATATGGGCGTCCAGAGGAAACTAAGTAAGTAGTTTGCTAAATTGGCAGTGGTAATGTTTCTTTTTGTGCAAAAATTAAAAACTTTGGCGAAATTAAAGCTAATGAAATAAATGTTTCAAAAAAAAAAAAATTCCCATTTTTTTCCAGCTATTTGACAAGTGTGTAAAATATAATGGTGGCCTCTGTTAAGTATGCAATCATTTTTCCCCCCAAAAATTTCTAAATATAGTTGACTATATATGTGACCTTCCCTGAAATTTTCAAAATGGCACACTTAATTAAGCGACCTTTCATTGTTTTATTATTTTTTAAAGAAAAAAATAGCTGTGGTTCTTTCAACAAAAACAATTTTTACAACGAGGAAAGCCCGCTTCTCTTTACTTCCAATTGATTGATTTAGTAAGATTTTTATCAGTCATCATTAATTAATATTTATTTTTAACAAAGGTAAGGTCATTTAAAAAAAGTTGATTTTTGAAACTGAGCAAAAAAATAAAATATTTTTCGAAATTTATTTCAATTTTAACTTTTTGGAAATCTGGCAATTCGTTTTTTAGTAAAATCCCCCTATAAAAATTGAAAGTTAATAAATAAAATTTTGTTTTTATATAATTTTATTTGCAACTGTCTTTCTTCTTGAGACGGTACAATTCTCTTTGCGAGAACAAAATTTATATTCATTTTATTCATGTTGCAGCAAGTAGTCTCTCGTTTGTTTGTCTTTTGTGGGTGTTGACTGGAATTTATGCAACCAGCGCGCGTCGCTGTGCAGGTGCATTACTTTTATCCATTTTTATCCCGTTTCGTTGTTTACGTCAGTTATATTCGTGATAGGACTTTGTCACCGACCTCATTCTGTCCGAAATATAAAATGTAATTCAGAAAAAATTATGCAGCCGAGGTAAAGTTTCATCACAATTTTTTATTGTAATATTCTCTCGTTGCGGGCTATATGGGATAAATCTTATACCGAGCTAGGGTGGAAAAAAAATCAGAATTTCAGATTTTTCTCATTTCGAAAAAAAATAGCGCTTTGAATGTGTCCGCGTGTGTTGTGTCGAATTATTCAAATGATATGGGGTGAAATTTAAATTCGTGTGCGACGAGCAGATAAAAGCAATTTATATATATAAAAAATAATTAATTGTTAGCGTGTTGCATTTATTAAAAATGAAAAGCGTTTACGTAATGTTTATCTCTGCTCGGTGTGGTGTAGAAAGAGAGGAAAAATATATGTAATCAAGGTAAACCAGAAGTTTAATTTATTCCTCATCTCTATCTATGTTTGCAACTTTTAATTAAAAGTTCGTATTTTTTTATGCCTCAAAGCTCTGACATAAAAAAATCAATGTTTTGCGGAAAGTGTTATTTGCAATTTAGCTACCATAATATGTATTTATCCGACTCTCAATTTTAAAGCAAATGGGAGATTTGAAATTTAAAGAGATTATTAAACAATTCAGATTTTATTTGACCATCAAAAGTGGTCAATTTTAATAATAATTTTTGGCCCGAATAAATAATTCATTTTTGAGTAGAATGTGAGCATTTTAATTGAATTTCTTGCAAAATTCAATTCAATTCTTAAGAAATTTCAATTTAAAATATTGTAATTATAATACTGCAAATTAATTTAATTTGTAATATTATTGCATTATTATATTATTATATTATATTATATTAATATTATTAAATGCATTATTTAATGCATTTAACAAGCAAAAAATATCGGAAATAGATTTTAGATATATGAAGGAAAAAAGGTAATTTTATACAAAATTAAATAAATTAATTTTGCAAAATTATAATATTTTAGAACAAAAAAAAATTAAAAATCATGTGTATTAATTTGGCTGTTATTATGATAAGGAGTAAATTTTATTTGATTTAAAAAATCCCATCTCATGTGCTCCTCATAATTTCTAACTAATACAATAATTTATACAACTATATTTATTAATTTATTTTCCATTCCCATTTCAAATAAAATATAAATCTTAAATCAATACCAAATTTTACAACTGGTTTGCAATATACTTGAATTGAGCTTTTAATAATACTTTTTAATATTATAAAAAATTAAATAATTCATTATATAAATAGCAGAGTGAAGTTCTTTTTGAAAAATAAAAACAACCATCAACAAGAAAAAGACTAGTTAATAAATTATCACAACTCGCCACTCTAGTCAAGCGCCTCTTTCTTAAAATTAATATTAACTGTGAATAAATTTATAATTTTTATGAAAAATTTCCAATACTTATAAATATAAATTCAGGTTTTTATTACCTCTTATGGAAGCAATTTTTTTATAACTTTTTTTCATCATCTGTGCATATTTCATATCATGCTGGGTAATAAAAATGCATAGTTTTGAGTTGATTACAAAATACTCAATTATGCAAAACCATAAAAATTAGCAGCTCGTCTATTGTTTTCCCACAATGATCCGAATGCCGCAAAATAATGCGATCTATTTAATTATAGTAAATCAATTTGCCGCCGTTCTCTGCAGCAAAACTGCCCCTTTCGCGTGTCCTATTATTCTATATCCCAGAAGCGCTGCTTCCATTATTTATGACCGCATAACGCGGTGGCCAGCCAGAATTTCGACCACGGGCCGGTTTTGTTTTTGCTCCACATTCAGGCGATGGCCAAGACAAAAAATCAGAATATAGACCCATGCGCGGCGCACAATGGATAGGAAACTATAGAGATTCGCTCTTCTAAACACACAATTGACGAAACTTTTTGCCTCGGCCGCACACACAACTTTTCTATAGACCACATAAACACGCGGATCTAATGGCAAAGTTTTGCTTATCGGCGGCGGCAAGAGACTTCTTCTTCTTACAAACAAAGAAATTCTTACGTGATAAGGGGGAAAATGCGTCTGCGGCACCGCTCATTGACTCTGCGTGGGCCCGAACATCGAAATATAAAATCTCTCTTTGTTTGCGCAGGGTCCAATTTCTCTTTTGGCCCTGCCTGCGTCACCCTATACAGCTCTCGAATCCAAAAGTTATGTCGGAACGTGCGCGCATATTCAATGCGCTGATTCAGTGGCGAAATATATATGCTTTGTGCCAACACTGCGATTCACAGTTGTAAATTTCGCAGGGAGCTGAAATATTATATTTTTCCCTACACAAAAAGCATTTTGTATAGAAGCTTGTTAGAGAGTTTGCTTGGCTCAATAGTCCCGTGATATAAAAAGTTTTGAATTTAACATTTCAACTCTATAATTAGTTCAGTTAGGACTATTGATAAAAAGTTGCATTCAATGTAATGCTCTTTTGAATAATGCACACGGCACAAAATATTGCGCTCCTATAGATATAGTGTCGGGAAAGAGAAAAATTGAATTAGAGTTTATTCTCTGTTGTTGTTTATTTTTTCATATGGAACAAAATTTTGAAATTATAAAAATTTCAAATTGAGACAAACAAAATTGATTAGAGGGAAAAATTGAATTGTTGGACACCACCTCTTTTATTCTAAAACTTCCGACTTTCCTAGGCAAATCTTTCAGGGTTTTATTTAAGCCCTGGAATGACCTGCTATATAGACATTCAAAATACTGCCCAACCTGCAGAAATTTCAAAGTGTTCGTTATTATTATTTTTTCTCGGTAGTCTTTCTTGATGACATCTGCTAATTCTGCTCTCAATTTTTTTTATCGACAAATAAAAATAATAAAATATTTAGTTGCCCGAAAAAAAATGGTAAATACACTATTTTGCTTTGAAAATATTCTCCTCTGTTGTATAATAAAAATCGCTTTCATTTGAACAAAATAAATCTGATGGTCAGTTCAATATTTTTAAAGCGCGGTTCAATATATATGAACAAAAACTTTGAATCGAGGCTCACTGCGGTGGATGGGGTCGTTTTGATCTCGGAAGTTTAAGCAAAATTCTTGTCATCGTGGTGCCGTTTTTTTCCAAATATTCCTTTTTCTTAATTTTTTTTTATAAATGGAAATTGTAACAATAATAAATAATAAACAACAATAATAATAAAAGCCGAAACCATTCTGTAAATATAAATGATAAAATATGGTGCAATTTTAAAGGATCAGAGTAAAAAAAGAGTTAAATTAGGATTTGCAGGAGAGATTAGCGCACACAGAACATCACAATTTCAATTAATCAGAACGAGAAATATGGAATTAAACGGACACTGCACGAGTTGGGGTTTATCGTTTTGCACAATGAAATATATGAGTTCCGCCGCGCACACGTGTTTAATGTTCAATCAATATTAAAATATGCATATACGCGTTTTAAAGCGGGCTGGACGTGGCGCGCTGGATATATATGCAAACGGAACCGATTAAATATCCATGCGTTCCAAATTGCCAAAATCTTGGCCAAAAACTGCGAGGATTTTGCGCCCCGAGTGCGTGTATCAGGGCTGGAGCGCGCGCGGTGAGTGCGCGCAGGCTGGGGTTGTTTGGAGGGGTGGTTTCGGTGCTCCGGCGAGCGGAAGCTCAGTCGAAAGTCGCTTCTGCTGCTCGGCGGAGGGCTGCTCTGGGGGCGACGCTGCACGCACGGGCCAAAACCTGCTCTGTTGACAAAAGTCTGCTGCGTTTCAGGACACCTGCGGGCCGAGAGCATGCAGAAGAACCGGCGCCGCTAGCCGACTCTCGCCATGTGGGTGGCCACTTTTGCCCTCGTCCTCCTCGTCCTCGGCGAGACGCACTTGTCCTCGGCCATTACCGGTAAGTCCTTCTTTACTTTATCCAATTATATACGGCAAAGCCGCTTTTCAACTGTTGATCCGGAGCCGTTCAGGAAATTTTTTTTTCCGCCGGTTTCGACTTCTTTTTTATCATTTTGTTCAACTGTGTGTGACGCCGGTCCATTCATTTGAGAGAGCAGCGCGCGCTTTGTGTGCCCACGTATCGATTGGAATTTCTGATATTTAAATTTTCATTAGGGCTGGCGCCCTTGTTGAACGCGTTTGGCAAGTATTAAACGCGCGCGAGAACACGGCGGTGATTAGCAGTAAGTTGGTTCCACGTACAATGGGCACTTTCTCAGAGCAGCTTCCGCGCTGTCAAAGCGCCGTGCGCCTCCGACAAAGCATATGAGATTCAGAATCGATTAAGCACAAAGCACACATACGAGGCGGTCTCTGACAATAAGAAACTCGTTTCTGGGGAAAGAGCTTTGTTTGTGTATGCGGCTTGCAATTACCTTTGAGCGGTAATTGTGTTTAAACTGGATTTGTCCCGCGTTTATAGAACAGAAAGAGGTGCCGAACGGGAGAGAGAGACGAGCTGAAAATATTAATTAAAAAGTTTCCGCCCTTGCGAGACTTCGAAAAGTAGCAAGTTCGAACGGCATACTTAAGTATCTGCTTGGAGAGGAACTTTATGTTTTTTGAGAAGAAGGAAAAAAACCCGGGGAATTTATTAACTTTTAATATGCATGTGTGTCTTAAGTCTTAACGTTAACGTAGGAGGAAAGTAACAAAAAACTTTGCAAATAAGCGCCAAGTTTTGCACATGAATTTTAGCAGGAAAACAGGACAAGTCCATTTAACAGCAAATCTGCGCCGAAATTTTCCGCTTCAGAGCCAAAACCGCACGCAGTGAAATTCTAGTGAAACGAGTCTGCTTCCCGCAGGAATTTTAAAAGCAACGAGATTCAAATGGGCCTTGCAATATACGCGGGAGCCCAGCAGCCGCGGCCCTAATAACTCTTTTTGTGCCACGGAACGCGCGCTCTCCTCTCGCAATGGAGCAGCGGCGCCCCAGATGACGATAGAGTATGGATCTGCCGAGAGAGCAGAGTGAGAGAGAGAGAGGCACAAACTACACTTGCCGGAGAACTGAATCAGCCAAAACTTTTCTTCTCAAATAGGTGGTACTCCTAAACTTATTTACCACCTCATAGCAATGCTGGCGCCAGTTCATGGCATATCCGAACGAAAGCAGTCTCGCAGAATTGTGCTGTGATTGGAACTTCCAAATTGCCCCGACTTCAGATAAAAAAACGTTTTTTTTTATATTTATATTCCTCCAAGAAGGCGCGCATTCATATTTAAATTATTATCCAACTGCAAATTTAACGAAGTGCGATCAATAACTCGTCTCTCTCTCTGCTTTCTCTCTATTCTGTATAGAAATGATATGCGCCCAATTTTCCACCGTGCCAGCTCAATTTACATAAACAATTGTCGCCGGAGGTATGAAGTTTTCGTCCCAAACGAGAGTGAGACGGAGCCAGATCAAATGATAAAAGCTGCTGTGTGAGCGGCGCAAATCTCGTGTCAGTTCTAAAAAAGGGACTCTTTCCAGACGCCCTGCCTGACCGCACCGAGAGAGAGAAAGAGAGAGACGCGGTCTCGAATATCGCATCCTGGGTCGACTAATTGTTGGGCTCTCTGCGGGTCTCGCTTTCCTTCTGGAAAATTTCCAATTCTATAATCAGTGATGAATCGCATCTCTCTGGCGCTGCATATAAAAACGAGCGACGGATGGCGGAGGCGGAAAAAGTCGCCGCGGAAGTGGCGAATTAATTTTGACTCGAGTTTTTCTCTTGTCCGGCTGTTGTTTGGAAAAGAGTTTTGTACTTGAGAGATCAAAAGCAGCGTCTCCCAAATCAATAAAAAGTGGGAGGGTGTGCTGGAATTACTGGGATTTTGCCTCCCATTCAGCAGCCCTTGGGCTCGAGGAAATGAAAAGTGGGGGTGGGGAGCTCTTTCTCTCTCTCATTTTCTCTCTGTGTGTGTTGATGAAAACTGTTTTTACACACAGGACACTTTTTAATATGCGTCGTGTTGGGTTATTATTAGAACGTACTAGGACGGGCGGCCAAGTTCGAGGAACTTAAAATGCTTCTGTAAGGGTGCTCTTCGCGGCGAACGGCATCACTTCTTTTAGTGTGTGTACACACGGCCGTAAAGGAAATAAATATTCAGAAACCGCCGCGCCGTGATTACGGGCAATTTGGTAGGAAAATAACGACGTAAAAACAGTTTTTCCAGCACTACCCAAAGCAAACAACTTTTTAAAACAAGTATTTTTATCTTTATACATAGTATAAATTTGAAATTTGTTTTAAATCTTTCTATATTCTGTATTAAAAATTAAGGAGAAAAATATGGTAATTTATTATTAAAATTTTTTGACTATAATTTGATTGTTGAATTTTCAAAATGTACTTAAAATTGGTCAACTGTCACCTTATTTAATTTAAAAGGCTTATAAATTAGGTTTGCAACTTGCAACCAAAACTAGTAGAGCAGGGAATTTCTGTCCCATGCAGAAACAATAAAGTTGCTCATATTCACCGAAGAGAGCCATTTCATCAAAAAATTATTTCAAATCCTTATTAAAATATCAATTTATTTTTTAATATTGCTGAGCAGCGCATTTATAAAGTTTTTTTTTTTTTTAAATTTGGAGTGACAGACTTTGTACTCCCTTTTATTACTTAACTTTTAAACATTAATTAAGTTGAATCTTATTTTACAAAAGTTTTGAAAAGCGGAGTCAATTTCAAAGCATAACGAACAAAAGTACAGGAAAAACACAAAGTTTAATGTTGTGGAAAATTCATTACAAAAATATTCTCGCTTCAACTTTTTTTAATTTAAAACGCTGCTTTTCCGAGCGGCCAGCAATTATGCAAACGTTCTAAGCGATTTTTAATAATGAGTCTAAAGCCCTCTGCGTTTTGCACCCTTGCGAATTCATACGCTGAGGTAAAAACTTAATTACGGTCGAGGTCATCTCCGTGGCACACAACAAGGGGCGAGCGAAAGCACACAATGGAAAATTAAGCTGTGGGTAATTCATTTTAAGCATCGGTTAAGGGGGTTCTTGTTATCTCTTTATCTCCGGTGGGCATTAGCAGTGCTCATCTTGATTCCGGCCGAATTGCCCAGAAAGTCGCACGCGCGCGCCCGAGAGAGAGGAGATCATTTCATTTTATTAAGAGCGAAGCGTGCTCGAGCGTGAAATTCCCGAATGCGGGAGCGATTAAAAAAATTAAGGAACATATCGACGACGGAGAGAGACTATTGTTCGCTTCCTTCCGTCCTTAATTAAAACCTCTCCGCAGCTAGCGAGAAAAGGCATTAAAGTCGAGGCGCGCGCGTGAGAGGCAGGAAACTATAGGGCGGAGTTCGATATATATATTTTCGCGCAGACTTATAATTATACGACGGAGAGAGAGAGAGAGAAGAAGAGCAGAGCGCAGAAGGCGGAGGGCGTGTGATGAGGGTTCGTTCCCTGATAGCTTTGTTAAGTTAGTCGCTAGGTGACACTCTTCCGAGCAGAAATGAGCGCTTGGCCGCCTTGCACTTAACCAGTCACGCCTCAGCCCGCGCCGCTTGCTCTCCTCGTCGCACTGCGTTTTAGTGAAACCGCGGGTGTAATGGCTTGAGAATTAATGGCGCAAATTTGCCAGAGGTTTGCTTTGCTGTCCGTCGTGCTGCTGGCGAACTGGCTGCGAAATGGACCCGATCTTTGTCACGCGGCCGCCGCCGCCGATCTCGGTGAGTTTTTTCTCTTCTCTTTTCTTTTCGCGACCCGCCGTCTGCGCCTTCCTTTGTCAGGGTTGCCGACCTGCTATTGTCGGACTTGTGTTGATTGAGGTTTAGGCGAGCGAGATTCGCTCTTTCTGTCGCTGCTGATTACAACGCTAAGGTGCCGCCACACTGAGAGAGTGGTTTTCTTTTCCCTTTTTTTCTCTCCTTCCTTTTGTCATCTCGCGGCGAGACGAGTGATGCTCCTTTTCCATTAAGAGATCGGCGCGGAATGAAAAATTTTCCGCCACACCGAAAGTTTGTGATTAAATAATAAAAAAAGCGGTCGCGGTCCTTCTCAGAGAGAGAGAGAGAGAAAGAAAAAGTTCAAAAAGTTGGTTCTAATCTCGACCGAAAATCTCTATTTAAAGACCCTGCCTGCTCTTGCTTGCTCTCTTGGTGCACCCGCGCCGAATTTGTCAAATTTTAACAGGCAAGCTCACGCCTGGAATGGATTAAATACACGCACAGCGAGTGAGTGCCGCCCTCATTATGCAACTCCCGTGGGAGAAATTGAGCCCGGGATCAAACTTGGTGCAAACAGCAAATCCGCGCCCGCGAAACTTTTCGAGCGCACCCCTGTGTGCAATTTTCAGTATATCAATTTTCGCGAAACGGATCTCGTTAAGGACTTATTGACAAAGTTGATAATCACCTCATATCTGCCCACTTTTGTTTTAATATACCATCTCGCTGGCAAATTGTTTCAAATTATCATCTGCTACAAAAGAGCGGGCGTTATACGTCAGTAATAAAGGATTCTGCATCTCGGCGAAAATGCTAAAGCCGGCGTTGCACGCGAGACCCTTCTCTCGGCAACGCTTTCCACGCAATAGGCACATCCGAGCTATTACCGGGCCAAACTTCTTCTTCTTCTTATTCTTCTGCGAGTGCTACTGCTTTTCTTAACAAAAGGAGAGAAAACTGGAAGAATTTTACATAAATCTCGAATAGACCGTGCGAGAGGCACGGGTTAGACTCGTATCCGCAGTTCAGAGGGAAAAAGCGGGCCGACCGACCACGCGCGCGCTGCCCGCCGAACAACACGCTTTGGCTTGCAAATACCTCTCTTGCTCTTCTCTCGGCGGTCTTCTTGTACACGAACGCGGGAACCCCCAACAGCCCCCTGCCGAACAACCACTGAATACAAAATATGACCCCGAACGTGTGCAAAATAAATCTGCCATCAAATCGATAGCGGCGCCCGTCTCGTTCACGGCGGCAGGCAAATAAGTCGCCTCCGCGCCGCGCACACCAAAGCACATCTTGCCCGCCGATTATCGCAAGATGCTTGTCCAAGCTCACTGAGTCGGAAAATAGGACCCTCGCTTTGATATTTCCATATAGCTCGGTGTGCGCTTTTCTTTGATTAATACACACCAATGAGAGACGATGCGGAAACTTTTGTTTAATTAAAACTTTGATGTCTGCTACATAAATTTGCAGCGCCAGGTGCATTGAATTGAGACGGGGGTTGTTTTCTCCGAGATCGCACGCCGGCTGAGCAAGGAAACAAGGATTTTGCCTGGAATATGGCTTAATTATAATGAATGATTTCAACTCTGCAAACGGCAAAACTTATCCAGTAGTTTTTTGTTGTATGGTAAAGAAGTTTCCGGTATAATATTCCCCATAAAAAATATTAAATTTTATAACATTTTTAGCCCTGTGTTCAGAGGATTTTTTTAATCCACAACCAAGCATAGAATATAAATTAATAACTTTTTGCATTAAATATTAATTGCTAATAAGTTAATAAAAAAAAATCCATTTGCTTTAGAATTAATAATTTTTTTTTACATTAAAAACGCTCAGAACTTTTCTTTAAATTTGCAGTAACCACGATAAAATTAAAATAAAATTGTGGAAAATTTCACGAATCATGGTGATTTGAATTTAAAGTCAGCTTTCCCTCGTTGAGTTTTGTGAGTTGTTTATTTTTTAAGAAGAAAAAAAAACAATATCCTGCTCTACATGTTTTCATGAGCTGGGAAATCATTTCTACTAGAATTAATACATAAAAATCTATCCTTTAAAAATATTTTTCTTTCAAAGTAACAATTTTTTGTGAAAAATTATTTAAAGTTACAATTTTTAACACAAAATTTGACATTGAATCCAAAACTTTTTTTAACAAGTTAATTTTAATTTCCACAAAACAACTTTACCTGAAAAACGAACCGAAAAATAAATTAGTCTTCTCTCGACCACCGCCGAGAAAGGTATGCTCAAAACACTCATTTCAATATTCTGACCAAAATTATTATTGAAATTAATTTGTTAAAAACAATTTAGAATTCAATGTCAAATTTTGTGTAAAAATGCAACTTCAAATAATTTTTCACGTAAAATTGTTACTCTGCAAGAAAAATATTTTTTGAAAGGATTGATTTTTGTACTAATTCTTGTCAGAATGATTTCACAGCTCATGAATTTTGGCTACAGCTCGCAAGCCTAAACATGTCATTTGTTTTTTTTTTTCGTAAAAATTAAACAACTCACAAAACCCATTGAGGAAAAGCTGACTTTAAATTCAAATGCCCATGAATCAACCCTCGACCGTTAAATTCTACTATGTAAATTATTAAATTTTTGCATTAAATATTTGCTAATAAATATTTTAAGAAAAAAAATATTTCAATTAATTTAGAATTAATAATTTTTGGCATTAAAATAGCTCAGAACTTTTTTTAATATTCAGTTGACACGATAAACTGAAAATGTTTGTTCCATACTTGGAAGTTGCTGGGAATATTTTGTTTTTGTTTTTTGCTAAGTACATTCTGATTAAAAAATGATTGTTATTTTTGCAAAGTTTCCTGTTTCTCCGAAACCTTTTTGCTGAAGCAACGTTACCCACGCTGATGGAATACGGACTTGTATTTATTTATTTATTTAACTTTCAAAGAAAGCCTACACTCGGACTACAGCAGTGTTTTCTTGCCGATGGCCACTTTTTTCCACTCCCGTGCATGCAATCGCAAATGCTCTTTCTATCCGTCTCTTTTGTTTCTTTCATTCTTGCGCGCGAGTTGTGTATGCAACAAAGATCACTTTCGCGAGCGAGATCCCTCACTAATGTGGAAACCCTTTCAGCTGCATGCAAAAACAAAGGGTTGTGCGCGCTTAATTTTGCAAGAGTCCTCCTCCTTTGTGGAGAAAATAGGAGCAAAGTTTATCTTGGAGCATACACGACGCCGGCGAGAGTATCAAGTCGCCGGTGCCTTCTCAAGCATCGCCTAAACCCTGCTGCATTGCAGCCACCATCTCTCCTTGAGCACCGCAGCTAGGTTTTGCGCTGCGGCGACGGTCATCTCGCTCGAGCAGGAATTTCCGATTATAATATAATTCCGGGCGAGCGAAATGGCAAAATGGGCTCGGCGAAAAAGCAGCAGCAATACCTGCTTACAATGCTTCTCGCGCCACTGAATCGCCGGCCTCTGACCCACCCGACTGGTGCCAATGGCGCACGAATTTTTTAACAATGAGAGCTGCAAATCGATGGAATGACTCCCGCACTGGGCCACATAAACGACAATAGGTTTTCGGAACAAGTTTGGCTCGAAAGCGGCGGTGTATGTGTTTGTTGATTCATATGAATCGATCTAATAAATTGGCAGTTATAAAACAGCAGGGGCGGCAGCGTGCGCCCGGCCGGCGAGTTTCGATGCACTCAAAAAATGTAATAAAAAGCAGGACAGCCGTCGTCGGTCTGCTCGTCTCGCAAAGTGACGCCATCAGTGCTGCTGCTGGGGTTCTCCTGCTCCACTCAAGCACTCCATTATTGCAGCTATTTGTGTGTTGTTAGTGTTGCCGGCCGCAAGAGCAAAAGCATGCTTTGCTGCATGTAAACATATGGCTCTCCACACGCGCCGAAAACCGCCTTAGAAATCACAATTTTGTCAGATATTTTCATTTAAGTATATGACATGCAGCGCCGGGTCGGCCCCGACAAATTTCCAGCATCTGCATTTAAATATATCTGCGGCAGCGTCTCTTGGAACTTAAATTTCAGCCACTTAAGTCTCACTGGATGCTTTCCAGCTTTCTTGGGAGGTCTGCTGCGGCCCGCGCGTATATATATAAGTCAGCCAGATGAGCTTTTATTTTTTTCTTATTATTATTGCACGAAACATTGTACAGACAATTTCCATTAGCGGAGCAGAATCGCTACAGGACCTTTCGCCCAAATCCTCTTGCTCTAAAAGGGTGTAGGGCCCTTTGAAAGTAAAAATCGATCCGCGGGCCTCGTGCTCGGAGCGCGCGTGGATTTGCGCTGATAAACCCCGACCAAGAGCCCATCACCACTCGCACACATTTGCCGCGGCGCCGCAAAGTAACAAGGCAGTTCAAAATTGTTGTGAATTTATAAATAGACGCATGAGACATCTCGCGCACGACCAATGTCTAGCGGGCGTCGTGTCACATACGCTGCTTTGGCTTGTTTTTTTCGCTCTCTCCCAAAAGTGAATAGAAAACACACGGGCGCTGAAAATAGGATCGGAAACGCACACGCATACATAAAACTTCCTCTCGCAAGCCAAGACGCCAACTATCGGTCGATCTTTTTCCAGAAGAGGTTCTTAAGGGGCTGCGTTTGGCAGGGATGAGCCTCTTAAGACGCTTCAAAAGTTGGAGCTAATTTTCCGCGTTTTCTTTGCGCGCGCTAAAGAGAGAGAAAGAGAAACTCACGCCTCGCTCGCGGCGAAAGGCTTTGTTATTTGCGTCAAACCGCATTTAACTCCATCCGAGCTTGACCCGCTGCTTTGTTAATTTAGAGTCAAAGTCAATGTTGAATCTTAATCTAGAAGGAAAATGTAATTTTATTTGACAGACAGATTCGCCAAAAAAAATGACAAAATCTTGGAAAGTTAAATTGGAATTTTTTTATGTAAATTAGGTACAAAAAGACAACCAAATAATGAAAAACGAATAAGAAAAATTCGGAGGAATTTTGCCGTGTTTTATTGGAACACAAGCCGAGCAAGAATTTATATCCTTCTCATCCAAATTAAAATTCATGGCAGTCCCTATACAGGCTCAGTCTTGGACCACGAAACCGCATAACTTGTCTGCTTACATTATGTTGACGGAGATTGTGTTTTAGAATGCATTTAATGGGCGGGCGCGGAACATCCCTCTCCATTTCCGAGTCCGGGCGGAAAATGGAAAATGTTGTATTCGGGGATTTTGGCAAGCGTAATCTTTTTATGCATGACTGGATTTTGTGTTCCCCCCACGGCTCGTCGTTTTTCACAAAAAATTGCATGTGAAAGCGTATTGATGAAGTCACGCCAAAGCCGGTTGTTTGTTGGTTTTTCTGCGTAGGTGAAATTTGATTAAAATTTGCCGAAATCCGAGCCGCCGCCTTTTCCCCGTGGTATGGGCTTCGATTTTCACGTTGGTGCGCAGAATTGCGCTTTCTTGCCCCTCATATTTTTTTTTCGGCTGAGATTTCTTTCTCCGCATCCACGGCGTGGAGAGAGTTAAAGATGTTAAAAGAACAAGAGGGCGTGCTGTGTGTGCAGGGGGAATAGGCAGGTATCGAGTTACTTATGTATCTGCTCAGTGTAAATGAACTGGCGTCAGGGAAAATGACGTGCGCCGCCCGACAAAAAGAACCCTTGAACAGAAAGCAACGCTCTTGTTTCTTTTTATAGCACTGCACGCATATCAAGCAAGAAACGACGCTGCGTGTATTTTCAATCAGCGTCCTTTAACAATTTAATGTTGGTTTATTTCGGCTTCTCATCTCTCTCGCCGTTGAAAGGCAGCGGTCTTATTTTTTTTTTTTACAAACCGGCCAGGCGCACGCCGACGGACTGATAACTTTTTACGATTATCACAATCTCTCTCTCGTCTCTTTCGTTTTCCCTCCAGAATTACTCGTCCGGAACGTCATCGTTTATCTTGCTGTCGGAAAATGTATCAGGCGCGGCGGAGATGGAACTCATTAGCGGATAATTACAGCAGTCAACACGCGGTTTCATTTTATAATTCGGCAATCAACGTGCCGCTAATTACCCTTTGAAGGCGCGCGCAATTCAACTAAAACTTGAATTACACGTGTATGTACGTAATTTTCCAGAGAGGATCCATTAAGCGAACGCCTCCGACCACTTTGCCGCCCGCGCTCAGCTGATACATATCTATTAGGCAAAAAAAGTGCATCCGTCGACAGACATATCCTCCGAAAGGCGCTGACCCTTCGTGGTAGAGAGAAGTTGAAGGGAGATGCGCCAATGGAAAATACAAAATGCGCAAAGATTTTTTAAATTTAAATGTGAAGTTCACAATTTTTTTAATTAATGTAAGCAATTTTTGAAATAGTTTCTAAACCGCAGATATTGAATTCCAAATTATATTGTTTCACAAGGGTCAACAGTACAAAAAGGAACCACCGTGGTATTAATTTAAATTTAAATTAGCATTGCAAACTATATTCGATTAATATTGATAATAAATTAATTTTTTTTAACGTGTTGGTAATTATTTTTTTTTAATTTTCGCAACAATGGACCTCCTTATAGTTGCAAATTCTAGCCGATTTTTATTCAGAAAAAATAAGCGAATATTTGTAGCTTACCTTCCGCTTACTTTTTTGCTGTTTTTGCTAACTTTGTTGATTAAAAATAAAATGGCCAAAAGAATTTTTAGTTGCAAAAATGTTGCTAAATTTACTCCAAAATTTTATTCTAAACAACTCAACCAGGACGATTGGCAAATTAACGCTTTTTAGAGCTTGTTTATTTCATATTTTTTTTTTATCATTTTACGTGGTTTTTAATTACTTGATATGGAGCTGCTGGTAATTTGATAAATTATCAAATGAGGAAAACATGTACTGAAAATCGTGTTCAAATCTAACAATTCCAACGGAGATCCAATTGTAGCATTCTAGTTTTGTAAATTTCACCTCTGTGTTTATGAATTTCACATTTTTGTTCCAACTAAAAGTTTTACTCAATAAAATAAATATAGTCAATCGATTCTGCAAGTCTATTTATAATGATGGGTTCAAATCAGGTAACGTGCACGAGTTCAGAAACTACAGAGGTTGAAACGATTCCAATTAGAGGAAAAAAACTGCATCTGGTGCTTTTTTCGAACAAGTTAAGGCGCATCTCCCGTCAACGTCTCTCTATATAGGAGCATGTGTAAAGAAATCAATCGGCGAGCCGTGCTCGTTCCATTATTTTTTCCCCGCGCGCGAGGCGACGTGCGGAGCTAATGATCGCGGCGCGATAAAGCGGTGGCGTAAATCAATAAACAGCGCAGCTTCATGAATGGAATATTTATTATTGTTGGAGAGAAGCATTAGGGTCTTCCGGTGTGGCGGAAGTAAGTGTTTCACAGCGCCCAGACTTTGACGTAATCGATCTGCAAGGCGGCCGCCTCGCCTTCGTTCACATCCAGGTTCCAGGTGGGCAGCCACTGGCCCCGTCCGTTCCAGAAGTCGGCGGCGGCCTGCGAACATTCGGTTTTATTACCAAATTATACAGCGATCACTTGCTCATTACCTGGGGCGAGGTGTTGAGCCAAGGCTTTCCGCCGTTGCCATTCACTGCGGTGTCCGGGAAGTACGCGACTCCGCCTACGGCCAAGTTCAATACGATGTAGAACTGAAACAAAGGGGACCGTGAGTGAGGAGAAAAGTTAATTATCCGGAGGAGGGTTGTTTAGAAGATGCGATCTCAAATGAGCTCGAGAGATAAATTCGCTGCGCCTTCTCCCAGCCGTGCAGTAGAATCGAAATAAATTCGACCTTCCGTGACCTGCTCAGGAGGTAGTCGTTTAAAGTAATCACCTGCTGGTCAAAGGGAGCCATCTTTGTGCCGAACCTCCAGGGATTTTCGACTCCGGGCGCGTCGGCAGCAAATCCTCCGTATTCCCAAAACCCGCCCACGCCGGGATCAATTCTTCCAATTTCTTCTCCGTCGATTCCGAATCTAATGAAGTCTGCAAAAGCCGATTGCTTCAGTAAATTTGGTCCTTTCTGCACAAACGAACCCAGCCAGCACTACTCACCAGGGGTCCAATCCATCTGGAAGTTGTGGAAATCCTTGTCGAAGCCCTGTCCGGCGGCGGTCGACTTTTCCCAGTGCGCCTTTTCGTACGCGTTCAGACCGACGTAGGGCCCGAAGTGCAGGGTCGAGCCGCTCATTTCCGAGCCGATGTTCTTTCCGTCCTGCAGCAGGTTCAGGTTGCCCCTCGACTCCGTAATGTCGATTTCGCCCGACGATGGCCACGTGCCGTAGGCATTTTTCGCGGGCAGCAACCACGCCGCTGTTAAAAAAAAAAATAGAAAATGAAATGCGGAACCATTTTAGGTTGGGGCGGAAAAAAAGCAGCAGCTATATAATTCGCAACGAGATGGGAGGGAGTGCAGAGCGGTTTATATGATGAAATGATGCCTGCTGTTTCGGGCGCGCCGTAAAATGGGTCTGCGAAATTATATTTGCCGCTGCTCGGCACAACACTACTTGTTAGTAGGTCTCAGAAATTACACCCCGCAAGCCGTTTTCCCCAATCTCGCAGCCTATTCATCTCCAACTACGCGGCTGAAATTTATTGATTTATGCCCTCGTGAATACAAGCGCCTGCTAATTGTAGAAATGCAACCCGCTCGACTTGCTGCTGCCGCCGCTCGAGGCGCCCACGCACCTTTATCAAATTTTCCAGACAAGTAGCACAAAGATATAAACCAATTTCAAACGAACCTGGCCACAACCAGTCGCCGGAGGGCATTTTGGCGCGCACCTCCACCTGACCGTACTGGAAGGTGAATGAGTTGATTGTGCGCAGCCTGGCTGATTTGATGGGGTTGAGCAGGTTGGTGGGGTTGCCGGAACGCTCGCACCCGTAGAAGGACGGGTTGGTGCACCTGAGGATAATCGCAAAAGTCAACTCTCTCTCGGAATTGAATAAACAAACAAGTAGCAAACGGCGTTTTGTACGATTTAATTTCGCCTGTGTTTATTCTCTTCTCCGTGTAATATCATTTGCGTGGGGCCAACGTATGCATTAATAGCACAAACTTCATGAAAAGTTTACGGTCTCGTGAAAATTAACTCTCGACGATAAAAAATAATACGTGAGTGCGCGGAAAACGTGCCCACCGCTGATTATGACCTCCTGTCGAAAGTTACTTAATTGGAAGTAAAAAGTTTAAAAAAAAGACCCTCTCTTCTCTTTTATCGGGCTGTTCACATCTCACTGCTCACTTGAGAGCGCCCCGCGGAACAGAAAAAATTAAGCCGTCTCCTTGGTTATCGCCTCTGGTGTATCGATTCGCAAACTTGCTATGTACACCTTGTTAGGCGGGAAAGGCGGCTTCAAAAACAAAGGGGCGAAGATGAAAGGACGGCCGTGGTGACTGTAATTTGCAATTATTCCGAATACTCACTCGTCAGCGGGAGCACCGCCGTGGAGATTAAGCACACCTGACGACAGGAAGGCCTCTCCATATTGGTCAGAAGTCAAGCCAGGCCTAATGAACAATTTGCTGTCCTTCGTGTAGCTGTTGGACCTGTTGTTGTAGTACATCTGGAACTCCCAGTTCTGAAAAAGACAGTTTTTAGCAATCAAAATTGACGGGAAAATTTTAATTTTATATAAAAATAAAATAAATTTTTTGTATTTGCATCGCACAATTTAATTCCTTATGTTAAATAGAATTTTCTGAAGATTTTAATTAATTATCCCACGCATTTATCTGTTGCTCCTTTACAAGTATACAATTTATTCATTTGTAATCAATTTTATAGAAATGAAGAGATCGGGCTTTTCCTCATTGCAGATTTTTTTATTATCAAAAAGCAAATGGAATTTGTTAGTTTTAAGATTTGAATTTTTATGTTATAATGTTGTATTTTTTCAATTTCCAATTTTTTTTATATATTGCTCATGAAATAGAGTCGCAGACCGTAACCTGAACTGGCAGAGCCATTTGTTTTTTTAAAAAAAAAAACTATTTTTTGCAACAAGGAAGTAGCCAGATTTCTTCACTTCCATGATCATATCTCGTTGAGTGTCAATTTCTTCTAAAAATTTTTTTTTTTTTTTTATTTCTATCGCTTCAGAATCGCGAAATTTAATTCCCTATTAAAGATTTTAATTAATTATCAAACACATAATTTATCTTTTTCTCTTTTACAAGGTGCACAATTTATTAATTTTTTTATAAATCATAATTTGAAACTAATAAATTCATACGAATTTACTTGCAAAGGTACAGAAAATTTTGCATTTAAATTGCCTTTTTGATTCAGTCTCATATTTCATATTTCGCTTGCTCTCATGTTTCCCCAAAAGTAATTAAGAGATAACAAAAAAATACACACTCCTCCTCCCGCAAGAGTGATCTCGTGCTGCCACGTGTCCAGGTTGAGGGTGTCGAATTCGTCGCTGAAAACGAGCGCCCCTTTGCAAACGGTGCCGCCAGTGCCGAGCTTCGTCACAGAGGGCTCGCATCCTGCGGAAGAAATATTGCAATTTTGCGGTTTTGACGGCGCGCGGCTGGTTCATTTTATTCTTTATTATGACAAAAGTTGGTGTTGACAGTCGGTGCTGTTTGCCGTCTCCCCTATTGTATGTGTAACACAAACGTGCTCCCCTTTGCTATGATAAATGAACATTTATTAACCCCTGGGTGTGCAATCAAGAAAATATCGATTGTCTGCGGTTAGCGGGACGTCAGAATATTTTGAATTATTACATCGTGATTAATTGGTCGGCACAGAGCGATGATAACTAAGTGGAAATCAATTTTCCCGGCGGCAAACGCCAAAGTGCGAGTCGACAGAAAGCAGGCTCGAATTTTTCCGCAGACGCGCGCGATATAAAACATTATTGATGTGCATCTCTTTGCTGCCGTTCTCGTGATTGAGCGATAAAAACAGTAGGGCACAAAGTCGTTAAGTGCCGAAGCAGATTGTCGTCGAATAAGATAATATCTGGGGTGCCAGAGGTGCAGCCACTTTAGTGTGTCGCGCGCTTTTGCAGAGACTTTATGCTGGTGCGCCTGCTGCGGGGAATAGCATGTTGCCAAAGGCAAATAACAACCCGACTCATAAAAAGCGGAGGAAAAAAAAATAACAGGGCGAAATATATATTTATTATATGGCGTCGTAAATCAGAGGCGCTGAGATTCTTGGAAATATTGCGCAGTTCAATAGCGAATTTGTCTGGCTAATTAAATTTATGCTCTCATTCACGGGGCGGGAGAGGGATGCGATTTATGTACCGTGGAGAGAAGAGAGGCGGATCGCGCGCGTCGAGGAAGGAAATTTAGATTATCCGAGGGTTCCACTTTGCCAAATTTCGCCCCACCATTGTCGTCTATAGAAATTTATGGCTAACCAAAGGACAAGGATGCCCACTCAACATGCTTCCCAACCCTCGGCTGTCTTGTAAATTGTTAATAACTCTGCCTCTATAGATATATAATGTGTGTGTCCGAGTGAAACGGTGGCTTTCCGAACTTGCTAATTAACCGTGTGTATTAATAAACCAGCCCGTTTGAGTGAGTTTGGTTCAAGAGTTGCCTCACCTTGCTGCAGAGACGAATTGATCGCGAAAGTGGCGACGAGCACCAGGACGCCCACTTGCTTTGCGCCCAACATTTTGAGTGCCAATGAAACACGCTAGACGCAACTTGAAGCTTTATAACCCTGTCTTTATCTGCCGAATTAATGATTATCAGCGTGCGGTCCGCTTATATGAACAATCGAAAACAAAGGTTCAACCGGTGGGAACGATTAATATCAGTGATGCGTTCGCAGAGCCAAGAGGGTCCGTGCATCATTTTATTTTTATCCCTTGCTATACACCCCGCTGTCTGCTCTCGGTGTTATTCTCTCTCTGTGTTGTCGGAAAAAGAAGCGAGCAACAAGAGAAGATAAATTGATCACGATTCAATGCAACTCTTGAAGCGCATTCGTGCACGATTAATACGCTTTTATTGAGTTTTCCTTATAAGCTTGTTTGTTATGTAACCGCGCGGCAAAATGATAAATAACTGCGGCGGCGGTTGGATTATTATTGTGCCAGTTACTCATTGTGTCACTGACTACGTGAATTTGATGTTAACTTTTTCGCAACTAGTATTCAGGGGGATGGATAAAAATATCACTCTTGAAAGTTTGATAATGATAAAAAAGTTGATAAATATGAATTATAAATTTCTTTTTTACTCTATTGTTTATTTGTCCGAATTGTTAGATCACATTGATTACTTTCAATTTTTGAAAACAACTTATTTGAAAAGAAAAGGAATATTGTTGGACAAAACGGCAAGAATTTTGCTAAAACTTCCGAGATTAAAAAGACCCCATCCGCCGCAAGAGAGATAATGTTAATTTTGTAAGATTCAGCGATTTTATTTTCCTTCAAACTCTTTTTAAGAAACAGATCAATCGGCTTTAAATCAAAATTTTTATTGCTAACCTTGTTTTCACTTTGCAACACATATTTATAACGAAGGTGGCTTAAAATACGATAAGATCTAAAATCTATCTGACATTAAACAACATCAAACGGTTATATAAAAAAAATCTTCAGTTGAGTATAAGTTCTTTGTTATCAATTGTTTTCCCACAAGTTGATCCAGCGACCTCAATGTTTTTTTATTTAACCAAGTACTTAAGATCTAAGATAAGGCGAAGCTAATTTTGTAAAATTTTTGCAATTTTTTAGTCAAATTTATTTTAGATAAATTTTCACCAATAATCGTCAATTAGTGAAAATTAATTATTAATATTATAAGTATCAGTGAATTAAAATTTACAAATCTGATAATATTTTGAAACCAAAATTCCACTGATGAAATTGAGAATTATTTCATTAAATTTGACCGTATTCATGGCTAATTTATTTTGAAAGAAGGTTACCACATAAAAATTCTGCTTCGCTTAATTGCTACAATGATGATTTTTTGATTGAATTCTCTTTGCCAACCAATTAGTGAGATTTAAATAATCCCGGTCTCATGCCAAAGCTGCTAATTAGGAGCTTAACTGGGTATTCAAAATTAATCCTCTTCAATCCGATCGGCAAGTATTCAAACCACTCATTGGTAGATATTAATTGTTGATTTTTGTAACAATTATTGAGTTCAAATTCTTCTCGAATTTAAACCAGAGAAGATAAAATTCTTATCGCATCAACGTGTCACGAATTAATCTCTCGTTATGCGGCTCATTCATCAAAAATAAACCTGTCCAGCAAAAAACTTGGAGGATTATAAGAATTTAAGGCTTAAAAAAGATCAAAGTCTATTTGACGAATGAAGCGCGAATTTTTTGCATTATCGCGGTCAGAAACACCCCTATACCCAGACGTGGTAATAGAATGTTCCGCTCAGAGCGCGCGCAGAGGCGGCCGCTGTTTGCTTTTGAAAGAAGCAAAGTGCGAAGAGAGACACTTTTTTATTCAGCACACACACCATAACGACATGATTATTTCTTTTTTAAAGTGATTAAATTTCGCCCGTATATATGTGTGTCTCAGCGGCAATGTCCAATTAAGGAATTCAGCGTCGTGCTGGTGCTCGACGGAGGGTGATATTCCGTCACAAAGCATGTCGCGAGGGTTTAAGAGCCTCGAGCACCTTCTTTGGCAAACTGATGATTCAGCCCCTTTCAAGTGCAGATGCATCACCCAAGATTAGCGCATTTCAAATTTAGCTTCGGCGCGCGTTCGATTCGCTCTTGGCTCTACTTTTACGCGAGGGAGAAGAAGAAGAAGTGAATGAACCCCTTCTTCGTTTTCCTCCTTTTTTTTGTTTTAATGTAGCCAAAATGACGTTTTCGTTGTCAGATTATTCCAATTATGTCTCGGCGGCGTGCCTCTAAGCCTGTGTCGTTGCCAAGTGTGCAGCGCCGCCACTTTTTCTGCGCATAAAGAACCCACCCAGCGGGGCGCACAAAACTGAGTCTGCGTGCACAAATATTTAATTGGGTCATGTTGACAAAATGAGGCATAAAAAAGGGCTCAAAATATTAGCAAACAGACTAAAAATTCAACTCGCTCCAAGCTTATGCCGCGCACAAAGACGAGTTTGCGTTTTATTTGAGGCTTTAAAATTAAATTCATTTGGGTGTAGTTTTGTTCGCGGGGGAGACGAAGGGGTTTCGCGCGCTCGTTCTCTCTCTCTCGGTGTGTGTATGTTTTATTTATTGCCGCCGTTGTGTTCCGACGCTTGCCTTGTAAATGATGGGACGGAACTCGCTCTTTTGTTTCAGCCTCGTTCTTCGGCAGCAGCTACATCTCGGTGCCTCTGCAGGACTCGCGCAGCACCACCGAGCTGGTGCTCCGCTTCCGAACCAAGCGCCCGGACGCCCTCCTCTTTCTGGCCGCCGGCAGGACCGACTATTTTCTGGTCCGGCTCGAGGCCGGAAAGTTGAAGGTAAGAGCGATTTATGCCGAAGTGCGCGCTGGAAAATCGATTCCGTCACGCTTCCCTTCAAGTTTCTCCATTTCGGACTAGCGTGCGAATTTAATTTAATTGAAATTCCTTCAACTTTCTCCTCATGGAAAATTCCTTCACAAATTGCCCAATTTTTTTAATATTTGGATAAATCTCAAAATTCTAAAAACACCCTACACGAAATTTGCTTCTCAGGCTTTCATTTTCTTTTGCTCAAGCATCGCATTTAGATTAAATTTGTCTTCTAAAGGGGAAAATAAACACGAGCTCAGCTTATCCCGGGGGGATTTGCTCGAGGGTATTTGTTTAACGCCTAACGGGTTAAATAATCAAATCTTGAAAGTCAGCTACTCCTTAATTACTGAACCGATTGTAATCCGCTAATGTAGAAGTCGGAGTATTTTTTTTTTTAATTAGTACATTGATTTAACCAATTTAGAATTAACTGCACGATGAATAATTAAATTCATGACACTCGTTTACATTTTTCCTTTGAATGTTGCTCTGCATTGTCTCTCAAATGTGCCATTGCGCCGTATATTTTGATTTTTATCCAGCGGGGATGATGCTGAGATGCAAAAAAGTTTTTATCTCTTTCCGAGAGAAGTAATAAAAATTCACTTGCTGGACCTAGAAACTTCTCATATATTTCTCATTTGTTAGATAATAAAAAGTGCATGTTCAGTAGAACTATTGCAACGATTCATGCAATAGAAGTAGTTTTTACAACAATGTTATTGCTTTTCAACTGTTAAAAAAGTAACATTAACAAAATTTGCATGCAAAAATAACTAAAAACAAACTTTTGAAACGGTATAAAAAAAAATACCATAGGTAGCAGTATTTGAGGAGCTTTTACAACCTTATCAACCGGAAAAAAGGTTTTCCGGGAAAAGTCCCCCAGCCAAGATTGAGGCCATTAAGCGCAGATTCATTTTCTCGATTTTCCAATTTCCCTCTTTATTACCGTCGACGACTGCGACGCGCGAGGATCACCGGAGAGAATAATGAAAGTTCGGATTGAATAGGTGCACGTGAACCTGGGAGCCGGCGAGTCGGAAATTAAGTTGGCGAAGGGGCTGCGGCTGGATGATTTGTCGTGGCACGAGGTGTTCATAACAAGAAAAGACGCCGACATGACCGTCCAGGTGGATATGATCCACGTGACCAGGTTTGCAAACATGCTTAATGCTCTCTCTTCTTAATATAAATTTACACAGCCGCCGCCGTGCTGAGCCACTGGCCAAAAGCACAGCCGGAGAGTGGGTCTGCTTTATACGAGGGCGGATGTGTTATGAATAAAAAGTGGAAAAATGTTCCTTGCCGAGTTAATAATATTGTGCGCGAGCGGCGGCAGCGGCTAAATGGCCCTTATTATGGAAAGAGTGCCCTTTTCTGCTCTTTCTCTGCGCAAAATTAATTTGCGCGCGCTTCTCTCTTTTTTTTTTTGTTAAATTTTTCGCCAGACCATAAATAATTTCACCTCATTACATCTCTCTCACATGAAAAATGATTGCATATTTTATTCATGCCAACGCACGCGAAAAATTATTCTGATCGCAGGGAGGAGCTCCCCGGGCGCTTCTACGAGCTCAACATCCATTACGGGCTGTTCGTGGGCGGCCAGGGCGATTTTTCAGAGATTTTCCTCGGCCACTTGGACAACGTGCGCGGATGCATGGCCGACGTCCACTTCAACGGCATCAACGTGCTGGCGAGGGCGCGCGAAAGAATCGGCGGCGTCGAAGTGCACGGCGTGACGTGGTCGTGCGCCGAGGAGTTCAATGCGGGCTACGAGCGCGACATCAGCTTTGTTGAGGAGGACGCGTTCGTCGCCCTGCCCAACACCATCACGAGGACGGGCGCCAGGTACGTTTATTTGCTATAACTTGTCAGTGTTAATGTGTGAAATATTACTCTGCAGACATAAAACACGTTTGTTATTTGAAAGTTGACACTTATTTGCCGGAGAGGACTGACATTATTATTATTGTAGCGTTTAAAATAGGCCCTTAATTTGTCTCGCTATCAAAATTCACACATGACAGGACGAAAATTATTGCGCCGTATTATCCTGTTTCTCTGTCGGGTCGCCGAAATGTGTCCGAATGAAAAAAAAACACTTGTCACGAATTCGAATTTTATTGCAAAAACGTTTTGTTCTCAGGCAAAAAAACTTCAGTTTTCATTTAAACACTTTCAGACAGAGCATATTACGATAGTTTTTTGGTTCTTCTGCATAGAGTTTAATTTGAAACTTGATGCAGATACTTTGAAGCACTTTGAAGAAAATTTTGGAAAAAAAATCAGTAAAAATATTTGGAAGTGAGGAAAACGCTCTATTAGTTTTGGTCACGGCCTGCAAGCCCTATTTCCAGAGCAAGAAAAATTAAAAAAGCAGGTAAATTAAAAAATTAAATTGGAAAAAAAAACGGTTTTTCGTACCAACCTTTTTTCAGAAATTTAATTTTTTCAAAGTGAATTTTAAATTTTGCTGACTTTTTTTTGTATTGTTCATGATATGGAGTCGCAGACCATGCCCAAAACTGGTAGAGCTGTTTTGTTTTCGAATAATATACAATTTTTTTTCTCAACAAGGTCAATTTCTTCACTAAAATATTAAAATGCTATTAAATATTACGTTTGAAACAAAATTAACATTAAGATTTCCTTCTCATGCGGATACAAAAATTTATTTAAAAATTTATTAGAGACCATAAAAATAATAATGACTGTGAAGTTTTTAATTGTCACTTTCAAGGATTATTATTTAAAAATAAACAGCTGAAAGTAAAGTTCTTGATCAAAGTGATTAGGCTGATTGAATTAGTCTAATTACTAATATTACTTTTGTTTATTTGTCCACATCGTTTTAATTCTATTGTTGAAAACAATTCATTTGAAAAATAAATTTTAGGACAAAACGGCACCAAGACTAAAACATTTGAGATCAAAAAGACCCCATCCGTCGCAGTGAGCCTCGGTCGACTGTTTTCGTTCTTATTATTTATCACAAATTTTGCCACAGGACAAATTTCCAGCCCTTTTTCTTTGTTCCAACACACAACATTTCTTGAAGAAATCCAATCAAATTTTCTGATAGGCTATTATATGGAAATGTAGCTACTTCAATTTTATCCTTTCCAATTTATATTTTTGGCCGTTTTTCTTTTTAGGACAAATAAAGCCGACCCCTCTGTCGGCTTTTGTGAACTGAAAATATGCAACATTCTGTATTAAATTTGAGTTAATTTCAACGTCCGGCGGCTCTCTCGTGATGATGTGAAATTCCAAATGCAAAAAGTAATCAAATGATGATCGTGACGAGTGTGTTTGAAACATGCATCTGCCATGTCGGGATCGAGTTGCGGAGCAAAAAGAGCAGAGGCTGAGTGCAGAGAGAATTTCCAATTGGAGCGAGAGCGAGTGAGGGAGAAACACGGTTGCTGGATTCGCATTTCGCCGTTTTTCCGATTCTTTTATCTTCGGCCCGGTGATGACACACACCAAACGCCATTATCCGATGTAGCGAGCTATTCGATTCATATAGGAAACCGATCAAATAAAGCGGCAAAATCATTTTGCTCGGATGCGTTCGCCTGCTGAAAAACACATATCGAGCTGTGGAGTAGCCATGGAACGACTTCATAAAATATTACAGTCCATCTAATCTACTGTGTAAATTTCCCAAATTGACTTTTTGTCTGAGCGCAATGGTCGCGCCTTTTAATTGAATGCACGTTTTGTTTTATTTCGCGCTGACACGGTGCTTTTCTGCTTCTGACGCTCGATTGTTCCGACTCAATGGATTCATTAGGGCCGTTATTTTATATATATATTGCAGGTGGCAGTTTGATTTAAAGACCGGCTCGAAGCGGGGCATCCTGCTGTACAACACGGGCCTCACCTCGCGCTCCGACTACATGGGCGTCGAGCTCGAGGGCGGAAAACTGCGTCTGCTGCTGGACAAAGGCGACGGTCCGGCCGAGCTGCGCAGCGACTCGGTCGTCTCGGACGGCCGCTGGCACCGCGTCGTCGTCCACTTCAACCCCACCTACCTGGAAATCAGCGTCGACGGCAAGACGGCCTCCATGCGGCTCAGCCTCAGCGGCAAACAATACCTCGACCTCGGGGACTACGTTTTCCTCGGAGGCATCGAAATCAACAAAAGGGCCCGCGCCACTGCTCAGAGCTTCCGCGCCGCCGAGGATAGTCTCAAGGGCTGCATGAGGAATATAGAGGTAATTAATTAATCACTCTCTTAAGTCAATTAAATTTCCGTAGTCTCGGTTTTGATTATAAACTATACTTTGTTATACTTAAAAGGCCGCCACTGCACCGGCTAATTAATATCCTATAAACTTTAAAAAATTAAAATCTATAAAGATCCTGATGTTTTTTTTTTTATAAATTTTATATATATTTTTATTTTTATTACAAAAAATAATCAGAATCTTATAAATTTAAATAAAATAATAATCAAACGTGTAGATTTTTACCAACTTCATTGGAGTCATGTTAATCTTTTGATGAAAATAATAGCAAATTTTTTATTATTGTTGTTTACTTGCCCACATTGTTACAATATATTGTTTACATTCAATTGTTGAAATTTATTTATTTAAAAAAAGGAATTGTTGCACAAAACGGCACCACCACCAGAAAGAATTTTGCTTAAACTTCCAAGATCAAAAAGACCTCATCCACCGAGTTGAGCCTCGGTTTGCTAACAATAAGTTTTTTTACTTATCACCATACTTCTCAGCAGCCTTAAAAACATAATTTAAAGGAAAAATATTATTTAAGAAAATTATCAGCAGCAATTTTAATATTCTAGCTCTCCCAATCCATTCAATTTTTGTGTGAATTCTTCCAGATTCTTTTTGTAAAATTTCACACATTCACCGTCTTAGCTAGAGAAAGCTAGCGGAATTTGATAAAAAAAGTAAAAACATGTCAGCAAGACTCAACAGGCTTCAATTCCTTCCAGTGTCTTTTACCTGCCATAAATTCATAAAAAAGCAGTTTTATAAAAGAATGCTTGCTTCATATCCAAGATCTTTCAACTTTGTTATGTCTGAGGAAAATAAATAAGAGAATTGGATTCAGAGTGGATTTTATAAAACGGAAAACAAAGCTTTTATCCTCATTAAATTTTTGTTTATTTTGATAAACAAACTTCGTCAGCTTACCTGTTAACATGAATTTTTCATTGAGGATAAACCTGATTTTCCATCGCAAACAATGATTTTTTTTTACTTTTTATAATGCAAACAAGTATCAATATTTTTTTTCAGAAATTTAATGTAAGCAAAGCAGTTGTAACAGTGTGGAATAAATAAATAGTAATACTTTTTTTTTAAATTGGTCCATGACGTGTTGCACAGAGTTTTTTTACTCTCCTCTTGCCAGTTAGGAAGAGAAGTTTCGTAGTTTAACTTTTGTCAAAATCAGACGTCTAAATCATTCTGATTTGCCGCGGCTACGTGCCAAAGAGAGCGCAAATAATCCTCCTGGCGGGAGCACTCAATAGTATAAAATTAGATTTCTTTAGCACGTTCTCCGAAAAAAAATCAGGATGATTTATGCGTCTGGTTTCGACAGCAGTTTAAGAACGATATTTATACAACTAGGATCGACGGGCATATTTTTAATAAAAATTAACAAAGCCTCCATAGCAACAATAAAAATGTCTGAACAATTGATTTTTTGCTGATCGATTTTATTCCCGACGGGTTTCGGGTTTCTGCTTCGGTGCTTTCAGAGGCGAATTGTGTGTTTCAGATTGATGGCAAAAAGACGGGAATCCCAGAGGCCAAAGTGACACTCGGCATCCTGCCTGACTGCGTGTGGGACTTCCCGTGTGCCAAAGAGGAGCCGTGCGTCGGGGGCGCGCGTTGTTATCAGCACGGGGTCGACTCGTTCCGGTGCGAGTGCGAACAAGCCCTGTGCGTGAAACCGGACTACGTGTCTGGATACAAAATCTTCAGCAAAGGCTCGCTTCCCGTTGACCTGGAAATCGTGTCGCTCAACACGCTGAGCGTCAACGAGGGCGAGCACGCGCTTCTCACCCCTGCCAATCTCGACGTGGTGCTCGATTACCCCAAGTTCGGGGTGCGCGACTCGGGCGTCATTTTCCGGGTCGTGGTCGAACCCAAGCACGGCAGCGTGCAGGTCGAGCAGGCGCGGCCCCGCGGCGAGACGCAGGTCTTCACCCTTTTGGACTTGAGCAAGGACAAGGTGCGCTACGTGCACGACGGCAACGAGAACCACCTCGACCTCATCGAACTCGAGCTCGAGTTGAACCCTGGCGCAGGGTTCACTTTGCCGGGCTACCTTCAGGGCAGACACAGATTTGTCCTGCCCGTGAATGTCACCGCCGTCGACGACCGACCTTTGCTCGCCATTCCTTCGGGAAAAGTCCTCAAACTTGCTCAGGTAATTGAACTTTTATTTATTTTGCAGAAATGAAATTTAAATTTTGTTTATAATGAACTTAAAATTTCTTTTTATCAAAACTACTATCTTTAAAAATTGGGATTTCAGTGGTGAAAAATTATCTTTTAATTAATTACAGTTTTAAACGCAACATGGATTTTTAAATCAAATTATTTCTGGTATTTGGGAGTTTGTTTTTAGTTGATTGTTTATCAGCATGTAACAGTTATGTCAAATATTGAAATATTTTGATACCATCTGAAAATGAAAAGTAATTAAAATTAAAAATAATCTTTAAAAATACAAATTTTATATTTTTAGACGTTATAGTAAAAAGGTTTGTATTTATGCCACATAGAGTCTATTTAATTTTTATCTTCTTTTGTTCATTCATGCTAATTTGTACGAACATTAAAAAATAATTTTTCCAGCCACAATTTGGAACCCATGAGAGATAATATTGCTCTGAAATACATATAAAAAAGGACAAAGTCAATTGAAAAAAAAAAAATAATAACTCTGTGTTGAGTGGGTTGCCTTTTCAGTAAATACAGAAAGTTTCCTCCTTTCGCGAATTAATTTTCTTTTTTCATATTTTGTATTTAAACGCGCTGACAAGGAAAATTGTCATTGCTTTTCTTCCAGGAAACAAAAAAGGTGATTCCGTCGGATTTCCTGCAAACTGTGGACCCCGACACGCCGAGTTCGGAACTGGTTTACACGATCGTCAATATAAACAGCCAGTCGCATATTGAACTGAGGCGCAATCCAGGCCAAGGGATAGTCAATTTTTCGCAAAAAGACGTGGATGAAGGCAACGTTTTATTCGTGCACACCGGCGACGCTGGCTCGAGTCGAGTCGCACTCCAAGTCTCGGATGGCATTTTAACCAGTCCCGTCGCAGTGCTCAGCGTCGTCGCCTTTGCCCTTCAACTACGACTAGTCAACAACACTGGTAGGCACACAATTTAAGTTTAGCAAAATATTCTCATCTCAATTTAAACTTTCAAATTAATTGTTCAAGTTTGGGTTAGACACTGGTCAATCAGATGAAATTTTGCCTAATTTCAGCAGAAAATGAAATTAAAAAAAATATATAGTAGGTCTTTAAAATTTGACTGTTGAAAATATTTGTAATACTTTTTTCTGGGACCAATAGTGCTGTGGCAAATCTAGATGACAAGAAAATAAAACATTTTCAACTTTAAACTCGGGTCCCTTTGAATTAATTTTCAATTTTTGACCCATATCAAGGGGAGAGGGAGGCAGAATTGCAAGTCAACCATTTACCTAATGACCTGGTTCAAAGGTCGTTTGTGTAGACGTGAATGAAATTTTTAAATAAAAGCCTCTTTCGCTTTCAAGTTTTATTTTTAACCCCTCTGCGTATATCAAAGGGTTGGAGTTGAAAAGGCAGAATTTTGTGCCGCAGGTCTGGTGATGACGCACAACTCATCGACGCTGATCATGCCGAAAAACCTGGCCTTTGTGACGAACGCCGACGACCCCGAGTCAATAGAGATCAAATTCGAGATTGTGTCGGCCCCGCAGTTCGGGGTGTTGAAGCGGCTGCGGAACAGCGAGTGGCAGCCGGTGCAGCACTTTACCAGCCTGCAGTTAGCACGGGAGCAAATCAGATATCAGCACACTTCGGCCAACCCCACACACGACGAATTTAAGGTTAGCAGCACTATTTACACTCCATTAGGCACACGTCTTTCCGTGTGCACCAAACATTTTCGCCTCTAAATCATATCGGCGCATGATAAATGGTTGTGTTTTATCGACATTTGTGTAAAGAGCCACCTTTACATGGTCTGTGGCTACGAAACATGCAATACAGCGCCGACGAAAAAATGTTCAAAAATGATTTACTATAACAAAAAGTCGCTCAATCATTTTTTTTTATCTGGGAAAAAAGAGGATTTAAAAAAAAACAATTTTTGATAAAGTAGGTAAAGAGATATGGATTTAAAAAAAGAAATGGAAAAGAATGCAGGCTCAAATCGCTCAAATCTTAGCCTCCATTCCCATCAACCTGGAAAGCTGATTAATAATTATTAAAATTTTAATTATTCTATTAATTATTGAACCCAAAATTTGGGATTATTAAATTATTTTTTAATTATTATATCAGAATTAATTTTTTTTAATAGTTTAACGAACAATTTATAAAAATTATTAATTAAAAAACAACAATTTTTGTTTTAGTTTCAAGCGTCGGCGGGAAACTCAAAAAGCTCAACTACTTACGACTTCCGAATCATTTTCGTCGAGCTGCGTCTCGACTCTGTTCATGTCGAGGAGATCACTCTGGATGGCGTGCAAGAGGGCACCATCAGGTCGACTCATTTGCTCTATGACACTGTGCCTAAGGCCTCACGCAGCGAGGACATCGTTTATCATGTTGCGCACACCGCGAGATTCGGCCACCTCATCCTTAGCGAAAATAACTCGGAGAGTTATGTGCAGGATAGAGGCACTTTTACCCAACATGACATCAATAGCGGCAAGCTTAGGTGAGGTGATAAATGATTGCGCGCCGTAATTACTTCATTTATTTTATGGTTTTGTAACCTTCAGTCTGAATGTTACCTTCAATCGATTCAACTTACAAACCTGCACGTTGAACAAAAACTTAATATTTATTTTTAGTATATTTTTCAGTTATTTTTTTTTATTATATTTTTTCAGCAAATTAAGCGTATTTAAATGTTTATTACCTTGATAATTTATCCTCAATAAAAGATAAAAATTGTTTGAAGAAGTTGGCACTCAAAGAGATGATCATAGAAGTTCGAAAACAGGCGTTGTCCTCATTGAAAAAAATTGTTTTATTAAAACCAAAACGGCTCTATTTCATGAGCAAGAAGAAATACAAAATATTAGCAATTTTAAAAACCACTGACCTAAACTGGTAGAGCCGTTTTTTTTTTAATCTAAAACAAATTTTTTCATCGAGGAAAAAGCCTGTTTTCTTGGTTTAAAATTATTTCTTTTCAATTATTTTAGATCAGTTTTTTAATTAAATTAAATTTAAAAATTAAAATGTGGAACTAACTAAAATTCCCAATTGAAACAATTTTTAACCAAAGTTTATTCAATTCTTCAGAAATTTTCAAATTTAGTTTTCCATTGGTTCTTAAATTAATATTACATTATTCGCGACTTTGGACGACTAATATACAAAATAGTTAATATAGACAAAAATTTGCAAACGAATTTCACAAAATATCTGATCTTATTTTATAAAGTGTTTTATTTCTTTAATTTTCAAGATACGCACTGAAGCGCCGAGCCTATTCTCGCATTCACGACGAGTTCACCTTTCGCGTTTCCTCCAAGTCTGTAAACAACGGCGAGCCTGGAACCGATTTGATCACCTTTTCGTTGGTGCACATTCCGGGGCCGACGTCTGACCCGCTCAGAGTGACCCTCGAACCTGTTGAGGTCTCCGAGGGCGGGCAAGTGGTCGTTTCCCTGAGTCATTTGAACCTCGCCATGGCGCGCATTTCCATGATGTCGTACAACTTGACGCGAGGCCCTCGCCACGGCCGCATCGACGTGCTGAAAAATGCAAGTTCGATGGTCGCGCGCCACAACGCGACGTTCTTCGATTCGCGTGAAATCGCCGCCGAGAGGGTCATTTACATCCACGACGACTCGGAGACGCGCAAAGACTCGATTCATTTTTTAGCGTTCGCGCCCGACTTCCAGTACCTGGGGACGTTGCATTTCAACGTCGTCTTGAAGAATGACAATAAGCCTGTGCGCACGATTGACCGCGTCTTTCGCGTGGTCAAAGGAGGGGAGCGCATTCTCACGGGCAACGATCTGCGATACGAGGATCTGGACATCGACACAAAACCAGAGGATATTTTTTATCAAAGGAGGGGCATTCCGAACGGAGGTCTCTACTCTGCTGCCGAGCCGAAAACTCCCGTTTTCCAATTCACACAGGCCGATTTAGATGCAGGTTGGTCATTTTTCAAGTATATTTTTTTATGTGTACAAAAAAAATGTCTCTTTTGCAATTTATTTAATCCAGAAAAATAGTACATCACTAACAATAAATGGAATTGAACAACTCATTGAAACTCGTAAATGGATGATTATCAAGAGAGAGGCAGCCAAAAATGTGTGATAAAAAATTGTTTGTATTCAAAATTCAAATTCAGTGTCATCAGCAATAATTGGCTCGAATGATTTTGATGAAAATTTGTCCATGAATAAATTATTAAAGGTCATTTCCATTGCTAATTCATGGATAGCTTTGCATACTCTCGATACTGGGATTTAAAAAAATTACATTGCTTTTTGTGAAAATATTTTCTTAAATAATATTTTTCCCAATATCTGTTATCAAATCAACTTTAAATTAACACTTAAAAAGCCCAAAAAGTCGTAAAATTATGGAAAAAAAATAAAAATTCAAATAACTATACATAATTTTTAAGATCGCTTAAATTTGCATAATTATTCGTTGATGTATGCAACTTGCTGCACAAGCGTGTCGTGCAGGTTGTATTTTCCTTAACATTAATAAACTTGCATTGTTGCCTGTTTTTACAGTTGTAATTTTGTTTGGTTTTTAGGCCGCATTCTTTTCCGGCACGACGGTGGAGAGGAGTTGGGCAAAGTGACTTTACATATCAACGACGGTGACTCGGACACAATTGGCGAGCTGGAGTTCCGAGCCTCAGCGCCTTACATCGAAATCGCAAACAACAGCGGACTTATCGTGCAAAAAGCGGTGGCCGCTCCTCTCAACCCCGCCAATCTGAGCATAGAAACGAACGTGAACGCCAAAGCCGAGGAAATCAGATACACCGTGCAGGAGCCTCCAAGCCACGGCCGTCTCGAGTTGGACGGCGAAGAGTCTAAAACATTCACGCAACTCAACGTCGAGCAGGGAAATGTGGTGTACAAGCACGACGGCGGGAAAGCGCTGAAAGACCATTTCAGATTCAGAGTCGACGCCAAGGAACAAGCCTTCGCCGAGGGGCGCTTTGAATTTAAAATATTCCCGGCAGTCTATTGGGAACCGCTTTCATTCACTGTGAACAAGACTCTGCACGTCGAGGAGTCCACCAGCGTACCCCTGGGACCTTCTGTTTTAAAGGTAAAATAATTTTTCTTATCTCTCCGTCAGCGGTAAAAATGAAGAGAGAAAAATATGTAAAAAAAAATCTTTTTTAGTTCCAATTAATAAAAAAAGATTTAATTTGTTCGCATTGAAACAGTTAAACATTATACAATAATAGTAATTATAAACAATTTTTGATAATACATTTTTTTGTCTTAGGAAAAAATATTTTTTAACCTATTTTTTTTTCACTTTAGGTAAATTACTATTATTTCTGTTTAAGGTTGAGCACTCACTAATTCCACCATCCGACGTGACTTTTATCGTGCAAGAGGAGCCGAAATTCGGCTACCTGGAAATCGAGTCTGTGGCGTCCTCGACGCAGTCCAGCTTGTCCACCGAGGAATCTGTTCCCTCCTCCACGCAAGTCGCCAACGTCGAGGTTAATATTTTTGATCAGGCGTTGATCGACTCGGGAAGGCTCCACTACGTTCAAGCCTCATCAAATGCAACAAAGGACCACATCGTCGTCGACGTCACTAATGGAATTTGGTCGGTGCAAGGCTTGTGGTTGAAAATTGTGGTTGTGCCGAAGCATATCTACGTGCAGGGTAGCGAGTTGAGTGTCGTCGAAGGAGGAGCCGTGGCGCTGACAAAGACCCACATCACCGTTTTGACTGACTATTATATCACCAAAATTAACGAGTTTAAAGTTACAAAATTGCCCAAGGCTGGACAGTTGCTGTTGATGAAGGAGGAAGGGAAGGCGTCCAGCATCAAAAAGTTCAGCATGAAGCAACTTGAAACAGGACATGTTCAGGTGAGCATTTTTTTTTTAAATTTTTGACAAAAGATAAAAATATTTACATTTGAAAAAGAAAAATTACTTTTATAGTTTTTGGCATTTTTCTGCGGCCCTCCTTCATGAGAAAATAATTTAAACAAAATGATTTATCATAAAAAAAAATCAAAACTCTTTAACTGTTGCTCTAATATAGAAAATGTTGAATATTTTAATTAGATTTATCTTGTTTCATTAATTCAAGAATTTATTTTATTGATATTATATTCTTTTCTGTTGAATTAGTATCAACACAATGGTTCTGAGAAATTGGAGGACCAGTTCACGATTGTCGCTCGCGTGGCTGGGACTGATAAGGATTCGTTGCCGGCCGTAATTAGGGTAACAGTGCAACCCTTGGACGACGAGAAACCCAAGCTCGTCAATAACACCGGTTTGAAACTGTACGAAGGCGCCGTGATTGCCATCAAACACGAGCAATTAGGTATTTCAATTTGCTCTGCCGGCCCAAGAGTCATTTAAAAAAAAGAGAGAAAAGTGCACCCATTTGCATAAGACGATTTTCGCTCTCGATAAACTCGGAGCTGTATTTATTCCACGACTTCATTTTCATAAATTACCCCTCCAGTGGAGTGCAGTTTGCACCATCTTATATAAGTGGGGAATAAGAAGAAGTGCTTTGCGCAAATCTAATTATGCAAATGAGGATAATACACACGCGGCGGAGGCTGGCTTAATTGAAAATTGATATTTGCATAACTACTGTCTGCTGCAGGTGCCGTGGACGTCGACTCTCCCGTCGAGAATATCACATTTGTGGTTTCAGCACCACGAGGCGGATTTCTCTCCTTACGCCATGCACCCCGGAACCCCATTGAGCGGTTTTCGCAAGCACAACTTCTGGCTAAGCACGTTCTCTTTGTTCACACTGGTGAGCCCATTATCCGTATTGTCTTTTTGCCCAAATCCTCTCCCATCAGCGCCGCTGCTCTGCATTATTAACACAATCGGCCCAAAACTTTTCCCCCTCGGGAGATACGGCGCATTTAAATTTAATTAAAATGTATAAAATCTGAACCGAATCAAATGCTCATTTTTCCCTTGGTGCAGGTGGACTGGAGAACGTCGGATTTCACGTTTCGCTGACCGATGGCGTGAATGCCGACCCTGGCCAGCATTTGGTAAACGTCACCGTCAAGAAGCTGCAACTCAAGTTGGTGCGAAACGCGCGGCTGCACGTTTTCCCGATGCTGCGCCAGGGCATCGGAGCCAAGCACCTCTTGACGCTGTCGTCGGACCCGAATCCTCCTCAACGCCACATCACTTACACAATCAAAAGCGCGCCGACCTTGGGAAGGATTGTTCTGGAGACGGCAAAGGGCAGAGTGTTACGCGTCATGTCTTTCTCGCAACGAGACGTCAACGAGAGCCGGGTCTGGTACGAGCACACAAAGGCCTTCACCGAGCTGGCTGCCAACGACTCGTTTCTGTTTGATGTGACAACAGACTTTGCCGACCATCTCACTGCGCAAGTGAGTTAAATTTTGGCATTAAACACTTATTAGCAATTTAAATTAATACAACAGTCAATATTTTTTTTAATTTTGCTCAAGCTTCTGCTTTTTTTTAGTCCTCTGTAAAATCTTTCTTTTTCCTAGTATTCAAAAGTGAAGTAATTGTGTGCAGAATTATAACTCAAAAGCTTTTCTCAGTTGAATTGGCAAAATGATAAAAACAGTTTTTCAAAGCTTCCCTTGGTTGAAAGGAAAAAGAATAAAGGGAATAAACGTTTTTACCTTCCACTTATGGTTGAAAAGGAAGTCAGGCCTCAAAGCAAATATGAATGAAAGAAAAAGTAAATAAAATTTTGTCAAGCATAAAATACAATTCATATTATTTAATATTAAAATAAAAAATTCAACAAAGGTAAGGAGCAAAAAAAAAAATCATTTTTCGTCAAAAGGAAAAATTCCCTCTAATAATAAAATAACCTGCAGATAAAATAAATGTTAATTAAAAATTAAAAAATAGTTTTAAAATAATTCTAAAAATTTTCCTGAATTTTTTTTCAGTTATTCAACATTGACATCTCCGTGTCATCCATGACCTCTGACGGTTTGGAGAGATTCCTGAAGCTGGAGCCGATCGTCGTGGACGAGGGTGGTGCCGCGTCAATCAAAGTGAACATGTCTGGCGTCGCGCATTTCCTGAAATCGCACAGCGGCGCGTGGACCAACGCTCCGGCCGTGATGATGCTGATGACTGGCGCGCCTGCCAATGGTGAGGTGCTGCTCCAGGGCGGCCACCTCGCCGAAGTGGGCACCACTTTCTCCCAAAAGCAGCTCGACACCAACCACGTCATCTACCAGCACGACCACTCGGACACCGAATCGGACGAAATCCTCTTTTCGCTCGTGCTGCAAACTGCAGATAAAGAGCAGGAGCCGATTCTGCTGTACAACGGCACCATCCCGGTCACCATCCGCCCTATCAACGACCAACCCTTCTCTCTGCGCACCAACTCGCCCAACATGACCGTCGTCCAAGGCCAGCGAAAGCAACTGACCACCGATGACCTCTTCACCGTCGATCCAGACACCCCCGCCAAGGAAATCACCTATGACATCATCAACGAGCCGAAACAGGGTCAGCTGCTCATGATCTACAAGGAGGACCGCAACGGCACCATCTTCGAGCACTCGCAAAAGGCGGGCAAATTCTCTCAGGACGACATCAACCATGGCCACATCTTCTACGAGCACTCGGGCCCGTTGCAGCCGACCAGCTTCTACTTCCGAGTCTCCGACGGCCACTTCAACCCTATCTACACCGTTTTCAACATCCACGTGCTTCCGCTGAACCTGTCTGTCAAGTCATCGCAGGCCATCGCCGTTCCGCAGGGCTCGAGCGTGTCCTTCATCACTTCGGACAGCATCGACGCGCAGACCGACGGCAGCAGGGCGCTCGTGCGGTACAACGTGACCTCGGCGCCCCGGCACGGCAAATTGTACCTGCGGGATGTGGCGACGTCGACCTTTGGTCAGTCTGACGTTGACCAGCGCCAACTCATGTACATGCAGACCGACATGACTACCTCGAGCGACACCTTTGTGATATCGGCCTGGTTCCCCGGCACCGACGTGCATTCGGCCCCTGGCCAGGTCAACGTGACCGTCGAGCCGTTGCTCGTGCGCTCAAGAAACGTCAACGCCGTTGTTGGCGCCAAAAACCGGCTGGGCCTGGACGTGATGGACGCCAGCTCGCTCGCCGTCCTCACCAACAGCAACCCGGTCTACGAAATAGCCAAGAAGCCCAAACTGGGCCGCATCAAGAAGATCATCCGCGTGCTGGGCCACAACGGCCAGGGCTCGGAACGCGAAAAGGATGTGATTCGGTTCACCCACGAGGAAATCAAAAGCGGCGTCATTTACTACGTGGCCAAGAAGGGCGTCGACCAGACCGAGGACTCGGTCACTCTAATCCTGGCCGCCTCCATTTTCCAACCGGCCGTCGTCGAGTTGAAGATCAATTTGAGACACGAGAAAATCGACCATTCGAGCTCAAACATCCACTCGTCGGTGAGTCCGCCTCGCAGGGGCGGCACCAGTCTGAACAACAACAGGGACCTGGAGAACGTCGTCAGTCCAAACATCAACCCGGACTACGTGCTCTTCTTCTGGTTGATCATCGGCATTGTTGCTCTGGCCGTCCTGATCGTGGTCACGGTTCAGTGCAGGAACCGTCGCCGACGGTGCACCGACAAAACTTCAACCGCGGCCAAGGGCAAGGAATACGCCTTCGGCAGCGCCAACGGCGCCTCCGAACTGATCGACACGGCGCCCACCCTGCCGAGGCCGCCGGAAAACATGCTGCCGCTGTCGCCGCGGCCGAACCGGAGCAACAGGTTCATCAACGGCTCCATCCACTACAGCGACAGCAGCGACAGTTGGCGCGCCGTGTCGCCGATCCCGGTGCCGATTCCCCAATGCAAGGTGATCCCGCTGGACGGCACCACCCTCATCACCGAGCCGAACCTGCCGACGTCCGATTCCGAGGCCGACATCAACGTCCGGTACCCGTACGGAGCGGCCGACGAGCCCAAAACAGAAGACTGGAGTAGTTTCGACACTCACGTAGAACTGCCAAATCCCAAGAGTAGCAACCTGATGCTACGCAGGAACCAGTATTGGGTGTAAGGAAATTAAAGTTAGTACGGCGGACGGCGCGGCGAAATTGTTTCAATACTCACGGGCTGATTGAAATTCGTGAGGTAGGATTGGAAAAATTTGAAGAGGTCAATACAAAAATTTGCTCAAAACCCCCTCATGCAAGTAGCCTAAATTATTCTGACGGCACAAAAATTCAAAACCAAATTGTGCCAGAAACAAAGCACCAATTTACGCCACTTTGAATAGAATTAATTGCAAGGTCGTCAAAAGCTAGTGAGCTGAATCGATTTCCGGGATTCGTAATAATCAATATTTAATGCGGAAAGTTTTTCCAGGTGCCATTTTTCCCTGATCCAAAGTTATGAAAGTTTTATGTTATTGTTGGTACAAATTATACAAACTCACTGGAAGAAAATTGACACCTGTGTAATTGTTAGGTAGAAATTTACAAATCGCATTAATTATTTCAAATTTTCAACTGTCTGGAAATCGATTCAGGAGAGATTTGGAATTTTCTTTTTCTTTTACTTTTTATGAAGATTGATTAATTTTCCTTTCAATCCAGTTCTAACTTATGAATTTCAATTTCGCCCTCAAACAAACGGAAGTTTTTGTCAAAATAAGTGTTGGGTCGCTTCGGACGATATTTGACCTCTGAGCCATCGAGTGACACGCCGCGCGGCCACTTCGAACCACTCCTTTGAATGTGATTTATGCTATTTTTGTATGAGAACTACTACTGTGGTGTGCCAGCCAGCAGCGCGTAAAAATATAATATATGTATAAGCGAATCTTGATCGATTTTCTACGTTCGTAGCTTTGTGAGAAATACAGTGTAGAGAGCAGCAGTTTGCGCTGAATAAGCAGGAAAGAAAGAAGAGAGAGACGGACACGATGACACGTATATAGCATTTCGTTTTTTGAATATATTAAAAAAAGAATACATTATATGCTTTTTGCTCAAGTTTTTGACAGTTATTAATAATAAATTTATCAAGTCTGCTGCATGTTTTTTACGATAATGATAAAAATATAACTTTCTTGTTGTAAGTTTGTAAGAAGTTTTCAGATATTTTCAAAATGTGAATTGTTAAGTGAATCAAAAACGGAAAACTATTACAAAAAAGTATGTATTACAAAAAAAACATGTATAGTACGTTGAAGCTCAGTCATTTTGGCTCTCTTGTCAAACTCAAAAGAAAAAAAAGTTGGCGCTTTTAATGGCGTAAAATGTACGTTTCTCGTTTAGATGAATGAATTAAAAAAAAAAGAAAACGTGTAAACCGATTAAAGTGCAGAATAAATTTTTCATGAAACCTAATTTTTTCATTTTTCTTTTTACTCTCAATAACATCTTTCTTGCTCCAATAATAGCTCACATTTTTTTTTTCAAAAATCTAGCACTATAATTATTTCTTTGTGACTTGCAAAGTTAATTATAAATAGTCTTTTTTTTTTCAAAATACGAATATGTCTTTTTAAACTCCAATTTCTCTTCCTTTTTTATCGTGAAATGTATATTTAGTAAGTATAGTTTTTTTCAAATTCTATAGAAGAAATAGTTATATTTTTTTAATTTAATACTTTTTTTATCGAATTTAAAAGTTATATCTTATTTATAATGGCATTTTCCAATAACTAACAAAATATTTTTATAAAAGTTTCTTTTACTAGACAATTTAATATGTATTCAAGGTTTTTCTTTTACAGTTCCAAATATTACAGATTTAAAAAATTCAATTTGTCTGAAAATTTTTATAGTAAAAGTCATTCTTTTCTTTTTCTGTTTAAATTTTAAAGAAAAATCTTTTTTTTTTATCACAAACATAATTTTTCATATTTTGAATCTGAAGCAGAATTAACTTCAAGTGGACTCAAAAAGACTTCAACACTAGTCTTTATTTATTTTATACACTTTTTTCAAATTAATCTCTGCGGAGGAGCGAAATTTGATAGCTATCCAGAGACGAATTTGTTCGCTGATTTGGAATCTTTCCAGATCGACGGAAAAAATACAGCAGCGTACATATGGATCGACTTTTATTAGCGACAATAAAACACACAGCAATGATATCTTTCTGTCTCTTTTCCGGTGCTTTGAATTCCAAATTTTCCTTCCTCTTATACATTCGAAATGAGAGACGAGAGTGACACGATGATGGGATTATACATTTATTTATGGGGAGAAAAAATTACATTAGTGTGGCATTTGATAATTACGTCGAGATGAGCACCTGATTTATATGCGAATATGAAATGTGGTGAGAAAGTCGGGCGCACGCAGAATAACGTGCTCGAACTCGATGAACGACAACTTTCCGTCGCCGTCAATATCCGACTCCTCGACTACTTTGGCGCACGCCTGGCCCGTTTCCTCGGCGTTCAGCTCGTTACTCGTCAGAAGTGTGAGCGCCTGCTGCAGGTCAGCGGGGCCAATGTGCTCGTCGCCGTCGAAATCTGCGGAGATCATCCGAAAGGGGAAAATGATTAGACCCTCAAAAGCTCACAGCTCCGATTCGGGGTAATTTGTTACACTCGAAGATCTGCTCCCGAAATGAATGGACCCGGGAAAAGCGCAGGCCAACTCCACAGGGAATTATCTTTATTTGGGTGATTTTTTATACATTTTTTGGCCGAATCAAATGTTTGACTTTGCATTTTACTTAATCATTTCAACAAAAACCAGAAATGCATGGTGTCATAAATTTGAAGCTGTATTAATTGAAAATAATTAAAATTTAATATCATAATTTTTTTCCTTCTTGTGAGAGATATTCTGTGTAGAATTCCTTTTACAGAATTAAAAAAAAGGAATACATTTGTATTAGGAATTTTTTCACAATCAAGGATTATGATTCATGGGGTAATAATCAGCTTACCCTTGAAGGATTTGTTTATTTTTCTTTTAATCGCTTTTATGTTTCATGTGTGAATTGGTGCTGCAGGAAAACACAACTTTGAATTCTACGAATTCTATTCGTTGTAAAAGCTGTTTTTATTTTTTTATGTGAATGAAAACGATTCCTTCAACAAAGAACTAACCCATTTTTTTTTTCAAAAAGAAATAAATAAATTATTCGAGGAAAATAATAAAAATGTGAAAAGGAAATTTTTATTTATTTGTGAACCTTTAACTGCTTTTAAACATTTTAACCATTTTTCTCAAACAAAAACCGCGAAAAACAAACTTTTAATAATTAAGTTTCCTTTTTAGAAACATTTTACTTCAATTTTGATCTTTTGGTAAATTTTTCTCAAGTCTTTGAATGTACAAAGGCAATATAATTATTTGAGTTTTCAGCACAGCCGGTTGAAAAATCTATTTTAAACTCAACAACTTTCTACGATCAAAGCAAATAAATTTTATTCTTCTCTCTGTTTAAAAAAAATCCGACTTTTTGAGATAAATTGGTGAAAGAAATGCTTTTTCATGAGATTTCTTTTGAGCTGCTGCTTTTTTGGTTATTTCATTCACATTCTACCCAGAATCAAGAGATGCGAAATATATATGTATGATTAATTTTAAACTTGCCGTAAATTTTGAAGGCGTAAAACACTTTGATGTCGCGCGGCGCCTGCTCGCTGAGCACCGAAAGCAACTCGAGGAAATCTTCAAAGGTCATATTGCCGGTGCCGTCGCTGGAAAATACGGAGAATATGCGTTTCCTAAACGGATTTTCCTGTTCGCGAGAGCGGCAATAAAAATTCCATTTCAGCGAAAATTAAAAAATAATAAAAATCTTACTCTGAATTCCGGCAGCGTTTCCAACATGTGCAGGGGCACCTTGATCGAGCGCGGCTCCTCGCCAGTCATGCATTTCGGCACCGAGCTGGGACTCAGTTCGCGGAAGCGCTTGTGAACCCTGTGGGGAAATCAATCTGGTTTATTACGTTTTCCACCGCGCTGCAAGTATAATTAATTGCCGTGCACGACACCTTAGGATCTCTTTTCTCGTGAAGTAGGTGCAGTCCTGCAAAAAGAAATTGGAATATAATAAAAACAAAAACTTTTTTTATAATTTGGGGTATGGAAAAATTAAATATAAATAGGATGGAGAGAGTTTCATTATTTCTTGTAGAGTTTCATTTTGAAATAAAAAACTGAAATTGTCCTGAAAATACAATTTTGTATAAGTTTGGAGCTTTATACTTTTAATTTTTCTGAATAAATATGGAGCTCTTTGATTTTTTTTTAAGGAGGACCGCAATTAATTGAAACAACTAGCAAATTTTTTCTTCATATTATTGCACAAATAAACGGGCTAGGAAAAACGCCAAATTCTATGCAATTTTTTCTGGTTTTAAAATGCCTTCAGTTCTAATCTGGATAAAATTTAAAACCTAGTACTAGATTTTTTTTTACCTTTATTACTTTTGAACATCTAAATTTTGAAATTTGCGAGCCAAAAATATAATTGTATATTTAAGCAAAAAGTAAAATAAGGGGAAAACAAGAATTTTGAATCAAACTTTCAACTTCCAAATTTATTTGTAGACATTTAACATACTTGAAACCGGGTTCCTCGTTGCAAGAGAAAAAAATGAAGAGAATTAAAGGACAACTTTACTGACTCCTAAAGGTGACCTAGGGTTTTGTCGTGTCCAAACACCAAACTAAAACTTAAAATAGGAGGAATTTATAAAAATAAAATAGGGAGAATTGAATTATATTAAAAAAAATTAATAAAGCCGCCAAGTCAGTCAATAGCTTCATACTCTGTGACTTCGCCAAAAATTTCCAGGGTCGATTTTTCATATTTTTTCTCTTATAACTTGCAGCCCAGTTTCAATTCGGCATGAAATACATATCTCGATTGTTAACTTTCAATTTAATTTGGAAAACATGTTAATTAATAAAATGTTAAAATTTTAATTTATAAAAAAAACTCAGGTGTTAGCTTAGCTGTTTAAACTTTTCAACTTTTATTTTGAATTAAATTTCTATGCAAAACAAATCAACTTCACGGTTTCGTTATAAAAAGTAGGCTTGAATGATAAAAATAATTCAGCAGTTAAAATTAAATCAATTAAATCCATTGAGCATAAATGCGGTCGTTGTGTTTTATAAGTACCTGGTAGTCGTCAATTTGCTCCTCGGTGAAAGTAACAACCTTGTTGCCCATGTTGATGGAGTGCTTTTGCTATCTGGTCAGCGCAGGGCGCGCGTGGTGGCGAAAGAAACAAGACGGACTGATTGCACGCGCTCGTGTTAAACGAAGTGTAATGCGGGTCAACATACCCAATACATGAGAGACTATCCACACCCCGCGCTAATAAGGGTGTGGTGCTGAAATATCACGCAAACCGCGAGCACGCACGCAGCGCTATCATTTTGAGAAATAATTATTCTCTGGCAAAAACGATCCGCGCTCGGCACGCGTGGCATTTAATGTGGGCAGTGGGCGCCCCCAAACAATGCTTGTTTTCCTGACACTTGTTGTTAATTTTATTCATAAAGTGTGTGGTGATGAATTTCATTAAGACCAACCTAAAATGAAGACCAGATAAAGACGTAGAAAGGTCGGCATTTTAAGAAAGGACATTAATATAAAATTTGCATGAAATGAAATCTCTAGATCCATTTTCTTATTTTGATTGATATTGTCCATAATATCGCATAATATAAACAAAGGATAACATTTAAAACACATTTTAATTAAGTAAAATTAAAATTTTGTTTACACAAATTTTCCAAAAATATTTTTAACAATAACAATGATTTTGTAAAAATTTTCAAATGATCAGAACAGTAAAATTAACTTATTTTATGTGTAGTATTTTTGAAAAAGATGAAATTAAAAATAAAATTTTGACATTTAAATTAAAATATTCCGCCAAGCTTTGATCAAGTCTATTAAAATTCATGTAAATTAATTTCAACAAAAATAATAGCACGAAAAAAATTGCACGCACCTTATTGATGCTGTTTTTTTTTTTTTACAGCTTGGTTTTTTGGATTGTACCAGATTGAACTCTAAAATTAAATTTGGAACACGATTTTTGCAATTTCTTCAAATTTTAAGATAGGATGTCAAACATTTTAGACAAAATAGTTTTCAATAGTTTGTGAGCTCAATTTAATCGTTTCGGCTCAATTTATAATATTATTTAAACATCTCCCGCGAACAACATAAAAAATATGGCGGATGATCGACCCTCCCCTCTCCTCCCCCTTATCGACGCCCTCTAAAACCTCTAATAAACAACAAAAGTTTGTTATGATCAGTTTCTGAGACGAAATTTTTAATTAATCTGCTAATCCCGGCGATTCTGTGTCAATTGAAGATCCTGAAATATTTTTAATTTCATATCTGTATGTTTATTTAAAGTCATTCATATTTTCTACAAAGAGAGGAATTTTCCAAGGGTTTTCGAATTTTCTTGGCCAAACCGACTGTATTGAAATTTTGGAGGTAAATAAACGATTTTAAAAATGTTTAATCTTGGATTTACATAGATGAAGTTTAGATATTCCAGCCCACCAAAAAAATGGAGAAGCAAATAATGAAGGGAGCATCTACGAGCAGCACATCTTATTCTTTCTCTTGGTCCAATCTGAAGGTGAAATAAAGCTGTTAATTGTTAATAACCATCTCATTTTATTCTGCTTTTAATTTTACATGAAATGACGAAAATAATATAAATTCCAGAGCCACATTGTGGAAGAGGTTGGTGAGTTGCTGAGAGAAGAAAAGTTTGTTGATGTGACCATTCTCTGCGAACACCACTCGTTTCGAGCTCACAAAGTAATCCTCAGCCTTGCAAGCCCACTTTTCGCCAGTCTTCTTAAAGTAATTATTCAAATTTTAGTCTTGCAAATAAAGATTTATGGTATAATCTTCATTTTAGAACAATCTAAGTGCGGAGCCATGCATCTCGTTGTCCGACGTTCCTTTGGCCCATTTGACCTGGATTCTGCAATATGTGTACTCAGGTCAGGCTTCCATTCCCGAAGAGCATTTCGACGGCTTCATGGCCACTGCCACTCTTCTGCAAATAACCTCCCTGTGCAACCACAAAGCAGTAAAATTTAATAAAAATAATACACAAATTTTTATTGACTGACAAAAATTTTCAGGAACCTGCAACGGAACTAAAAGCTGCCCTGCCTCTGAAGCGACCTGCTCAGTCGGAAGGGGTCAGTCGACCGAGAAATATACGCTTCAGCAAAAGATCGGGAAGGAAGAGGGGAAAAAGAACGCCACCACCTGGGAATATTCCAATCATCATAAGCACCGAGTCCGTCGAAGGAGGATTGGGTGACTTTGGCTCAAGTTTCACCGAAACCTCGGAAAGCATAGAAAACCCACCTCAGGTTTTTATCAAGACGCAGGCAGTGCTGCAAGAGGTGGGCAAAGATGGATACTGTGACCTGAACCAGGAAGTCATTACGATTCAGACCGGAAATGTCGATGAAATGTCTATCGATGAAGTCGTTGAAGTTGTGGTGAGAACTTGATTTATCAATTTATTTTTAATAATAACATGTTATTTAAATTGAAAAAATCTATATATAATATTTTAAATGAACATTAAATATTTCACATTGTTAATATTTTCCCAGCTGCAAAATTAAGCCATTTTATTTAGCCCATATTAAAACTTCTTTTGCTTCACAATATTATTTAAATTTCAGACTTCTGACGTACCTCCCATCTCTGAGAATTTTGATGCAGACAAGGAATCAATTGGAGAAGTTACTATTACAGAAACACAGGAAAATCCGATGAGACTCCTTTACACGCCAGTAAGAGGTTGGACATTAGATATTTAATTGAATTATATATTTAATTTGGAAATGAAGAGATCGTTCTTTTTTCTCATTGCTGAAAATGTTTTTTTTTTTTCAAAAACAAATGGCTCCGCCAGTTTTGGTCACAGTCTGCGACCCCATTTCAGGAGTAAACGCGCTGCTTGCTGACTTATACAAGAATCTTAATTCTCTAGATTTAATTTCATTGCATTCTTGCAGCATGCATGAAACCTCATCACTCGTTGGCGCCAAAAGCCTGCAGCATGTGCGGCAAAGTGTACTCCAATCAATCCAATTTGCGACAGCACATAAGGTTGGTGCACTCGTCAAACACAATGGTTAATTGTCCTTTATGCGGGAAAGACTTCAAGTCCGAGTTGTACATGCGGCGGCACCTCATTTGCGCTCATAACGTCACTCCAGCAAAAAAGGAGCCCACAACGTAAATAATGTTATGAAAAACGTTTGGAAATTACTAAAATGTTAGTTCAATTTTAGGAAGGAATCAAGAAGACTGATGGAGTTGAAAGCAAGTCCTTTGAAAGTTGTGGAAAATGACTTTGACCTGCAGCAGCAAGTGTTAGTATTCTAGTGCATAATCATAAAAAATTTTAACATTTTAAATTTTTAGGCCATCCGAAATGGACACTGCAGTTGAAAATCTTGAGCAAAGTTCCGAACAATCAAGCTAGCATCGAATTGAAGAGATTAAGGTGGAGCACCAGACTTAACAAAGTGGAAAGACACTAGCTCATGTGTGTTGTGCGTATTTTAAAATGTTTGAAATGTCTGATGTCACATTTAATGAGTTGAATTACTGTAAATAATATATATATTTATTTAAAGAACTGAATGATAATATCATTTTTTGACTATTTGTTGAAATAACATATTTGATTTTTTATGTAGCAAAACTTCTGAAAAGCACAGGCTTAAAATACAATAAAAACGAGAGTTTTGCTGAATATTAATCACATGACGTCTTTATTATTACTTTATATTTATCTAACAACTCATCATCAAAGCTTACGATATAAAAAATAAGCAGTCTTTAGTTTCATATAAAGTTAACGCCAGTACCTTGCACGAGATCCACACTTGGACGATTTTGACGGTTAAGTTCAAGAGAAATTTCCTCACTGGCTTGCGATAATTTTACCAAGGACTAACAAATAAGTTTTGTGATTTTTTACACATAAATAAGATGAAGTTTCTTGCAAATACATAATAGTTAAAGTAGTGGACATACAGTACGAGTAGAGATAAGAGTTAAGCTTAAGTTTCAAAGTGTTTATAGACTTCCGTCACGTATGCCATGACTTGCTGCCAATCAGGTCGCTCCATGTGGGTCATCTCCACAATGCTCTGCAAAAATCAAAATAATTAATTTACTACTGATTGAATAAAAATTTTTTTACTGACCAAAGTCGTAGGAATGCCGACACTCTCAGCCGCTGAAAACGCGACTGAGAAGTTTTTCCTCTTATCAGTGGGCACGAGTGTGTTGTACGGAACAAGTGCAGGAAGGTAAGAGTGGATGAGAGCGCACAATGCTAGCCCGTCGTTCCACGAGCTGGAAAAGTTGGTAATGTCGATGCCCTTGTAGCCGGACGTCTTGGCCTGGCACCACTTGAGCAGGGCGTTGCGTTTCGAGCCGCCGTTTTTCACCAGCGCCCAAAGCGGGTCTTTCGAGGCTGAAATTAAAATTGGTTGGAATCTGATGGAATAGTTTCATTGCAATCAACTCACCAACTTCAGGATTAGAGAAGTGCCTTGGACGTTGCGTCACTGCGCTCGGCAGCTCCTCTGATTTGGTGGGCTTTACAGGCTCTTTCAGATACTCTGGAAATTTAATATAATAACAATTATTTATTAACCATTCTTAGCCAATTTTTAAGGTTGACGTTTTGCTAATCATAAGAATTTTAAAAAAAGGTACTGAATATTTGAATAGTTTTTGTCTCTTTTTGATAATGATTGAAAGGTATTTTTACCTTGGAAGCTAGTTTTTCTAGTGAGAGAAGTTCCAGAAGTTCTGTTGTTTTGTTGCTGGTCCCTCAACGGACTCTTTGAGAGTTCCACCTGTGGAGGAATGGGGGACGGCGTTGAGGGAACAGTGTTGCACGGCGACGGGCTGGGACTTGTAGGAGTGGTGACAATACTGTTGGAGGCTGAGCTGCATCGGCTCTCACCTACCAATCACAAAAATCAGAAATTAGACTTAAGTCGAGGCGATGCACACAAGAAATTAGACACATTTTGCGTAAAAAGGAGAAAAAGCTGCTATACCCAAGAGAAAGCTGTTGAAAAACCCCGTTCTACAAAAAAGCGTGCTTGTTTGTATTGAAAACCACCAAGTGCGAATACCAAGAGTGAAATTATGTATGAAACTAAATCAAAAATAAAACTGAAAAGTACCACAGTCGCCACCAGCTTTGTGGTGTTTGGTGGCATTCTCGATGCTCTCAATCAAATTCTTGACGGAGAGCCGGTTGTCAGCGATCGCGGTGCCTCTCAATCTTCTTGCGGCTGCAGCCATTTCTTGTTGCACCGACGAGAAAACGGCGTCGCATGCCGGAGTGGAGGGCACGGGCGACGGAGGGGCCTCTGTTAAGGAGGTGCTCACTGGTCGAGCGGGAGATTGTTGGGCTGAGATAGAGGAACACAGAATTTTATTGCAACTAATTGTCCGTCGCCAAAGTCGCTAACTACCAGATCAATTTAGCTTTTCTACACCAAAAACATTCTACCAGAAAAAGTAATGTTAGTAGTTTTGTTTTTACGGAAATAAGTCTACGTAAAACCTGCAATCACATGCAAAATCCGTGAACGTTATTCTTTTTAAATTCCTATCAAAATCACCGGTAAAAAATTTATGTTTGGCTCCTGAAATTTGAAAAAATGGGGAGTAAAAATTCTCATCACGTAGGGAAGAGCTGTCTTTTGCTTGAAAGTGGAAGAGGCATTTATTAAACACTCAAGAAAATCAAACGAAGCTAAGTAAGAATTTGGTAAAAAAAGCAACACACTGCATAAATGTTTTGAAAATAATATGCCACGCAAAAAAGCAAAAGCACATACACGACGGGGACACGCGGTTGACTTACTATTGAGATTGGCATTGACAAATGCAGTCATTGGAGCCACTCGAGCTGCTGACGTTTGCGTGACAGGCAAGGAAAATCTTTTTTGCAGTAATGAGGCTGTCCCTCGATTGACCAAGGGCGGAAGGTCAGGCCCGGACTTTCTCTTTTGAGAAAGGTTTGGAGAAGAATTTAAGGGGATGATTTCCGGCTCTGGAGGGCAACGGAGTTCGATCACAGGACTTTCCTCTTGGCCGAAATCGATTAAATCCGTGTTACTTGGCAAAGGCGGGGGTGGCGTGCTCGGTAAAGGTGGGGGCAGTGGAGACACCAAACACACTTTGTCGGTCTCGTCTGCATTGTTATTGATTTTGGCTGAAGGTTCGGAGTCTGAATTTGAGGGAGAAGCAGCATCATCCACGCAAGGGATTACTTTTTTGTCATGAGCATCAAAATACTCTTCAATCGAGATAAGATTTCCTTCGTCGGCAAAGTGTTCAGTGCCGTTAACTTCCTCCTTAGTTGGTCCAACACCATTGGATGGGTAGGAGTCACAGCACAGTGCTTTAGTGTTAAGTGCTGAGAATCAGCATGCATTTTATAATGATGTGTTAGACAGCGTTTAAAAGTATAAGAAGAATGTGTGTTACCAGTCCTTGTTCATGCTAAATAAAAAAAAAAAATACAAATCCTTACCCTTGGCTTTGGTCAACTCTGCTTCCAGTGATCTGTTCTTCTCCTTTAAGGCTTTGTTCTCGACAACTAATTTTGCCAGCTGCTGTTGAGCTTCTGTTTTGAAATCATTAGCTACTCTAACAGTCATCAGGAGGTCGCTTCGGAACTGAATCCATTCGTCATTCTGTAAAATAAGTCAAATTAATTAATTAATTATCCTAACAACAAAATATTAATTTGCATCACCTCTTCAGCCCTGAGTCTCTTTTCTTCATCTAATTGAGCTTGAATTGTCTTCAATTCTTCCTTTAAGGCCAAATTTTCTCTCTGTGCTTCGGAGAGTGTCGCTCGCAGCTGTCGTTTGTCCTCCAAGTGTCTTTGCGCCTGGGCGGCTTGCTCTGTGGATGCAGCTTGTGCACGTTTAGTTTCTTCCCTTTCTTGGTTGATGACAAATTCCAGTTCGGAAACTTGAGAACGAGCATTGTTGCGAGAGACCTACAAAATGATTACCAATCAAATCATATTGATAAAATGTTATGGTATAAAAAGCTAACCTTCAGTTCTTCTTGCAATGTATTAGTTGTCTCTCTAATCCTGGCAACTTCACCCTGGGCTTTGGCAAGTTGCTCCTGCAGCTCAACGATTTTCACCTCCAACTCTTCCTTCTCAGAGCGAATACTCTCGAGCCTTGATTCAAGTTGTGTTTCGTTGGCAGGAGACGTTCTGCATTCTTCCAACTCTTCAATCTAGTTATAAATGCAACATTAAAAATGTTTTTCGAAAACAAATAAATATCTCTATACCTTAGCTTTGGCGTTGGCTAGGAGGTTTTCAATTCTGTCATGCTCGATGGCTTTCTCCTGAGCCTCACGCAGAGTGGCCTCCAATCGGTCTTCAAGTCGTTTCTTATCAGCCACTCCCACTTCCACCTGAGCCTGCAGCACTGAGACCCTCTCGTTTTGTCTGGCCGAAGCAGTTTCGGCTGCCAACAAGCGTTCCTGGGCACCTCGCACCCTCGCTTCCGCAGCTTCAATCAAACCCTGATGCTCAGACCGTTCTTCGTGGAGACCTTTGATGATCTCGAGCAGTTTGGCCTCCGTGTCATTCGGAGCTGGAAGGCCTTCAGAGCAGAGCAGGGCCGTCAATGACTCAACCCTGGCCCTGCAGTCCTCAAGACGCTCAGTCTGCTTGCAAAGGGATTGAAGGACGACAGCTTTTTCGTCTGTGAGTCGAGAGTTGTCCGATTGAAGTTCAGACAGTTGATTTTGCAGATCAGCCAGTTCTTGTAAGGTTGCTTGCAATTCTTCACTTGTACTAGAAATTAAAGGTAAAAGAAAAGTTGTTAATAAATTTTATTTCAATTAAATGTGTGCAAGTAAAATTAGTGTTTTGATTAAAACTGTTATTTAATATTTTTTTTTAATTTCAAGGTTACAAATTGAAATCATTCTGATTTAATGCACATATTAAATCACATATTTGAGATGCGCCTCATGATAGGGGAATGCTAATGAGGTCAATGATAAATTCAGTGAGTGGTGCTCGAGTATAATAAAACGCGAGAGGTCTACCAACACAACGTTGCAAAAAAAATCAGCATCCCCAGAGAGCATTGCACTCTCAGGCGCTACGGGTTCTCATGTGAGACTCAACTAGGGTCAAATTAATCTGGTCCTTCGGGTCAACGGCATGAAAAATCGCATCTGAATTTCATAATGAAAATTCACAATACCTGTAGTGCGTCTCTTCCATTTGCAGAATCCGATCTTGCAGGCCAGCAACGGACACTTCGCTGCAGCTTCCTAAACTCTGGTGTTCCCAGTCCGGAGTTCCAGGCACTCCCTGCGAGCAGGTCGAGGCCAGCATGTCAGTGCCGAGCGCATCCTGATTGAAAAAAGATCAAAAATAAAATGATTGTGGGGAAAAGTACGCGATTGTTGCCCCAAAACAAAAAGTGTAAACACTCTTTTGTAAAATCGTTAATTTCAAGGTCCACTAGTCACACTTACATAGGGTGTTGGTGGCTCTGTTCCGGCGATCGACGCTGGCGCGGAGGAGTGCTGGTGGATCTGGCCGAGTAGCAATTTCTCCGTGTCCGATAGTGGTTGGAGCTGGGACGCTGTAGAATTGGCAGCAGTGGCCGCTGCCGTTGAGGCTTCGAGCTGGGCAAGCTTCGTCTTGAGGGTTTTGTTTTCGACGCGCAACTCCTTGAGCTGGACGTTGCCTGCTGCTGCCGAAGTTGCCATTTCCTGTTGATCATGGTTTTTATTTGATAACGTTTTTTACTTTTGGCTTCCTTTGACATATTTATATAAAAAGATCAATGGCAAAACAAAAAATAATTTATGTCTTTCACTACAAAATTAAAGCATTAAATTTTATTGAGATATTGAAAGAAACTTTTATTAAAATAATTTTTAATTTGAAAATTGTGGCTTTTTCAAAACGATTTAATTTTAAGAAATGTTGAAATTTAACGATAATTACTTCGAATTGTTTTAAAAAATTGCAAAGTTTGAATTTTTTTTATACTATAACGATTTGATAAATATTAACTTAATAAAGACTAATAATTTTGATTGCAAATAAAAAAAGACTCTCTTTGAAAATGTCGTTGCAACATTTCCATTTTCATAGACACTTAATAGTTCAACGACGGTCATAAAACCATGCTTCCTGCGAGTTGCGTATAAATTTTTATTGCACACCTTTTCCGCCTCTTTGAGTTCCGACTTCAGCATGTTGACCTCAGCCTGCTTGGTCTGAAGCATCTGCGTCAACTCCAGGACCTTTGCCTCGAGATCCGCCACAGCCGGGGGAGGGTTTTGGGCTGCAAGCGACGAGCATTTTATTAGCCAAACAAAAACACGCGCGGTCGACAAATTCGAAACAAACGATAAAGAATAAGTGACAGGGAGCGCGAACGAGTCAATTCAGAAATAAACATGCATCACGTCGTTTGTGACAACTAATGCGTCATTCGCGCAATTATGAAAGTAATTATGCTGGAGCGGCTAAAACTGGCTCCACAGGTTGTCTCGTTTATTCCATGCTCGGCAAAAAAAAATAATAATAAATAAACGTTGGCTATAACGATGATGATTTGGAGACAACTCGAGTTGAATTTTTACGAATGATATATAATTAAATTTAAATCTTTTGACTGACAAGAGCCAGCTTATCTCAGTGGGTGCGCCATGCTCCATTTCATCAGATTATCGCCGCTTTGATTGCAACGGTTCAAGAAAAATAAAATAACACATTAATTAAGAGCCAACGGAGAAAATTTCGCAGCCGGCAGCAGACAGACAAAAAAAGAAGAGACGACCATTTATTTTTCTGCCGCCTTGTTAACCTGCAAGTTTCCTTAAAGGGCTCTCTAATTGACCTTGATACTGCCGAGGCATTTGTAAATACCCCGCCTAAAAAGAAAAAGAGACACATCAAGGAAGCTGAAATCGGGGGCAAATAATTGCACGTATAGAAAAAATCAGGGCGTCGAAAAAACGAAAAATAATATCAAAATGCATATCACGCTTGGCATACCTAATGCAGGGCGATTTTCTGCTTGGCTCGGCGTATTGTTGGTAACGGTCTCGGGTTGCGGCGGCGGCGGCGGACGTGTCGCATTTGCACGGCCGCTCCTGCTGGCCGCAGACTTGGCCTTTTCCTGCTGAGGGGTGGCCGAGGTCGAGCCGGGCGACGTGACCGACCTGCGGAAAATAAGGCACTTCTTGAACTTGAGCATTTTGGCGGTGGTCGGTCGGTCGGTCGGGGCGAGCCGCGCGCTGTGTCACGGCAACCGCCTGTTGAACGGGTACATCGCGACTACAGCAGCTGCTGACGGCGCGGCGCCTCTCGAGGTCGTCTCGAGGAGCACCATCCGAGCGCAGCACCAGTTGTGCCAACTTTCCTCTCCGGACCCGGTTTTGCGCGATCAAAGGGGGCGAGATCTTTTTTTTTGCGGCTTGCGAGTTTCAAAACCAGATTGGAAATGCCAAGGGGAAATCAAGTTTTTAATAAAAAATTAAATTTGCATTTTTTTTAACTTCTTGAACAAAATATAGGACAGAAGTTTTTTTAACTAATTTCAACAGGATAAAGAAGCGCTGATAAAAATGCAATCAATTATAATTTATCTATTTAGAGAAGGCCAGTGTTCTGTTCAAGTTTTTAATGGGAACGTTAAATTTCCTGCAATTTTTTTATCCGTCAAATATGATCAGTTTTATTTGGCATTTTTAAGTGATTTGGCAAGTTTTTCCAACAAAGATATATATTTTTTTTAATTTGCTTTAAAAAACTCTGCCCAAAATTACAATTGATCGATCGTATTGTTTGGTGGAAAAACCAGATGTAAAACGGTGAAATTTGGGTCACAAAATATCCACACAAATACTGAGAACAATACTCAATTGATGTTTTAATTAAATAAGTTTTTAAAATTATTAATAAAATCGACTTTTTCCTCTTAGCAGTGCAAATTATTTCCTTATATGCTAAAAAACGTTTTAAAGATGCTGCAATTTTCCCCCAAACAATGAGGGGCTCTAATAATTTATGACATAATGTTCAGATTCCGCAGTTTCCGCCACAAAGCGACCGCGGGCAAAGAGGAAGAGTGACACTCCAAGGCACGGCAACAAAGCGCTTATCTCATAGAGAGTTAATTTATATTTTTCCTCGAAATGCGCGAGGGGCCCCTCTGCCTGCGAGTGTAATCTAAAAGAGCAAATAATAATAATAATCAATGGCGTCAAGGGAGAAGAGACCGACGCCTCGCTCATTCCGGCAATTCGTTGCAACCTCTCCCGTCGCCAATTTGCGTGAAAAAGCCGAGCCTTTTTTTCGGCTGCCAAATGGAAAGTCGTGAAAAATTTAGCAAAAACGCTTCTCGGAGGAGCTCGTGTTTGGGCAATTTACGGTCGAGGGAGAAAATTGCTCGCACGAAACGCAATTTTTCTCCGCGTATCCACCCGGGACGCTCGCGAAAATAAATTCTTCACTTTGCATAGAACGGAGGGGGAGGCGAAAATCTCCTAAACTATTCTCGTTTGAATTTACAACTCCGGATACACTAGACTCAGCTGATTAATTTTTTATCTCCTCTGGAAAGCGAGCTCAGGTCCCCGAAGGTGTTTTTCTTTCCTTTCGATTGATCCCGCGTGAATTTTATTAATGTTATCAGCGCGGCAAACTTCTGAACGTTGGCAGGCCGCTCGCTCGGCCCGAGATGAAATACAAAACTCATCAGGCTTAACTGTAAACTCTGCGTCTCGCTCAAAAAGAGGGGAACGAGATGCTGTGCTGCAGCAGCAGGCGGTGCTTTTCTCGCGATCTCGATCCATCAAGGACACCCAGACACCACTACCGATTTTTCTCTCGGAAATATTTATTCTTTTATAACACCGCACTCCGCAGCACCATTCGAACAAACTAATTCTCTAAAACGCTAGAGCCGGTCAATATTCGCAATCAATCTCTGCTTAAGATTGCAATTTATTAAGGTGATTTCCTAAATAAAAATTGAAAAAATACAACAAAAAAAACTTTAAACGTATATATAAACAAAATTTTATTTCGTTTTGAAAATTACTATGAACAAAAATTAATTTAGCTTGGCCTGATTTCTATCGAAGTGAAGATGAAAATTTTGTAAACAATTTTTATGAGATAATTACTAACAAGAAAGAGTTAATTACTTGGCACCAGAATAATTAATTAATTGCCGCGTACAAAGACAGGAAGTAATTTTATCGCGCGCAGCCTTGTAATGAGCTGTGAATGTTTGGAATGAAGTCACGTTCAGGAGACGATGATTACATCAATTAAAACGGACTTGTGATTAGAAATGAAGATCGAAGATAAATTGTTCGAAATTGCCAGCCGATTTGTATTATTATTTGCTCACATCCACATTGCAAATTTAAAATTAGCTTCCAGGCTTTGGCTAACAAGGAGTAAATTACACATTTGTTTTGCTTTTCAGTAGAAAATCTTTTCATCTCTAATTTAAAAATTGCTACCATTTTGTTAATTAAAAATACATTTGCTTATTTAAAAATTTTGCAATTATCGCCTCTGCCAGATTTAAATACGCCATTACACAGTTTGCGAGCGTGGGTTTGAAGAGGTTTTGGTCCAACAGGGGCTCTCGACTTCTTGAGAGCGAACGAAAAAATTAATCGAATGAAAAAAGAGGAACGCCATCTGCGCGATATATTTACATTCGTACGCCGAATAAATAATCGGGGCTGAGAAGGCGTTCGCCGGTACTTGTGACTACAGTGCGAGGTGTAAGTAGGGCGACTGGTTTCAGGGGGAGTGAGAGAGAGAAAGACACACAACATTCTCACATTCTCTTTTACAAAAATATACGTACGCAATTTTCATTCTTGGCGCGCACCTGTCGTTGGTGCTTCGATCGGCTAATGCAAGTGCACGCCGGCCGAGTTGAAACAAGAGCAGTAATGGGGCTTCACCTCGGTCTGTTTATGTCTTCGCCAAAGAAAGATTTGAGCGCACGACAAATCTCTTATTGTCGCAGTGGCGTGATTGTCGTGTCGCACTGCGACTAATTTAATTCGTACCAACCAAAAACAAAATTTGCAAAAAAATCAAAAATAAAATGCCGTTGATTTGGTTTCTTACTTTATGGTCAGTTAATTTCTATATTTTTGAAGAAATTGTTCAAATTTGTGAAAACAGCAAAAACTTTGCTGGTAGGAAATTGATAGATTTTATTTTTGTAGTAAAAGTCCACGATGATTCATGGTAATTTGAATTTAAGTCCAAATCATGGAAATTCAAAGAAAGGTGCTAAGAAAGATTGGTTTCATTTTACTTGCTTGGATGTTTTCTCAAAATCTCAAAATTTCATCCATCTGAATTTTCTTAATATTTTATGATCTTAACAAATCTATTCTTCGTTGCCTCTTGATTCATGGCACGTGTAACAAGCGGGTTGCATACTTTTGAAAAACTAAAAATAAATTAATCAAATTTTTTCGCTCGAACGTTGTGGTGGGTCTGCGCGTTAAAATTGTTGACTTTTTTAATTAATGCAAAAGTTAATTAATATTAAAAATAAAGTAAAATATAGTGATACATAACTTGACTGTTTTGAATTAGGAATAATAATTTTTTTTTTTAAATATTTTCTATTTTTATTGCATTCAAAACATCTAATTTTTGCAGCAGACTTCAGTATAGCTTTAAACTTTTTCTATAAATTTCTCAAATTAAGTAAATATAATAAATTATTGTGGATTTTTCCTTGTTCAGTGGCTAAAAATAATTTATTTTATTTAGGAACAAAACGATGGTTTGACGTCACATTCAAGTGATATTTAAGACGTTGAAAATGAAGTCAACAAGAAAAAAATAATTTATCTTCGGTCTGCTTAAAAAGATTTGAAAAATAATTTTTTTGTCCTTGGAACATCATTGGCGTCTTTCTTCGAGTTCACATATTGTCGATGACGAGTGCAAAAATCGAGTCGTATATTTTGCTCATTACACAAACATGCTCTCAAATGACACCCGAAAGCTACGTCTCAGGGTCGCCCTGAAATCGCGGCTGTTGGCTCGCCCGCCGATCGATGTGTTTGCCGATCTTAATCTAAACTGGCTCGTTTCGAAAATGACATCATTAATGAAAAGACAATTTTATACGATTTTAAAAAAAGAATGCACGTCATCGACGGTATTATTTTCCTGCTTTTTCTCGTCATTTGCACGGAGCTCGAATCTGTGGCGAGAAGCCAGAAAACAACGGCGACCACAATGCAAAAATATGCGGCGAGCATCGCCTCGGGCAGGGTTTTCTGCCACTCGAGCCGCAGTTTCATAATCACAATTTTTTTTTAAATTTGCACCAAGGTGCTGAAACTGTGCGATTTGAAAAAGATGCAAAAGGAGGGAAATAAATTCGCTTTACCTTATTTTAACCGCGGCGATGGAAAAACGAGCGTCAGGTGACCCAATTATTTGGGCAAAAAACTGCTTCTGCTCCGAAGTGCAGAACCGGAACGGCTGCGTCCCGCGAAATTTAAATTCCTCGTCATGCTCTATTCCCCGTGAAACAAAACTATTACGTTTTCACAAAACAAACCGAAATAAATGGAGCACTTTCCAAGAAGTAAATCTAAAAATTTGATGGTAATAAATATCAGGCAAATGAATGCAGTACGTGCAAGGTGAATTCGATTTCGAATCAATACCGTGTGTGTGAAGAGCTGAAGAGAGACAAATAATAAATACATAGAAGATATTGGTATGGAAGCGATGGGAGAGAAATAAATATAACTGCACCGTCGGAGAGCTCAAATCGCAGCGAGCGTGCGAGTGGAATTTCAAAACCAAAAAGGCGTGCCCGTCGATATTCAATACACTTGTTTCAAATTAACGCATCACTAATCACGCACCGAACGGCGTTTCAAATAAATAATAAAATCAAATAAGAAGTAAAAAAAAATTCAAATAAATTCATTTTAATTCTTTCGGAATTATATTGGTCTATGCATTGAAACACGGATTAGCGTTATTTTCGGGTGCCCTACAAATTTTAGATGTGGCTATGATTTTCAACGATTTTTTCCAAACATCCGCAAAATATTAATTATAAATCAACGGTCGATATGATAAGAAGATAAAGTCGCGATTTTCGTCTTATCTCACCGCAAGATAACGATGGTCGAGCGTGGTGCTGCTGCTGCTGCGTTTTGTTTTGTTGACGTTTGGAAACGCACTGACTCTACTCGCTCTTCGGTGTCTTTACTCTTTACTCACCCCTTTTTAACGGCAGCCAAGCTCATAATATTCGTTGGGCAGACCACCGGTCCACCCACCCCTTGTCGGCAGCCAGTTCGTAGTCGGCGAGAGCGAGTCGGCGGCCAGTATATTCGCGAAATCACGCGGATTCCTCACTGGACTGACAGCCCAAGGCCCAATTCTCCTTTTGTGACACTCACTGACAGCCGCAAACCGAAAACCAAGAAGAAGTGGTCCTACGCTAGACACCCCACCTGAGATCCAAAAGCTTCACTCGTCGCATCGTCGGCTAGCTGGAAACGTGCTGCAACCGAAAATCCAAAGGGTCGGCCGAACCCATCGGCCGCCGAAGAACTGCGGGCGAAAAACAACACCGACTGTGGCGAAACAATGGGCACGCGCAGAAGCAGCTATAAACTGGAAAACGTGCGAAAATCCGCCATGTTTGTCCTTTCCTGAGGCGGGAGATTGAGACGGGGGAAATTCGAGGTTTCTGGAATCGCACGCGAATGGCTTTTGGGTATAACGAAATTTCCGATTTGCTATCTTTTATGATAGCTAGATTAATTTATTATCGGCAAATGATAAAAAATTTACTTAATTTTTGCTTAATAAAAGAGGTGTATTTAATTTTCGAAACTCGGCAATTATTCCCTTTCTACTCTTGGCGTACAGAGAAATAATAATATGGAGGGTCGGTACAGTCTTTCTTCAATTAAATCTCAGTTCATTGAGCAAAATAACAACATTTCAGCAAATATACACTGTCGTCTTCGTTCATAAACGCGCAGTGACATTGATGGAGTCATTATTTCCATTTTAGTGTTAAAACGCATTAAAAAGTTTTTTTTTATAATTCACTTCATACATACCAACGCACACCTTCTCCAAAACAGGCAAGACGATATTTATTGTTCACAGCTAAATTTAACAAAAACATAATTGATAATGATGTTTAGATCAAGCTAATAAAAACTGTGTGATACATGAAATTTTAAATCTGATAAGATGAGTGCAAAATTGAAGGCCGTTTATTTTTAGGATGTACAAAGTGTACTTGAATTATCAGAGGGTAACTTAATCGTTTGACTGCCACGTTTAATTTTTCAGACAAAAATGAAGACGTTCATCCAAGAAATGCGAGAGGCGACCAGAGATGTCCATGATTTGAGCGACAAACTCGTCAACGCAAAATTGATGTTTGGTTAGTTCTATTTTTAATGATTGACGCATATAATATGATTCTCATTATTTTCTGTGGTGAATAACCGCTTGAGATCACGCTCATCTCTCAATGCTGATTATGTCAATACAGAGAAAATATATTATTATATTAAATTTTTTATCAATTTATTTTTTTAATAGTGTGCACCCTTTTTTTCAGCAATGTCCGACAACTCCGTTTGGGCAGAGGGATTGCTAATCTTTTATGAAATCTTCAAATTTCTTGAAAGTGCCATGACTCGAATGAGTAATTCCCTGGTCGGTGAGCTGGACATTGAAGGACTGAGGCGCACCGAGGCGTTTGAACGCGACTTGACTTTTTATTTGGGGGAAGACTGGAAGACGAACTACCATCCACGACTCGAAGTGGCTGCGTATGTCAAGTACCTGGAAAACTTGGAGGAAACTGACCCTCACCTTCTGATGGCTTACATTTATCACCTGTACATGGGATTGCTCTCTGGAGGGCAAATTCTACAGAAGAAGCGTCAGCTTGCTCAAAAGTTTTTCCCTTTCTTTGGAGTTAAAAATCCTACCCAAACTGAGGGCTACGCAATCACTAATTTTCAAAACAAGACCATCGCTCAAGTCAAACGGGAATTTGCAAAAAAGATGAACGAGGTTGCTAATGAATTAGATGAGGTTACCAAACAAAAGCTAATCCAAGAGAGCAGGACACTGTTCTTGAAAAACAATGAAATCATCAAAACTGTCCAAGGCGCAGACAATGTTTTTATGAAAAAAACCATAACTTTACTGGGGTTATCAATGGTTTTTGTTGGAATTATTTGGTTTGCATTAAAACAGTAAAAAGATTTGTTGGCTACACAAATTGTAGCAGTGAAATTATTGATTTCAACTTTGCAGACTATGAATGGAATTATAAATAGAATAAATTTTCTATCAACAAGTCTCAATTGGTACCTTAATAGAATATAATTTTTTTGAAAAGTTAAAATTTTATTGAATGTGTATGATAAAAAAATAAAATATTTATGTACATCGATTCGTGCAATATTTTCATTATAATCTAATCCAAAAAAACTAACAAATTAAACAAAAGTTGGCAAGAATTTCTAGATTGAGTCTATGTAAACAAGGAAAGCTGTTTTTGTATAATTTAGAACAGGAAATGCATCACCACTAAAACTGAACCCTTCTTGGACGTTCAACAACTTCATCCCCATCCAACGACTCTTCCAGTGATGAAGTGAAACTGAACTCGTCTGTTTGCAGATCGCTGTAAATAGTTGTTTGTGTTAAGATTAAACGCACTATGTTTAGAATCGTTAAGACTTACTTATCAGACACAAGAGATAAGTCGTCCGCACCTTGGCAGCTGATTTTCATAACTGTCGTCGCACCGCTTGCCTGTTGAGATGTTGCAAGGGCAGTGCCTGGACTCAATCCAAAACCTGAACCAAAGAAAAAATTAATGATCACAAAAAATAAAAAAGTCAGTTTTATTAATTACCCAAAAGCTTTGGGGAGTTGAGTGAAAGTGTACCATCATCTGTGGACACAATGCTGGCAGTGTCTTCCACGTTCATGCAGATCTTGTCAGCATTTGGCTTCACCTCATAAATGGCTGATTGGAATTGCACGAAAAGACTTGGTGCTTTGTAGACTACAAAATTTTTAGTAATATTTAGTTTTGTATTTTATTTTCATATTTTCAGTTACTCACCAAATGCGAGTGGTTTGTGAGCCCATTTGAAATCGCCAGGCCGAGATCTGTGTCCAAATGCGTCCAGGAAAACTGCCACTTCAGGCATGCACAGCATGAACTCGGGCTCAGCCTTTGCACTGCTCTTGGTGACATCAACGAGTTTGACCGGTCCCTTTGTGTTCTTCAGAGTAACTCTGACAGAGGAGAGCGATGTGTCTGATATGTCCAAAAATTCTAAAAGCCAAAGTTTTAAAAATATTTTTTTTTTTTTTTACATTTTCATCAGTACCTTCAACAGAAAAGTCCTTCAGATCAACTTCAAAAATGTCATCACAGACTAAGAGAAGGGACTGTGGAGTGAATAAGGCACTGGTTGCAGGAAACGCAGTTGCAAGGAGGCGAATTGGCTCAAACTGTGAAGATCCAAAGTTCCACTTCAAGAAACTAGGGAATGCATTGTAAATTTATGAATTCCATTTTTGATTTTACTTATTTAATTACCTGGTGTGAGAAATGTTGGCAACACACAGGAAGGTCATTTCTTTCTCATTCGTAATGGCTAGTGGGGGTGAGACAACACAAAGGTGGCACTGATCGGGCACATGGTCGACGGGCTTCAATGAGATCGAAGGCTTGGAGCATTGAGCTGCCTCAGCGGCAACAGTCAGGGCTCGCAACTCGCACTGGTACAGCGCAGACGGAGAGCCTGCAATAACAAATAAATTGATTCAAAAAATATTTCTAGCTCCGTCTGCTTACCAGTGATGAAAAGAGCGATGCCCAGATGGGGAACAATGGAAATGTGCTTCACTTGAGTGACACCAGCAATGTGCACCAACTGAGAGCCAGCAGATTTGGAATGCAAGCTGTAAAGCCCTTCTACGGTGCCAAGTAGGGTGACCTGCTCAGTGAGTGAAACGGCACAATTCGTGGTGATTCGGCAGTAATCAGGCAGAGTGCGCTGTTCCATTATGATAGGGCAGTTTCTGGACGGAAACAAAGGTTTATTTTCCTCAAATTCCACTTTTTTAGGGGGCTCAGTGATTGCTTTTGGTGGAGCCACAACGGGTTCCCTTTTGGCTGCAAATTTTTAGTTAATATCGATATATTTATTTAAATTTGGCTACAGAATACCCGTCTTTGTAGGAGTCGGAGTTGGGCGACCGTCCCAGGTCTTTGACTTGTCCTTGGCACTCATTGGTGTGGCGAGATTCTTGTTTGGGAATGGCGAAGGCGCCACATTCTCTTTAGGGTGTATTCCAAAAATTTTGTCGGCCAAGGTCTGATTTTAAAAACAAAATAAATATTGCGATTATAATTTCATTTTTCAACAAACCCTCTTCTTCTTTCCAGCCTCACTCTTTGATTGCAAAAATACTATCAGTTTGTTTTGCTGGGCCAACTGAGCATCCATTTTTAAAATTTTCTCATCATAGCGAATTTTCAAATTCTTCATTTGCTCCTCCAGGTCAGAGATTTTTTCACTGCTCTCTTTCAAAGACTGGCTGGATTTAGACAGGGAAGCCTACAAGCAAATAATTAGCAAAATAGAATATTTAAAATTAAATTGATCACTAACAGCAATTCTGTCAGCATTGTCTCGGGCTGTTTGCAAGTCAGTCAGAGTTTCTGAAATTTCCTCCTGCAAGTCAGCATTCTTCTCCTTTAGAGACTCAACCACTTGGCGCTGCTCCCTTGTGTGGCGATCACTCTCGCAAAGTGTCTCTTCAAACTCGTTGATTTGCAGTATGAGCTGCTCATTCTGATGTCGCGCTTCTGTGATCTGGCTTTTTAATTCTTTGATATCTTCCACAGCGTCAGTTTCGCGCATTGCAGCTTCCTCCTTCACTTCGGCCAGTGTTTCTTCGAGCACCTTCTTAGCGGCACTAAGCTCGTCAGCCTCTATAATCTTAGCATTGAGATCAGCTCGAATTTGTTTCAGTTCTTCTTTGAGCCTAAAAACTTCTTGTTTCCCTTGCTCAATTTGAACTTCGTAAGCAGCTCTAAGTACTTCTGAATCATCAAGCTGTTGCTCTTGTTCAGTGCAAACTTCTCGTAGCGCAGCATTATTCTGTATAGTAAAGACAAAACTGTTATATATGTCAATGAGATCCCAAAACTAGTTTTACTGACCTCCTTCAAAGACTCCATCTGGGCTCTTAGTTGAGCGACTTGAGATGTAGCGCTTAGCGCATTGCCCTTGCTAGTTTCAGCCTCCTTTTTCAAGATGTCTAAAGAGTTTTGCAGTTTTGTTACAAGATTGGTCTTCTCTCCCAACTGATGCTTCAAAGACGAGAGCTCTTGTACCTTTTCTATAAGATTTGAATGAAGGTCGTTCTCCTTCTTCCTCAAATTCTGCAAGGCAAAACAGTTTTTTTGTTTTTCATAAAACTTGTTTTAGTGTGCATACCACAATATCAGAAGCTGACTTTGACATGGTCAATTCATTTACATCCAGCTTTTTCTTTAGACTGTACAATTCCTCTGATGCAGTCTTCAACTTTTCTTCAGTCTCAGCTAACTTTTGCTCAAGCTGTGTTTTATCTTGTTCCAAGGATTTGGTTAAAGCTTCTGAGGTTTTCAACTCTCGTTGTGTAATGCGAAGATCTAACTTTACATCAGAGAGCTCCCTCTCTTTCTGTTGAATGAAAAAAAAATATGAAAATCCTAGAAGACTCAATGATTTTGTTCTTACCTTATAGAGATCAGTTTGCGCTGTTCGACAAGCTTGCCTATCAAGAACAGCACCTTCTCGAGATTTTTCTAACTGAGTCTCCACGTGTTCCAGCTGGGCTTTCAAACAGTCAAGCTCTCTCAGGGAGGCAGCTGGGGTTTCAACGCTTTCAGGTGGTGATAAGCTGAAAGTAGCAGCAATCGACAATCTGAAAATGACAAAATATTATTCCATCTATCTATACCTATAATTTAAAAAAATTTACCGTTTCGATTGGTTCAGGTCATTGGACTGCAAGTTCTCATTCTCCTCTTCCAGTTTTTCAATCCTATCTTCCATTTTAACCAAACATTCTTCCAGCGATTCCAGTTTTTGCTGTTGTTCGTCTGATATTTAAATACACAACAATGAGTCATTAACAAACAAAATGTTCCATTGTTACCATCTTTGTCTTTAGCTGCTGATAGTTGAGATTGGAGCTCTCTTTTCTCTCGACGGACTTTGCTCAGATCTTTCTCTAGCTCGGCTACTTTGTTTTCTAAAGTATTCTCTCTCTGTGTATTCTTCTTGCTATCTTCCAATTCCAATACAGAGGAGTCTAATTCAGCTTGCATTTTCTGCAAAGAAAAAAAAATAGATATATTTTAGTTTCTTTTTGATTAGGATGAATTTCTAAATAATAAACCTTAATTTGACTTTCGTATTTTCTACATTCCGACTGAAGTTTCTTATCAGCCTCCTTCAAAGTTTGCTTAGTCTGTTCCAACTGAACTGCAAGGTTGCTTTTTTCATTCTCCAGTTTAACAAGGCGTCTCTCAAGTACACTCTTTTCGTCGTTCAAAGTTGATACAGTATTTTCCTATTAAAAAGATAATAAAAATAAATGATATTTCTTTTCAAAATAAATTCAATATACTAAAGAAACTGATTTGTTCTGAAGATCAGAGAGAGAGTTTTGCAGTCGGGCCGACTCATTTTTCAATTCTGATATTTTCTCTGCACCCTCCATAAACGTCATAGTTTCCCTCCTTGCCTATTTGTATTTATTATTATTTATTTTAGAATTAAATCTAATTTGTGATTTATAAAGGAAGATATTACCCTTGTTATGCTGCTCTTTTGCTGTTGCAAAAGTGTTTCAAGTCTGCTATTGGCATCTCGTTCAGCCTGCAGTTGATCTTCTTGATTTTTGAGTTTTTTCTCCAGATCTGTCAGCTTGGCATCACTTCCACTGAGATTTTTCTGTGCTTCTTCTAGTTGTTTATTTAAGTTCAAAACCTGTTGCTGGGACATGGTTTGCCACTTAGCCTTCATGCTCTTCACCATTTCAAGGGCTTTGCTCTCAACTTCATGCCTTTCATTCCTCTCCTTCAGAATTGTTTTGTGGTACTCCTAAACATAAAGGCTTAAGAAAGTATAATTTTTTATAGTGGTAAAATTACATTTGCTTTTCTTGTCACTTGCTCTAGCTTAGTTTCTGCCTCTCGACGACTAGTCATGGCCTCCTCAATGATTTTTTCCTTCGTCTTCAGCAAATCTTTCATGGTTTTTAATTCCCTAGCTCGTGCAATGTCAGGATGTTCGGACTTAGAGCGTCTTGGACTAAGATATTCGGTAGGCATGGATGTGGGCAAGGATGACTGGATTGCCAACTGGTTTGGATTCAGGGAAAATCCAACAAACGGTAGTTGGCGCCCAGAGAAAATCTTCTTGGTCATGAAGTCCTCTGTAAGAGGGCTAGGCGAATCATCCACTGGCAAGTTGAAGTTTGACACATCTGTCTCACTTTCAATCATAGGTATGTAAGGTGGAACGGCTGGATTAATCCAAAATCATAAATATGCATAAAATTTAAACAGCAAAAGTTACTTTCTCTCATGGAGTTCCATGGTGTTCCAATGAAAAAGGAATGCTTCTTGATCTGCATGGCATTTAGTCTTGAAGGTGCTGGAGAAAGCAGACCAGCAATCAGTTGACGGATCTCCTTACTTTCACCAAAACCACTTGGGAATGTTAAATTTTCAGAGCCCATCTAAAAGATATTTCTAAGCTTTTTTAACAATTCAATAATAAAAACAATACCTCATGGGCAAGAATGTTACAGTACAGTTGTGTTCGATTTTCATTACTGAACGGAGTGACGCCGAAAATCATCTCGTAAGCAATTACGCCAAGAGACCAGAAGTCACACTCAACCTATGAAAGCCAAAATAGTAATTACACTAAGATATAATTAAAGCAGACAAGAAAAACATACACCATATTTTCCACCTTCACCAGCAGCAGCTTGAAGCACCTCCGGAGCAATGTACTCTGGAGTGCCAACAGGCATTCGACTGTCAACCTTTCCATGCTTGTTCAGCTTTGCAGCTGATCCGAAGTCGGCAATTTTGACATGACCACAGCGATCAAGCAAAATGTTGTCGGGTTTGATATCCCTAGAATTTTGGTCTGTATTAATCATTAAAACACACAAATAAATTATTTTACCTGTGGGCATAGCCTAATTCATGCAAACTGATTATGGCTAGCAGTGTTTCTGCGATGTAAAACTTTGCCATCTCTTCAGAGAGAAATCCTTGGAAACTATATAAAATCCAAAATGATTTTCTTAATGCAAAATTATTTGTATTATTCATACTTGTCAAGGACTCCACTCAGGTCGCCTCCAGGCAAGTATTCCATCACTAGGTACAAATACGATGTGTCCTGGAAGGAATATTTTAGATACGGCAGCCACTCCGATGCAGCGCAAGGCCGAGAAGCCAATGCCAAGATGTCTCTCTCCTCCTCATATGAACTAGCCTAAGTACAATTTAAAATTAATTTTAATTTAACAAATGCAGAGGCAGAGTTTTTCTGAAATAGTACCTCTTTATGCCCATTGGGACACAGTTTTGGCATTTTCTTCATAGCATAGAGACAAGCAGTCTCCTTTTCTCGGACGAGCTCGATTTTTCCAAAATTTCCCTTGCCAATTATTGAAACAATGGAAAAGTCACTGGTATTGACGCGAGATAATTTAATATCTTCGACAGTTGTTCCAACTGGAAAGCAATTATACAATCAATAATTCAAACCTTAAAGAGGATTGCTAAAAATAATTATTGCTTCTTTTGTTTTGCGGTCACTTACACTTTTCGACGAACTCAGAAATCGCAGGTTCCTTTCTCAAGGATTCCTTTTTGCATTCATCGTAGAGGGCCACGAGAGCGTCTTGCAAGGCGTCCGTATTCATTTTGGAGTTGACTTCATTGCCACCCTTGTCAAAAGGTGATTGCAATCGAAGGTTCAAGCACGCCACCCTTGTAGCAACGGACTCGTTGCTCGACTTCGGTTTATCCATTTTTCAGGAATCTGCACGAGTCAAAGTTAAATACATCAATTCTTGATAAATGAAATCGTAGCATAAACAAATCTCCAAGCAAAATTTTTGGCGAATGAAAATGAAAAAAATTGAATTGCATCCGTTTGCAGCTAATGTAAACAAAAATCAAATTTTCTTCAAGCAGGTGAAATTTAATTTTCAATTATTACAATCTCCGCAGGCTATCTAAGGCATGAAATATAAAAATTTGAAGTAAAATATCACAAGCACCTTCAAAAACAATTGTCACGACTCACCCTTCATTCAGCTTCCCTGAAAAATGAGCCCTTTTTTCAAGGGCAGACGTATTTCCAGTACCAGCCGGCTGATTTTTAACGTTCGCTTAGTTTTGCCTCCAAAAACAAGCAAAGCTGCAACGCGATTGGTCGGGGGCCTCCACTTCTTGCGCTCTCATTGGCTCTTTCATAGATTAGTAACGACATTTCTAGCGGGAAGCTATTTGCACGTACTCTCCGTTGAGCAGCACCTTTCAAAGCAAGGTTTCAAAGATCGAGCTACCCCCACCCCTTGGCTACCACTTCTCACTTCTCAACAAATACCACTCCCCCGTGTCAGAGACAATGTAAATAGAGATGGGACACTCAATGTTAAATTTCTTTGACAATACTTTATCCGCTAGAGGCGCAGCGATCGAGCTCTCATCCAATCAGAATCAAGGCGTGCTTGTGGATTGTACTTTTGCGGCGGTAAAAATCAACAATAAAAATAATGTGTGGTCTTGCTCAACAAGGTCTTGCTCCAGCGGTCAACGCACAAAACAAATATTATTTATTGGCAGTCATACGCGGAAAAATAAATTAACGGGTTACATTTCGTATGTATGGCCGCATAGCAAGTGTTTTTTAATAGAAATAATAATGATTAAAAATATTCTCTTAATTCCAGACAGGTATCCGTTTGAAAAAATTAAAAGTAAATAATGTAATATTTAGAATACTTCTTTTTACTCCTCAAAGTTTCTTTGGCGTACCAATGCACTGCACATTTAAAAATATATTGAAATAATATTTGAAGAAATTGTTCAGAATGACGTGAACAACCAAACTCACATGAAGCATCATTCAAAACCTTGTCATATATATGTCTGAATACATCTTTTGGCATACTCTGTTTAGTATGGAGCTCTGACTTAATTCTCCTCAGTTTTGAACAAACAAAGTTTGCGAAATTGTCGCTAACGTACAGCAGTTTGGACTGATTATCGCGATACTCTCTAAACATGGTATAGACCTGGCTGGGCAGTGTTTCACTGGATGTCGCAGATTCAATGCACATAGCACAATGCAAAACATTGTCCACCTTTTTCAATGCGACTCCTCCAAAATACGAATCACTTTGGCTCTGCAAGTCAATGAGTTCATCGTCCGCATCTTGAGACTCCTCATCAGATGTACTGTCTTCGCATGGTTCAGGCTCCAAAGGCAAGGTGGGGTTTTGTTGTACCTTATGGAAAGAATTTCATTACTTTTTCATTCTTAATTTTTTAAATGTACCTTTCTAAAAAATGCATCAAAAATATAAGGTGCCAGCTCACGGCAGCTTAATCCATCGTCCTCACAATTTTTCTTTTCATTGTGGAGTTTTAGATACATTAAAAGGTTAAAAAAAGCTCCAACCAAGCAAGCGCAGAAAGTCAAAACTGTGGGGGAATGTCCGCTACCACATTGCTCTCGTATTTCCCCGTTGAAATTCTCTAGAGGGTCCTGCTGAATTCTTCTTGTTAAGAGAAACTCAAACCCTCTTGCACGCATCATCGGAAAAAATAGTTTCATTGATCGAATCAGCCAAACAAGAGAGTGTATGGATGGCGTCCAGACTGTTGTCCCATCTTTTTTTCTGAACTTCCATTTCCCCACAAATAATTCAGCTTTATTCCAAAAATCCCAGTGGGCAGAGGATTCATGCAGCCTAAAAAATTGAAAATTATGATACCTATTATTTAAACCTCTCTGGCTTAATAATAATAATTCCAAGACATTATTTAACTTGGCTCCGATCAATAGCCAAATGCATGAGCTCAGTTGTCAAAGACAAATTCAATCAAATTCGTCTAGAAAATCATGATGATACTAACCGGCCTTTCAAAGGTTTTGCATGCGAATACGAGCTTCCATTAAACGAGTCGACCAAGTTGTCCATGAATTGTATAAATTCTACGGTATGACACGCTTCAGACGGGAGGAGACCTACAAAAATTTTGTTACTAATATATATTCCATGAAAATCATAATACTTGAACACGTAACAGAGGCGGCGTGGTGAATTTTCGCCCCTGGAGAATTAACATTCCGTGCCTTATTATTATTGTTAATAATTTTTTTTTATCGTCGAATGGAAAATATCAGATGCAGAAACGACCAAATTTTACTTTGGAAATTAAAATTAATTGATTATAATCGCCATGGACTCAAATATTCTATTTAAAAGGGAGACATATACATTTCGATTTGATAGCCAGAAACATTAACTCCTCAAAGGGTGAGCCAGGGTTCTAAGGGTGAAGTGTGGGAAAACAATTTGACAAAAAAGTTGGCTAGAAATAGTCGAAATGCATGGTCATAATTATCATATATAATTTTTTTAATTCATATTAGAATAATTTTTTTAAATTACACACACACCAATTTTAATTATTTGTTAAAATAGAATATATTATTTTATAACTTGTATTTTATATATTGAAAACAATTGAAAAGTACTATATACTATTTAATAATTTATTAAAATATCATCAATTTTAATTTCAATTACAAAAAAATTTAAAATTAATTAAAAATTTCAAATAATTGAAGACGAAATAACATTGAATTTTAAATTTACTAATTTTCAGTGTAATTTTTTTATTACCTTTTAAATAAAATTAAAACATACTTTTTTATTGTTATTTAAAATTTTAAAAATTTGATATCTATTTCAATTAAAATAAATTAAATATAATTTCTGAAGTTTCTATCCTCGGAGGTCACTAATAATAATTTTGTATTTGGGTGGATCCAGGAATGATTTGGGTGTGATTGTTGATGAAAAGTTACCTTTTTAACTGAATATTATAAAAACTGAATAATTGGTTTCCCGCAATAGAAATTAATTTTCAACCAGCGATAACTCTATTTCTGTTACAGAAACGACAAAATGTGTAATGACAAAAAAAGTGAATTTTGACATTCTGCATTCAATCAATATCACAGCTCGGCGAAAATTCGTGAAAGGTACAATGCGTTGGCAAGGGTCGTGCGATCTTTACAAAATTTTAGGACCTGAAAGACCATGCAAGGAGATTTTCAAAAATATATAGTTTTACCCAGTCTTACCCCAATATCTATAAATTTACGGGTTCTACGGGACGTTCAAAATTGGGTTTTTGAAAATTTCAAACGGCTGTATCTCGGCTTTCCGTGATCGCACAACAAAAATCCGGGTATGGCTGAATTCCTCTTTTCACTTTCTACAACTTTGCCGTTGAAAGCAAAATCCTAGGTAAAAGGTCAAGGTCACTTCCGATGACCTTGTGTCATTCAAACTGGAATTTGAGCATTAAATGCAAACATTTTTGAAATTCTGAGATAGCCATTCGATTCTTCGTGAAATTTTACATACAATGTGTGAAAATGGCGAAGTAGTTTTTTCTCTTTAAATTTATATTTAAAAAAAAGGATAAAAAACGTGGTTTTTTGGTGCTCGGATCAGCGATTTTTAAGAAAAACTTTAATAACTCGTTTTCTGTGCGTCTGAGGCAAAAAATGATTATGATCAAAATTGATCCCCATTAAAAGTTCTATCTAAATATGTAAAGGTCATTGACCTTTTGAAAACTTGGGTCAAAGGTCACCTTGACCCTTATCCTTCAGTGAAAAGACCCTAATGTGTGATACATGGTTGGAAAAGTCTTATCACTAGGATACCAATGGTCACCATATTTTTGTCTCCGGCTTCATTTTCGACCTAGTTATGATGGTTTTATTGTGAAAAAAGCGCATTTTCTTTCATTATATATTAAATAATCAGCTTACATTGGTGGAAAATAAAGCCAGAGACAAAAATATGGTGACCATTGTTATTTTAGTGATAAAACCTTTCCAACCATGTATCACACATTAGGGTCTTTTCACTGAAGGACAAGGGTCAAGGTGACCTTTGACCCAAGTTTACAAAAGGTCAATGACCTTTGCATATTTAGATAGAACTTTTAATGGGGATCAATTTTGAACATAATCATTTTTTGCCTCAGACGCACAGAAAACGAGCTATTTTCGATTTTCTTAAAAATCGCTGATCCGAGCACCAAAAAACCACGTTTTTTAATCTTTTTATTTTAATATAAATTAGAGAAAAAACCACTTCGCCATTTTCACACATTGTATGTAAAATTTCACGAAGAATTGAATGGCCATCTCAGAATTTCAAAAATGTTTGCATTTGATGCTCAAATTCCAGTTTGAATGAAACAAGGTCATCGGAAGTGACCTTGACCTTTGACCTATGATTTTGCAATCAACAGCAAAGTTGTAGAATTTAATGAGACGAGTTCAACCATACCCGGATGTTGGTTCTCCGACCAAGAGAAGCCGAGATAATTGAAGTTTTTGGTTTTTTCAAAATGTCCCGTAAAATCCGCTATTTTGAAAATATTTTGATAAAAATTTAGGGATGTTCCCTTCAAGTAATGGAGATTTTAGGGATGTTCCCTTCAAGTAATGGAGATTAAGTTGTGAAACTCTCAGATCTCTATCATCAACTTTGGGCGCGGTACGCGGTGTGTGAGAATGCTAAGAACGGAACCGCAAACGAAATTAATTTTCAAACAGCGATAACTCTGTTTCTGTTAGAGATACGCAAAAACATGTAATAATGAAAAAAGTGTTTATATGACCTCACCTATCGAACCATGCAACGCTCATGCAGGTCAATTCACTTAAGGTCATTGACCTCAGTGACCATGAAAATCGATTTTGCAATAATAAAATGATGATGAAATTAAAAATAACATTTTATTTTCAATTAATGAAAGTTAAATGGTATTTTATCCTTGTTAATAAAAAAAAATTAAATAACATTTTTTATAAAATTTTAAATTAAATTAAAATTTGAAAAGATGATAACCTATTAAATTGTGAAGAAAAAAATTCTCTTAAGTGATATGATTTTGATGCATGTAATATATTACAATTAATTATTTAACAGTTATTTACGAAGTATTTTAAGTTATTGTAGTTAGATAAATGATAATTGTGTAAATTATATAAGCTCTTTTTATTTAAAAATAAAAATAATGAAATTAAATATATACTTGATATTAAGTTTATAAAACACATTTTAATTTTTTTACTTTTAATATATGACCATTAAAAGGATTTTTTTTTTGACCTCTTCCTTGTT